GTATCGCAGTAGTGGCATCTAAAGGAGGTGTACACAGTTGTGACTGCCACTGCGGCAGTAGCCCTTAATTTGGTGGCAGGGCCCGGTTGCCTGTAAAAGTCGACCCGACCTGACTGGTCGGGTCGACCAGTGGGCGGTTGGGTCCCAGCAGGCAACCTGCGTTTGTAACACTCACTTGTTTTCGGGACCCAACCACGCGAATAAGCTTTTGGGCAGACCCAACAGTTTTACACCAATGAACTGCATTCAATTCTTGATATTTGTTTTCTTCCACCAATCGCATCGATATTTGATTGTGTGACCTGCCCTTGGTGTTTACTGTATCACTGGTTGCGCTGCATGTTGGTACGTTCGTGGCTGGTTGCCTCGACTCGATTGTGCGTGGGCGCGACCAACCGGTCGCATTGACCACCTGGTTGCCTCGACCAGGTATGTGAAGCTCTGGTACGCACGTACAATACTGTAGACTGCACAGATGCTGGTAATCAGGTAACCCTAGTGGTCTACCCAGCCCGACCGTTTGAGGCAACCCGACCAGCCCCCAAAAAGAGGGGTACGTAACACGCTCTAGACCGTTTGGTGACTTCCGCTGCTGCTGCCTGGTGCACGGTGCATGTTGCTGCTCTGGTTGCATTGCATTGCATTTCCCTGCGGCTGCTGCTGCTCTTGTTGAACGGAATCGGTTGGTTGGGAGAGTGATTCGTACGCACGACGATGTCATGGCAGTGCTGCAATCCTTCGCTACCCATAGGCAATCCTGGATTGCTTCTGTGCGGTCAGGAAAATTGGTCTGATGGTGGTGACCTTGTCGTTCCCCGCTCGTTTTCCACCCCTTGGTGTGGTAGTTGTACCTTGTGTCTGATTCGTGTTCCTCTCCTCGCAATGAACCGTAATGCATACCCATGCGCAACCATTTGGGTCGCGCTTATATATGCTGATTACAGATCATCAGTTTAGAGGGGAATGGGAACAGCTGGGCGAGTGGGCTACAAGCATGCTCACTGTTTGCGACTCGGAATAATTACACAGGCCTCATCTGCGGCTCCACCTCTCTGACTGGACTTTGAGTCTGGCTAAAAAAAGTCGTGGTGCACTGTAAGTCACTGTAGTTGCATGCGCTGGAAGTCACTCATCAAGAGCGCTTTCACTTCATGTGATACACCTCACTGTAACCACTGAATATCCGCTTCACTATGAATAGCGTGTCCTTCCATGCGTGTGTGAGAGGAACCAAAGTTCATAGATTGATAATGCAGACGGCTATATTGGTTAATCATCAATCAACTCGCCCCTTGACATCAAATCCATGGCTTTGTATTATCCATCATAACATAACAACTCGCCCCCTCGTTCTCCAAACGCCAGTGTTTAACCTCCCAGTCTACATGACCCAGGACCTAGTGTACACACTCCATCGGTAAAACGGCAATAATGCTTCTGTCCAAGAACATGGCATGGCATGGCAATCTATAATGAATCAGGGTATTACACTCCAGTGTTTCAGTGCGTGTTGGCCCAAAAAAAACGACATAGATAGTTACGGCATGCAAGTTCGTTTCAAGCATCAACTAGTGTGGTGACATATCCTCCTCGAATAACCGGGCAAACATGACTGCGTTATTGTCAAGCACAGGCTCACGTAGAGCCGTCTGCAGCAAGCCTGCGAGTGCTGCGCTCCTGCGCGGAACGAGTAGTGGAGCCGAATAACCAAGACGCGCGCGACGGCGGATGGGGAACAACGATGGTCCCGCCGCCGCCTCGTGAGGAAGTGGTGCTAGTGCGCGAAAACCCTCCGGAAAAGGGAAAGAAGATTCAACCGACTCCGCCCCCCATGTCGCTGCCGCTAGAGCTGCTGCTGGTGCCGTCAGACGCGCTCCTGACGCGCGAAAACCCTCGCGCTGGGGGTGCCGCGCGAGCTGATATGCTAGGTTCTTCCACCACCAGCGGCGGCTGCTGTTGCTGGTGTCGCTGCTGCGGGAAGTTTACGAGAGGCGTGCTCCTGGGGCTCTCCCCGCTCCGCTTGAGCTTGCGCTCTCCCCGCGCCTGGTGCGCCTGTGGCTCGGGCTTCTCCGCCATCATGGCGTGCGCCTTGCGGAAGGTTCCGCTGCCAAACCTGTACAGTCCTCCGGTCCGCCACGTGACATGCTGCGGCTGGCCGCTGCCGCTGTCGACAGTTTTGTCGATTTTTTGCTGCGCTGTAGCGAGCTGCTCAAGCTGTCCGAGCCACGTGTCCGACTCCTGATGCGCAATCCACACGTCGGCGACGTTCGTTAGGATCCGCTGCCGCGACTCCAGCGAGTTACGATGAAGCTGCTGCAAAAAGAGCCGCTCGCGCTCGCTTATAGTCTCCGAGCCGCCGCCATGGACTCCCGACGCGGATTCATGAGCACCGGCTAGATTCTGCCGCTGATCTTCCGACGAGTCGTGCCGCACGCTACTACGAGATCCGTGCCGCACGGTACTGCGAGATCCGCGCCGCGCTGGGGGGTAAATGGGTATATACGCGCTGGCTTCCTCGGTTGCGATCATCGCCGGATTGTCGGGCTCAATCTCCGCGGCGCGTTGTGTCGCTTCCGTCACGCGAGCCGCAGCAGCGCTCCTACGATTCTCTTTTTGTATCATCGTCAATTCTTTCTCCCCGCGACGGCTGGCGCTAGAGTCGAAGCAGTATTCTACACACTCACGACGGAAGCGTGCTTCAGACTCCGAGTCGGCGATCGCACCGTATGACTCCTTGGAGTTGGACGACAGCGGTGCGACGCCTTGGACGCGTTCAAGTTGTCGGCGGGGACTGAGCAGCGCAAATTTCGGAACTGCATGATGAAAATTCGGCCGTTCCGGGGAATGGAGGAACGCGGAGGTGTACTCCCCCCTCTCCGCGCTGCAATGGACGGGTGCGCGGCGAATAGTGTCGTCGTGCGGAACTTTTGAACTCACAAGCGCCATTGACGCTGACGGTAAATCAAATTGGTACAGAATGGCGACGAGAATAAACGTTTATTATGCCTGTCGTAAAGTTATGAAGCTATGGGCAGTGGCATTTAGAGGAGGTGACGAGACGACACACTTGAGAGGGGTTCAGCATCCTTTCTGCTAACTGCCACTAAATGCTTGGTTGCTGCTCCTCCTGTTGATACTGTTGCCACTAAATGCTTGGTTGCATTGCCTTGCATTTCCTAGCTGCTGCAGCTGCTTGTTGGATGGAATTGGGTTGGGTTCGAAGAAGGATTCCATCGCGCGACGCGATGCGATTGCAAGGGCTGAAATTGCGCGCGACCGTACCCATAGCCAATAGCGTTTCGTGTGGTCATAATGAAATGGGCAAAATGTGAACTGGCACCGTTCACCCCGGTCTGGGTCAACCTTCACGACCCCCCTCCTTCAACGACTCGTCGTGCTGTGGTGGTTGTTACACCTTAGTGCGGGATTCGTGACTTTCCTTCTCTGTAACTGGTATAAATAATCGTAACGACCAAAAGTAATGCAACCTTTATATTTTGCGCGAATGTTTTGCTCGAGGCAATGTATTCTCGTGTGCCATTCAATCAAACACAATCCCGATACACTCAACGACAGCTGTAGTTATTGCCCGCACAGTTTGAGACAGGTCTGACAACAAGCATCATCTATACAGAATTCATGCATCTAAATTTGTCCGTTCGGATTCGTTCCAATCGAACAAAACAAAATCGACTAGGACCAACCAGCTCAGACCTAGCCGCCGTGGAATGCAGGTGATTGGTCGGCTCGCGTTCTTTTCTAGTCATATATTTGGGAGATTTCCCGGTGAACGCCAGCCACAAGATGAAATAGTGGTTGTTTGCCCGCGGGCAGCATTGCCCCATATTGAGCGAATTAGTGACGAAAGAAGTGGGTCTTACTGCGCAAAACGGTGCAATGAGTTATATTCTCGTGTATCGTGGCTTGTCGACTGACGGAAGGGAACAACGGGCGTGTGCGCGTGCTTGTCTACATACGTGTCGGAATAATTAGCGGCTCACAAACTGGGGCTTGAACCCTTTGACAGGTCATTGACTCCGTGGCTTAGAAGAATCGTGGTGCTACACAGGAAGCGCGTTTGACTCCCACAACTTTTCCCGTCATTTGGGTGTTTAGTGAGCAACCCTATTTCGCTTCCTCGCCAACATTCGCCACGGGCAAAATCGGGACTGTAGTGGGCAGGTGAAGAATTGTAACCAGCTTCTTCAAAATATCTCACGAACGGACGGATGCCAGCGTGATAAGCTGTTTGTTCAACGGCTGCGATAAAAATTGGGGCTTGTATCGTGCGTGCAACTGGCTGGTGCTACTTGCAATTGGGCAGGCTGTCGAGCTTGGGCAGACCAAATTCGCGTGCAGTCGCTGAGCATCCTGTGTACAGTCCTCCCATGTGCCGGGGGTGCGAGAGGAGGGGGGAGTGGATGGCTCGTCAAGAGCTGTTCATGGATGCTGATGCGGTTAAAGGCCAAACCCCGAATTACACAACGAAGTCAACGAAAAAATTGTAGGTTCGGGAAACCCCAGAGACAGGTTCGGTGGGGAAATCTAGAACCAATCTCGACAAAAACCCACTCAAAACCCTCGACCAATCACACGAAAGTGGTGACAGTTTTGGGGCCGACACGGTAATTCTGGATGTGTCCTTTAAATCGTGCATTTATGATATTTCCACGAATGCCGTTGTCGCTGGTGGGACGGGGATGATTTTTCCAGTCAAGCAGAGTCTGATGGCATAGCAATCACTCTTCATTTTAAAGCACGCTGCGTTACTGATATTTGCTCATTTGCCATATATTGCAACTTCATTCGTCACCTACATCACACAATTCCATCTTCTAGCACACTCAATATGGAGAATGACTTCCTGTCAGTGCAACTAGGCTCAATCATCAGCCAGCACACATTGAAACCAGGGATATTCCAATATTGCCACTTTCATGTTGTCCTTGCTCAACCAAAGTCCGCCTTGCGACTGATGTTGTGCTTCCCACGGTTTACCATTATGCATTCCTTGGGCCCCGGAGTGGAGCAATAGAGGAACATCACGAATAGATTATCGAGTTACCCTAAGCTCCGAATATTGAACGAATCCGGCGCAGAAGCTCGGCCCTGCAAACATCGACACCACTGCAACGTTTAGCTAGCTCTCGTTTCGCGTGAATCTGGCAAGTGGATAGCCGAGAGAGCGCTGAAAACAGATAGACACATCTCGTGCGCATATGGCAAGTGGTCTACCATAAAATAACCGTACCTGAGCCATTGTCGTTCGTCGCGAGTGTTCCCCAGCACGCCTCTGTTCTCATGCGCTCGCCGCAGCAGGTAAGGCATGACATCTCGCACAGGACCATATGGAAGATACTTGGACGCGTTAAAACCAGCAAATCCGAGCCCCAAGGAGAGCCCGTCCGCCATCCCCTTGAGCTGCGCAAAGTGCAACCGAGGATCCGTGCGAGCCAATCCCACGTCGCCAGCTCGCACCACTGCCACCCGGCCTGTCGGGATCGAAGGGTGGGTGGGAATGCAAGTTAAGAAGAACACAGAGAATTATGGAACGAGTGTGATAAGAGGAATGATGGGTAGCGTCAGGAAAGTGCGACAAAAGAAGCAAGAGAGGAGCATCAAGAGGATGCTGTCAATGAGAGATCACACTAGGTACCTGATCCATAGTTGTGGGTTGCCAGCACCACTCCAGCAGCAGGCCCTTTCTCCCCCTTAGACTCCCTCTTAGCAGCCGCGCCAGCAGCATCAATCATCATCCCCGCACACGCATCGTAGCACTTGTGTGTGTTCTCAATGCTCTCATGCACCGGTGACACCGCTCCACGCTTCTTCGCTTCGGCAGATTCCCGGACCAGATACGCTCCCCGAACTAGCTTCACCCCGAACCCAACTCCAGCCTCCTGCGCCGCGCCGAAGCTAGCAGCCAGCCTCGGGTTTGCATCCCGAAGGTAACACTGCACTGTGGAATACACCAACGGCAACTCTGCATCGGTCTTACCCCCCTCCTTCCCACCTCCTGTTACAGTCACACCCGTCTTGTTATACTCCATCATTAACGCATACGCTAGGTAATCAATCGCCGGTTCCACCGACTGATACTCCGCGTCTATCAGAAGGGGTAAACGGCCCTCAGCACACGCGTCACAGATCTTCCTTAGTCTATCGTGAGCTGATGTGATGGCAGCTTCCTCACTGGCGGTGAGAGGGGAGGGTGCGGAGGAGGGGGTGAAGTAGGTGGGAGATTCAGGAGCGAGAATCGGGAGGGATGGGCGGCGCCATGGCATGGGGACAGAGGTAGACGAGGAGGAGGGGGAGGAAGAGGAGAGCTTGTGGTCCCATTGCAGGAGTTCGCTGACTCGTTCAAGCACCGGGAGTGGGCAGAGGGCCGTGATCTTGACACAGGCGAAGCTCACCTGCATGGAGTGATTGGGATGCATAACAGGGCATGGAGTATAGAAGGCTCGTGGTTAAATGGGAAGGGGAACTTGAAGGGGGGCTATAAAGGAGATCCGGCTATGGATGGATGTGTAAAATGCAAATGGGTTAGGAATGGACAACAGAAATAATAGATATACCGAGCCCAATGGGAGTAGAAGTTTTCTGTTACTTCATTGGGTGGGTAACCTATTTCTAGTCTGCACAATCTCTAGTTTATTTTGCAATTTTTCCTCAAGAGCCTTCTTTTGCATCACCGGAAAGAAACTCTTACCATGGGTGGTGACAGCTGCGACGCCATTCTGATGGTGCGCAGAAACCCTTCCATGTTTCGATCGCATGTTTCATCATCTAACGCGTCCTCCACACTATGTTGTAGAGGTGAAAGAAGATGGGAGGGAAGGGGGTTAAGTTGGAAAAGGCGTAAATGATGAAGCATTTTCTCGTGATTACGAATCATATATGAATGACAGATTTGTGTAACTTCAAATTTGTTGAACTAGAAATATCAGTGTTATGAACCTAACATATAAAGGTTATAAGTTTGGTGCAGCACCTTTCCAACCTTGTTCAGAATACCAACCGGCACTTTCGCGAGCCGCGTGGACCGAAATTCGGGATTTTCAATGACCTCTGAAATTCGCGTCGCTCACACCACCCACCACCCCAAGCCCGTTCCGCACCCTTCCCCATCAGAATCTGAAGCACTCACTTCCCTCCCTCCCTCGTACAAATCGAGACTCACAGCCACTCTTCTCCCCCAAATCAATTAGACGCAACTACTCGCTCTCACAATTCCTGCGTCCCTCGAAGCCCTCATCGACAGCTTATGCATAATCTTGCTTATCACGCCGCGTGGATGGACGGCACCTCGGGATTATCGGGACCTACCGCCAGTGGCGGAGCTCGGGTCACAGCGCGCCGTACTGGCGGCTTGACCCACGACGGCACCTCCGCTGAATCCGTCCTATTTATAGGTCCCGCAGGACCTGGAGGCATTCAAGGAGCGAATCCCGCAGCTCTCTCATCGAATTCGGCTACGCCCGCGGTTGCGAGCGCCAACGGAAACGCGAGTGCCAATGTAAACGGAGACTCAAGCGCCAACGCCAACCCCAGCGGCAACGCCAATGCCAACGCTAATGGGAACGTCAACAACGCCAACCCGAACGCCAACGGGGTGGCGGATCACGAATCACGTTTGGACGAACACCCGCGTCGACTGAAAGAGGAGGCCGAGGTGGCATCGTCATGGGCCGCCGTGTCATCGCTCACCGCGTCCTACGCTTCCTGCACGGCTTGCGTCGCCGTGATCGCCGCTCTCGGCGCAATTGCCGCCATCGCGTGGACCAGCGGGGACGCCGCGGAGTCGCCGAGCAAGGCGAATTTCCGCGCAGCTGCGCGCGCCATCGCGGCGACGACCAGCGCGACGGTGGTGGCCGTGACGGCCACGGCGACAGCGAACGTCGCGAGCGCGGGCGCGCACGCGTCGAGTGTGCTGGCGGAACGGCTGATGCTGCAAGCGGCAGTGCAGGAGCGAAGCGCGGAAGCAGCGGCGAGGAAGAGGGGGCGCGGATAGAAGGGGAGACGCGGAGAATCGGGGGGACATGAAGTGTAAAACGCGCACTAAGTAGATTCGACATCCTAAGGAGAGCTCGCTACGTATGCCACGCTCCCCCCCCAGTACACGATACACGAACAGCCGGGAGTACACGAATTCGTACGGCTGTCCAGGCACCGCTATTGAGGTCAGCGATCTGCTGCCCTGGCAATTTCTGTTCACGATGCTGTGAAATCCGATAAGTAGAATAGCTCAGCTTTAACAAGCTTTGCTCGGCATTGCTAGCGCTCCACTTGCTGTAAAACCTGAAAAAAGTGTCTACAAGCCTCACGTCTTGCCATTGTTAGAGGAAAACGTACTTCGAGTATCAATGAGTAGTCTCCATTCTCTCGTTTCGCTGTGGCATCTGACTGTAGCTCTACACCTGTAGCTGTTTCCTCTCTAGCTGATCCCATGCATTAGCTGTACTTGCACTTGTTTCTATAAAGGGCTTTGCTCGAATAAATACGCGTAACAGAAATCCTACTTTTCTTCGCGGAGCATTTCGGAGGCTCGCAGGCGGACAGTAGAACCGCAAGCGGGAACGCTCTTACAAGCTACGGCTGTTCTTATGAGTTCGTCAGACTCTCGCTTGCTTCACCTCCTCTCTTTACGCATCGTTTCCCGTCGGTCGTTTTTTCGCCACACGATGAGCTCTTGCTGTACATTAATGTGTTCATTTGTATAGATTTTTAATGTGTGAAGTACCTGAAGTCCAGGATGCCTTTGAGCCCGAGTTGCTGCATGCGGTCGAGCGTCGCAACCGCCTCCTCCAGCGTCTCCCCCGCGCAGAAGTGCTTATGCGCCGTCTTCCGCACCCCCCACAGCACCGGCCCCGCCACCAGCGGAATCCGCATCACAGGTGACGTCAGCAGCGCTGAGCTGGCGTCCACCACCATCTCCCGCGCCGCCATTTCGAGGTTCAGGACCGCGTTCGCGACCTCTGACGTGGACAGCTGTTGAAACAGCTTCCGCACGTTTTCCACATCCAGCGACTCCGCCGCGGCCGCCGCGTCTCCCGCCGGTCCGCCCGCCGCCTTTCGCGCAGCATCTGCTAGCGTGGACGACGCGACGTCCGCTTTGTCGCCGCTGCTGTTACCGCTAGTGGAAAAGAAGGGACGCGCAGTGAGGGGCTGATCGAGAACGGGATTCGCGGCGCTCGCAGCGAATGTGGGGGACAGATGACGAGGAGGTGGGCGGAGGGCGTGGCGGGAGACAAGGGCTGGCGAGGGGAAGGAACCGGCGGGTCGGCTGGGAGAGGACAGGTGAGGGTGAAAGAAGGAGGCTGGGGTTGACAGAAAACGCCTGGCGCCTGAGGGCGTGCTGAAGGGGATAGGAGAACAGCTTGTCGGACCTTCGACTGTAGCAGCTGAAGCGACAGTGGCGGCTCCATGAGCAGGTGATATTCCCAACGGCGGTGCAGAGGCGGAGGGAACAGAAGGTGAGGATTGAGAAAGCGTGGCAAGAGCGGCCAGGGAGTGCTGAAGGAGGGCCGTTGCTGGAGCGGCTGCGAGGTAGAGTTCGTGGTGGAACCGTGAAGCTGCGCTGAGAGCGTGACGTGAGGACGACGACATTCCGTTGATCGACGCCGCCATTGTTGCTGAAATGTGGGTGTTTTGTGTTCAAGGTTGAGAAATACGCTGCTGGTAGCAGCCGTGGGAGGTGTCTATTCCGCTGGGGTCCCTACGCGTGACAGGTAGATCCACTCATTGCTCCTATTAAAATCGTACAAGCCGCTTTCGTATAAGCCTGGTTCAGTGAAAGCTGTCTTCGGGGGACCTAGAGGAAAGCGGCTTGAGCGACCTTATAAAAATCGGAAAGCTGGTCTTAGGGTAAACGAGTCTTGGGAATCCGTATGTTATGCGCTTCACCAGATAATAGTCCTCAGATAGTCAGGCGACTGCAACAACAGAAGCCTCGACAGTCACTAACCTAAAGAATGACCAGAACGAGGAATTGAAACGAAGTAGAGAAGCTATGGCTGCCTGAACAAAGACCAGGAAAATGGAATTTCAACATAACTGGGAGGGAAGAACCAACCGATGCATTGACAACGATTTGCATGCGTCAAGCATGGGCTGGCCATGGTTCCAGATGGGAGCCGCAGGAGAGCGCCAGCGCGACAGCGATTGGCTGACTTGACACCAAACATTGGCTGCAATTTTGGCTGAGCTGGAAAATGCCCACGTGATTGACGTGGCTTTTCGCGCCAATGACGAGGTCTGGGACTGGATATTCGCTGGGCTGCCGTCAGAATGACAAGACTCGGTTCTCAAGGTTGTTGGGAATTGCAGAATGGGGTGGGGTGGGGATTCGGAAATGGAAGGTTTCTGTACGATTCTTCTAAGGCTTACAATGATTGATTCCACGGCACCCTTTTGTCGGAGCAGATAACGGATTGTATGTGGGTGCACCACCCAAATGCTCTCCATGTATCTTGTGCTGCCTCGACATTCTCCCAGCTTCTATTCAACCCGGCAATTTGTTCAACACCCTAACGCGTACGTCACCCCCAGAATGGTAAGCTTTGATATTCTTTCATCAGTTCACCCAATCCCGCAAAATTGCTGGGCCCAAAATGGCCCCTCTTCGCGCGTCCGCGCGTCGCGCGCTTATACTGGTCCACGAACGACAATCGTTGATTTCGACTTCTGTGCCATCCGTCGAATCAACGGCCGGTACAATGGCAGCAGCCATCACGGCAGGAACAACGGGGGGGATCACGGCGGGTAGGTCGCCGAGGGTCTCTAGGCCCTTGCCTTGGCACGGATCCACTCCAATTGGCGTCCGTAGATGCGGATCGTACGGTCCGTGTCCTTCGCAACCGCTAAGCGCGCTATTGGCGCGAGATCAACGGTCTGGATTCATATCCCCGGGGGCTTTAGCAGGAGCGGTGAGGATGCTGAGGACCAGCGAAGTATGGGGCTCCAGTAACGGCGGATCCGTGCCATCCACATTGGCTCGGCAGTCAATCCAACGGCTGACGATGGCTCAACCACCTCTTTCCGCGGGGCTTCCGCTTTTGCGCGAATTTAGCGCTTCCGCTGCCGCTTCAGATGCCGGCAAGGGAGGCGAGTCGAATCTGGAAGAAACGCGGGCTAAGAGCTTCCGCTCTCGCAATCCGAAGCCTGGATTCCAACGGCTTGGCCAAGATCCCTGGGATCGGACGGCTGGAAGCAGCTGGGCTGTTTCAGATGCGAACGATCAAACGGCGGGGGTGCGTTCATCGGGGAATCGGACGGCGGAGGGGGATCGCAGACGGAGCGACGGGGGAGGGAGGGGCAGGATGGGAGGTGGGAGAGGGTGGGACAGGCGGAATGAGGGAGGCAGGGAGTGGGAGGGCAGGAAGGAAGGAGATAGGGAGGGTGGGGGAAGGAGGAGGGAGTGGGAGAGTAGAGGTGGGGGTGACAGCGAGGTACAGAGGGGGAGGGGAGAGGGGAGGGGATGGGAGAGTAGGAGCGGCGGTGGGAGGGAGTGGGAAAAGAGGGGAATGGCGAGGGAGTGGGGGAACGGGAGAGAGGAGAACAGAAGCGGGGGGGGCGGAGAGTGGGGGAACAGAAGCGGGGGTGGCGGGGAGTGGGGGAACAGAAGCGGGGGTGGCGGAGGGCGGGGGGAGAGGGGCGGCGTTAGATCATGGGAGCAGCGCGGGTCGAGGAGCAGCCGAGAGCATGAGATGGAGAAGCGGGAGCGGATGGGGCAGGGGGGGCGAGGAGTGGGGGATGGCGCAAGTAGCGGGAGCGGTGGCAGGGGGAGCTGGGGGGACAGGGGGAGCAGGGAGGACAGGGGGAGCAGGGAGGACAGGGGTGAACGGGGGGGAAGAGGGGGAAGGGGAGGAAGGGGGAGCAGGGAGGGGAGGAGCAGCTGGGAGGGCAGGGGGAGCAGTGGGGGGAGGAGCAGCTGGGAGGGCAGGGGGAGCAGTGGGGGGAGGAGCAGCTGGGGGGAACGGGGGAGCAGGGGGGGAAGGGGGGCCAGAGGGAGCGGTGGGGGGAGGGGGCGCGGAGGGGGCATGGGGGGCAGAGGGGACATGGAGAACGGGGAGAGTATGGGGGAGATTGGCAGGGGGAGTGGCAGCATGGCAGGCGCGCGGAGGAATAGGTGGGGGGAGGGAGAAACCGGGGCAATACTAGCTGCGGAAAGAGAGGGGTGGGGGGAGATTGGAGCTGGGATAAGGGGAGCGGCGGAAGGAGGGCGGAAGGTGGGGGGGGTAGGGGTGAAAGGGGCGGAAAAGGGAAAAGGGGGAGAAGGGGCGGAGGCGGCGGAGGGGGAGGAGGGGTACAAGGGGGTATTCTGGGTGAGTGGAAGTGGGTATAAGGGCACGGGGAGGGATCGACGGCGCGATGTGGGTGGCGCTCTGGGTAGCAGTGGGGATGGGGAGAGGTGGATGGGGGACGGAGATGAGGGGGAGGAGGAGGAAGAAGAGGATGAGGAAGAGGATGAGGATGAGGAGGAGGAAGAGGAGGAAGAGGAGGAAGAGGAAGAAGGAGAATATGAGGAGGATGAAGAGGAAGAGGGGGAGGAGGAGGGAGAGGAGAGAGGATGGAAAAGGAAAGAGACTGGGATGAAGGTCGACGGGGTTCAGGGTTTTAAGCGCCAGGAATTTTCCCAGGGTCTTTCTGCCGAGGAGAAGCAGCAAATCTGGAAAGAATCAAATCTCAATCCAGACCTCCCCCAAGAGGTTGACAGGCCGCCCTGGCAAACCCTGCTAGAGAGACCAGCAGTGCCCCACATGCGGGAGGACGCAGCAAAATGGCAAAGGAAAATGGTGGAGAAGCGAGCAAGGAGAGACGCTGAGAGCGACAGGGATTGGGAGCGGGGCATTGAGTGGGAGAGGAAGAGGGAGAGGGAGCAGGGTTTAAGCGGGGGTTTCGGGGAGAGGGACCAGGAGGGTGCTGCTGACATGGCAAAGTTAAAGGTGGCGTGGCTGATTGATGAGCTGGCGGTGCTGCGGCCGGCAGCGATCGTGAAGCTGCTGAACGCGCAGCGGGCGTGGATAGGGATGGAGCACGTTGAGGGGGTGGTGAGAGGGCTGCTGGAGAGAAAGGAGACTCTGCGTGCAATTCGGGTATGTGTCGGGCTTTGGGTTTCGGGTTTGGGATCAGGGTTTGGGTTCTGGGTCCGGTTTCAGGGTTTGGGTTCCGGGTTCTATCGTTTGAAGGCCTCGCTGACCTGCTGTCAAACCGCACTCTTTTCCCACTCCCGCTGTTTGCTCCCACTCCTTGCCTTCCCACTCCCCCATTCTCCACCTCCCCAACCCTTCCCCCAGCTGCTTCTTTCAACCCCTCCCCCTCTCCAGGCAGTCAAGTGGGCGGCCCAAACCGTCTACTACACACCCATCCCCTCCCTCTATTCCTACCTGCTCTCAACCCACTCCCTGTCCCCCTGCTCCCCTTTCCCCTCCCCCTTCCCCCGCTCTCCCTGTCTCTCCAGGCGCTCAAGTGGGCGCGCCAAACCGCCTTCTATGCACCCATCCCCGCCCTCTATGCCGACCTGCTCTCATCTCAACCCCTGTCCCTTGCCTTTCTTCCTCCTCCACCCCAACTTTCTCCCCCCCCCACTCTCCTTCTCCAGGCGCTCAAGTGGGCGCGCCAAACCGCCTTCTACGCCCCAATCCCTTCCCTCTACGCCGACCTGCTCGACGCAGCAACGGCCAATCAGCACGTGCCACGCGCGCAGGAGCTTTTCGACATGATGCTGGCCCACGGGCTGGTGCCCCCTAGAAGAAACTACGAGGGGCTAATCAGAATGTTCTTAAGAGAAAGCCGGCGGTTGCAGGAGGGGAAGGGCCCGAGTGGGGAAGGGGATGAGGAAGATGGAACCGGAGGGGTACTTGTCGGTCGAGAGGGGAGCAGCGCGGTGGAGAGCGGTGGAGAGCCTGGGAAAGGGCCAGGGGGGTTCAAGGGGTTTAAGGAGATGAAACAGGCTGAGAAGGCGGCGGCAGAGGTGGAGAGGGGTTGGGAGGTGTACCGGCAGATGAAGCAGTTTGCGGAGCTCACTCCCAGCAGGGCCGTACAGGAGGAGATCTGGGCAGCACTGACCGGAGGAGGTGTGACTCTCAGGGGCAGCTCTGGGCGACACTTGGTGAAGGCTGAAGAGTTGCTGAGAGACATGGAGGCTGGGGAGGGGATGGGGGACGGGGAGGGGGGAGGGGAGGGGGAAAGGGAGGGGGAAGCGGAGGGGGAAGGGGAGGGGGGAGAAGAGGGGGAGAAGGAGAAGGAAGGGGTGCGTTTGGCTAGTGATTCGCGTGTTCGTGCCGCCCGGTATGCACTACTGTTGCGCCATGCCGGCCTTGCAGGTGACGTGGCACGCACCGAGAATCTTCTGTCACAAATGCGGGGGGCTGGACTACCGCCGAGTTCCGCCGCCCTCGAAGCGCCAGTTGTCGCGTGCGCATTGGCTGGAAAGCGGAGGAAGGATTGGGAGGGAGGGGGGGTGGGTGGGGGAAAGGGAGGTAAGGAGGGGATGAAAGGGGGAGGGGGAGGAGAAAGGCTGTTGAGTTTGGCGGAGAGAGCTGAAAAGGGGATTGGAGAGCTTGAGTCGGAAGGTTTTCTGCCCGGGCAGGTGGTGCTGACGGCACTGATGGAAACTTACAACCACGCCGGGCAGCACGAAAAAGTTTTGCAGGTGTGGCCGAGAGTGGTGGAGGCTGGTAGCAAGTTTTTTAAAAGGGTGAAGAGCGATACTGGGAAGGCGGAGGGCGAAGATGAGGAAGGGGAGGAGGAGGAAGGAGGAGGAGGATTGGAGGGGGAGGAAGGGAAATTGGATGGGCGAGGGCAGGGGGCACGTGATAAAGTAGCAGAGGGCACAGCGGTGATGGTGAGAGCTTATAACGCGTTTGTGGAGGGGTTGGTGGGTGCAGGTGAGATGGGGAGGGCGGAGGAGGTGGTGGGGGAGATGGCAGCTGAGGGGATCCCTGGGTTGCACCTGAGGGAGGCTTATCTGTCACTGCTGAGGGGGTATGTGCGGATGGGAAGGGTTGGGGGAGGGGGAGGGGGAGGGCACAGAGAATCTGGAAAGGAATCGGATTTGGGAGGGGGAGAGGGAGGAGGAGTAGTGGAGGGGATGGGGCAGCGATTGGGTATGGGAGATGGTGGGGAAGAGGAGTGGAAGGGAGGGGAGGGTAGGGAAGAGGCAAGGAAGGCTTTGGAGGCAGTGGGTGGGTGTTTCCGAACCATGATTCAGGCTCGGTGCGAGCCGAACCAGGAGGCTTGGAACCTGTACATCCGGGCGTTGATTCAGGCGGGGGAGATTGGAGAAGCTATGAAGGTGTACAGAGCGATGCAGAGTGGTGAAGAGGCGACCAAGAAGAGAAAGGAGAAAGGCAAGGGTGGGGGGAAAAAGAAGGGGAAGGGGGTAGCGGTGGGTGCAGGGATGAGCGCAGAGGGGGGTGAGGGGGTGGGTGAATCAGGGAGGGTTACGGTGATTGGGTCGGGTTTGGAAGGAGGTTTGGTAGTCAGGTTCGGGCCGAACCAGGAGACGTACAACATGGTGATAGCTGCTGCTGGTGCAGCTGGTGATGTTGACATGGTGCGATCCGTCTACACCGATTTGAGAGGCGGCATTCCTCTCGCAGCCCGTGCTCCTCCTGCTGCTTCTGCTGCTGCTTTCGAGGTAGGGGACACAGAGGAAGAGGGGGAAGAAGAGGGAGGAGAGGGAGAATCAGGGGGGGCAATGGTGCGAAGCGCGCCTGCAAAGCTTAAAGCCCGGCTACTCGGTCCAGCGAGACAAGCCGCCCTGCGAGCGGTCGGCAGGCGGCGTCTGCTAGCGGATGAGTCCGCAGGGCTGAAGCTCTCGCAGGAGCAGCGGCAGATCTTATCTGGGCTGATCCTCGCTGGCGCTGACGTGGCGAGCGATGATGGGGCCGCGACGGCGGCGGTGCGGTTTGCAGTGGCGGCGGGGGAGGAGAGGAGGGAGCGGGTGATAGAGCACCTGTATGAGTTGTTTGGGGAGTGGGCTGTTGGACCTATCGTGGAGGAGGAAGTGAGTGTGGATGGGGGTGGGGAGGAGGGTAGTGGGGACGTGAGTGGGGAGGCGGTTGGAAGGATGGTGGGGAGGGAGGAAGGGGAGGAAGGGAGTGAAAGGGAGGAGGGGGGGAACGGGGGGAGAGAGAGCGAGGAGGGTGACTGGAAGGAGCAGGCAGTGGATAATTCCAGGGAGATGGGCAGCATGGGCAGCACGGGCAGCATGGGCAGCTCGGGCAGTACAGTGGGCAGGAGGCAGCGAGTGCTGACGTTCAGCACGGTGCCGCACGCCTCCCTGGTGTTCTACCTGCACCAGTACCGCCCTGAGAAGCAGGACGGGCGGGCCGTGGTGCCTCGTCTCGTGCACAAGTGGCTCACCCCGCGTGCCCTCGCCTACTGGTACATGTATGCCGGTCAACGTGGTCAACCCAGTCAACGGGGAAAGCAAGGTCAGCCCGGAGGGTCGATAATTCTGGATGCGGGGATGTACCAGGCGAAGGAGGTGGCGCTTATAGTGAAGGCGCTTAAAGCGAGGACGATTGACTGTGCACAGAGCAAGAGGGGGAAGGGGAGCAAAGGGCAGCGTGCTGTGAGATTCTCGGGCCCCTCGGCTCAGTTCCTGTGGAAGTTCATGGAGCCGTTTGTGTTAGAAGAAGTCAAGGAAGAGTTGAACCCTGTGGGTGGAAATCGGAGCGGAGGAGGGAAAGGGAAGGGAGGGAGAGTGGGATTGGGGAAGTTCAATGTGGGGGAGGGAGGGGTGGTGGTGGGTGAGGAGAAGTTTGTGGGCGGTGCAAAGGGTGTGGCAAAGGAGGAGGCAAGGGAGAGTGAGGAGGATCGGCGGGAAGGTTGGGTGAGCCTGACTCGAGCAGTGAAGGAGGCAAAGCATGGAGGTTACGATGGTTGATCATGCAAATATAGCTTGTGGCTGCTCCATCACACTAAGATTGTGTTAACAAGCATTTCGAACCAATGTTCACCTCATGTCGATGGCAGGGGGGGTAGTTATGCAGTCAATCTTAAAGCTCTGCCATGCCAGTGTGTATTTGTTATTGTGGTGAGCTGTGAATTTCTTACACTGGTGTTCCGTGTCACTCTGCGGCAGCAAAAGGAGCACCTGTTGTCTTCTGTGTTGCTTACATCAGCACGTTGTTATCTTCTTTTGGTGTGGTGTAGTGAACCGTTGATGGACATACTACTTTGATCGTGTCACATGCTCGATCGACCATTGAGCTGGAAGGCGTCCTGCACTTCCACCTTCTCCCCATCACTGTGCGTATGCCTCTCATGTTAGCTCAACCTCACTTCCACTTATCACCGTGAACGAGGGCTTGACCTGTAGCAGCAAGATAGTCCTCGCGACACACACGGTCACATGGCACACCATGGGCACGCCAGTCGTCTCGTCCTGCACTGCAGGAAGGGACACCGTCCTGCTTGGGTGTTTGTGCTCAACCTGTCCTCACGCTATAGCATGGCATACCCGAGCCAGGGCAGGGCATTATGCCACTGTACGCCAACGGCACAGCACCTGCAGAAAGACACTCCATTCTGCTTGCCTGCTTGTTTGTGCCCAGGCAGGCGCCTTCGAGGCTGTACAGTGCCCACCCCACCCACCTATTCAACCGCAACATAACACACCAAAGCAAAGATAGGCACACCTAACCACACCTAAGCAAAGATAGGCACACCTAACCACACCAAAGCAAAGATCGGCACACCTAACCACACATAAGCAAAGATAAGCACACCTAAGCACAGCTAAGGACAGCAAAGCATGGCCAAGCACAGAAACGTGGCATCTTGAGACCTTCGTGTTCCACTGCCACGTGAGCAGGGAGACCTTGTGAGCAGGGAGACCTTGTGAGCGGGGAGACACTTACAAGCTGCAAAAGCGCACACCAGCACACAAGAGGAGCTGATTAGAAGGAAAAAGAAGCTGTGAAGCAAGCACTACGTGAAAATTGTACGTTAGCAAGGGCTAGGAGAAGAGGAGCGGCGATCAGAGACACGAGGGGCGAGCAGAGAAGACGAGAGGACAGGACAGGAGGAATTTGAGAGGAGAGCAGAGAAGACGAGAGGACAGGAGAGGAGGAATTTGAGAGGTGAGCAGAGTGGCATTAGCATCCGGCAACACAGCAGCTAAGACACATGGCATTGTGGAAAAAATAATCTCCCGTCACACCTACCATGAAGAAATGCACAGCAGTGCTGTTGCTGCCACTGCTTCCCCCGCAGTTGTTGGAATGACAGCAATGGGATATGGAGAGGGGAGAAGACCAGGGCACCAGAACAACAGGACAAAGAAAGAGGGGAGCACGAGAAAAATGAGAAGGAGGCAAGCAATATATATAAAAAAATGGAATCACAGGGTTAAACTGTAAAAAAGGGAAGCACATGCACAAAATTGACACAGAGTGATGAGCGCTACGCAACACAAAGGAGAAAGAGGATGGGGTAGATAATACTTACGTTGAAAGTCAAAGCCCGGTTGCTGCCTCTTCTCCCACCCATTCCCCGTCCTTTCCATGCCATTCCCCTTCGACTCGCAGGCCGTGAGGGGAGGCACACACGCACATGGGTAGAAAAACACGAACACAGAAGCGGCACCAACCAGCAAGGGTCAGAAGGAGCAGGAGGCGAATGGCGGAGCCAAAAGCAAGAAACAAGACTCTTGCCTCTGCGCGGCGACGCTCTACGACTCACAACACTCCCCCTGCAAGCACCCCTTGGCGCGTACCATGCTCTGCCGCTCCTGCGAGCCACGCCTTCACTTCAGGCGTCCACCATTGCTCTCCGTCTCGCAGGCCACAAGGCACACACACACACACACACACGGGGAGAAACACACACACAGAATCGATGCAACAAGGGAGGGTTAGAAGCAGCAAGAGGCGAGTGATGGACCCACAAGCAGCAGACACGACTGTTGCCTCTGCGCGGCGACATGCTACGACTCACTACACTGCCCCTACAAGCAATCCCTCGCACATACCACGCTCTGCGGTTTTGGTGCTCGGCCGCTCTGCCTGCTGGACCACGCCCGTGTGCTGCTCCAGTTGCTCAGTTGCTCCAGCACCAAGCCGATGCTGATGCTGATGCTGATGCGCTGATGCTGATGCGCTGATGCTGATGCGCTGATGCCGATGCGTTGATGCTGATGCGCTGATGCTGATGCGCTGAAGCTGCTGCGTTGATGCTGATGCTCTGATGCTGATGTGCTGATGCTGATGCGCTGATGCTGATGCGCTGATGCTGATGCGCTGATGCTGATGCGCTGATGCTGATGCGCTGATGCTGATGCGCTGATGCTGATGCGCATGCACACACACACGCATCGCTGGCAAGGATGTGGACAAGAGACCTGAGCAAGGAGAGGAGAAGCGAGTGGATGAGCGGCTGACTGAGGATGTGAGAGAGCACTGGTGTGGCTGAATAGATGGCAGAGGGCAGCGGGCGACAGGACTGAGACGTCAAGCCACGCATGATGCATCCGCCCTGCTGCCGCAACTTCACTCACAGGTACCTCTTGCAGGACGGTTGTCTCTGCAAAAGAAATGAGCCTCGTTGCTGCCCCTTGCACTTGCAGGACGGTTGTCTCTGGTGCGGGCCCGCAATGGAAGCTCCGCCCATCCCCCCTCCACTCAGTGCGATTCCCTTCGCCTCGCAGGCCGTGAGGCACACACACGCATGGGGAGAGGGGAGAGATACACAGCCACACAGAAGCGATGCAACAAGGGAGGGTTAAAGTCAGCGGGAGGGGAGTAATGGACCCGCAAGCAACAGACACGACTCTTGCCTCTGCGCAGCGACACACTACGACTCCCTTCACTGCCCCCCTGCAAGCACCCCATGGCACGTACCACACTGTGTCCGCTGCTCTGCCACTCTTGCGCCACGCCTTCACTTGAGGCGTCAACGTGCTGCCATTGCTCTCCGTCTTGCTTGCCACGAGGCACACACACACACGGGGAGAGAGAGCCACACACACGCACACACGGGGAGAGAGAGACACACACACGCACACACGGGGAGAGACACACACAGGCACACACACGGGGAGAGAGAGGCACACACAGAAGCAGTGCAAAAAACGAGGGTTAAAAGCAGCAGGTGGCGAGTGATGGACCTGCAAGCAACAGACACGACAATTGCCTCTGCGCGGCGACGCTCTAAGACTCAGTACACTCCCCCCTGCAAGCACCCCCTGGCACGTACCACACTCTGTCCACTGCTTTGCCACTCCTGCACCATGCCTTCCCTTCACGCCTGCTGCTCCAAGTTGCTCCAGGTTGCTCCGTTGCTCTTGCTGCCCATGCTCGCAAGCCGTGAGGCACACACACGCATGGAGAGAGAGAGACGCACACAGAAGAGGCACCAACAAGGGAGGGTTAGAAACAGCAGGAGGGGAGTGGCGGAGGAAAAAGCAAGAGACACGACTCTTGCCTCTGCGCAGCGACGCCCTACGACTCACCACACTGCCCCCTGCAAGCACCCCCTGGCACTTACCACGCTCCATGTGCCGCTTTGGCGCTCTGCCGCTCTGCCTGCTGCACCGGTGCTGCTCCATGTTGCTCCGTTTCTGCGCCAAGCATTTGCCCCAAGCAGCGCCTTGCTGCTGCCCGTGCTCCAGGTTGCTTGCCGTCTGCTGCTGCTTCAGTTGTTGCTCTCGTCGCGACCACCACCGCGTTGCTGCAGAGAAGAGGAGAGGACAGGAGAGGAGGGGATTGGGAGTTGAGAAGAGTGGCACAAACACATGGCAGCACAGCTGCAAACACTTGTGGCGCCATGGAAAAATGGTAGACAAGAGAGCACGGAACACAGAAAGCAGAAAGATGGTGACCAGTGGCACACTACTCGATCTGATCCACCCACAACTCCCTGTGTGCTTGCCATCTTTCTACAATTGCTGCAACCACCGGTGTTCCGTGTGGTGCTGTGCGGTGCGGTGCAGTGCGGTGCCATGCGGTGCTGTCCGGTGTGCTGCGGTTCCATGCGGTGCACTGCGGTGCCATGCGTTCTCAGCTGTACCGAGCCGTGCGATGTGGTAGCTTGTTGTGCGGTGCGGTGCAGTGCTGTGCAGTGCCGTGCGGGGCGCTGCGGTGCCGTTCAGGGCGCTGTGGTGCCGTGCGGAGCACTGTGGTGAGCTGCGGTCCCGTGCGGTGCCTTGCGGTGCGCTGCTGTGCCTTGCGGTGGGCTGTGGTGCCGTGCGGTGCGCTGCGGTGCCGTGTGGTGCGCTGCGTGCGGTGGGCAGCGGTGCTGTGCGGTGGGCAGCGGAGCTGTGCGGTGCCTTGCGGTGCGCTGCGGTGGGCTGCGGTGCCTTGTGGTCGGTTGCGGTGCCTTGCGGTGCGCTTCGTGCCTTGCGGTGCACTGATGCTGATTTGACGTTGCGAAAGGATAAGCTGTACTCACCCCTCCATTTCTGCTGAAGCCACCATTGCAGCTGCCATTGACTGTGTAAGTGACGCTGGCACCACTGGCACCGCTGCCCACGCTGTTGGTTCTGGACAAAAGGTGTGGCACTTGGCTATGTCTCACTCCTCCACTGCTGCTGGCACCAGTGCTACTGCGTCCAATGCGGCTGCCCACGGCGCTCGCTCGGGATAAAAGTTGCTCCAGGTTGCTCCGGCTGCCCATGCTCGCAGGCCGTGAGGCACACACACACAAGCATGGGGAGAGGGAGAAACGCGCACAGAAGCGGCACCAACAAGGGAGGGTTAGAAGCAGCACGAGGGGAGTAGCGGAATCAAACGCATGAGACACGACTCTTGCCTCTGCGCGGCGACGCTCTATGAATCACTACACTCCCCCCTGCACGCACCCCCTGGCGCGTACCACACTGTTTCCGCTGCTCTGCCCCTCCTGCACCACGCCTTCCCTTCACGCCTGCTGCTCCAAGTTGCTCCAGCTTGCTCCATTGCTCTTGCTGCCCATGCTCGCAAGCCGTGCGGCACACACACGCATGGGGAGAGAGAGAGACGCACACAGAAGCGGCACCAACAAGGGAGGGTTAGAAACAGCAGGAGGCGAGTGGCGGAGGCAAAAGCAAGAGACACGACTCTTGCCTCTGCGCGGCGACACTCTACGACTCACCACACTTTCCCCCCACAGCCGTCTCGTTCTTACGCACCGTTGTGGATCGTCAGCGATCTCTAAGCGAATGGTTGTGAGCTTTGAAAGAACGCTCGCGATTTTCAGATTGTCTGCAGCAACCTCTTTTGTACGCTGCAGCGATGGCACAGGGAGAGGGGGGAGAACAGGTAAGGACAGGGAGAGAGGGAGAACACAGACGTTAGTGGGTGGGTAATCTCACATACAAAGGGAAGAAAGAAAGCGACGTAAGTCTCTAAGCATTCCTATCCTATACTGCTACGTGTTCCCCCCCCCCCCAGCCTTCGCGCTAATACGTACCATTGAAATTGAAGGAAACTCCGGCAAAATCTTTGACCTCTACCGATTCTTCACTGGTGAGATCTCGTTCAGACGCTGCACCGATGGCGCTGGATCGAATCCCGTGCCTCCGATTAGCAATCGCACACATGCAAAGGGGGAACGAGGCGAACGCGGGGAGAGGGACAACAGACGCGTTAGTGGTAGGGTAGATTCACACATGACGCAAAGAAGGAAAGTGACGAGACTCGCTAGGCGGTGCAGTCCTAGACGCCTACATGAATCCCCTCATCAAACCGTCGCTCTTACGTACCTATAATCTTTCATTTCATTGATCGCGTGCGAGATATAAGGTAACCCCTGCGACGTCTAGCGAAACTTCACATGCGGTGTCTGCTGCGACCTCGTTCGGACGCTGCACCGATGGCGCCGGCTCGAATTCCGTGGCTCGGACGCGCACATGCAGGGGGGAGAACGACGAGGAGAACAGGGGAGAAAAACGGTAAACGCGTTAGTGGGAGGGTAATTACGCACTTGACGCGACGAAGAAGAGCGATGGAACTTTTTAGGCGTTCCTATCCTAGACGCTTACAGGAATCACCCCCCAAAGCCTTCGCCCTTACGTACCGTTTATCGTCCCCTGATCGCCAACGATCTCCAAAGGAACGCTTGCGAGCTTCAAACGGCGATTCTTAAGGTGTTTGGCGCAACCCTTAGCCGGACGCTAAGACGACCCGAATCCCGCGCCTCCGTGTTAGTCGCACACATGCAAATGGGAGAACGAGGAGGACAGGAGGCGAGGGACGGTACACGCGTTAGCGGAAGGGTATAATTGAACATGACTCGAACGGGGAAAGCGACGAGACTCTCTAGGCTTTCCTGTCCTAGACGGCTACATGATTCCCCCACCAGCCTTCGCTATTACGTACCATGATTGATCCTTCATTGTTTGCGAGCGAAATCAAGGGGAACGCCGAGGAACTCGATGCGAACAAATGTGATCCTCATGGCGAACGGCCGAGAACAATCTCCCGTGAACTGCGTCACGCTGCTTCGAAACGTGCTTTGCGACGTCTTAAACTTGACGCATCGAAACGACCACCCCCTGACGGCCAGAAATCGGAATGAAAAGCGCTGCTTGCGATGCCGGTCGGCGAACACTATTGCTGCCGTTTGCGAACTGCTGCGTACGTTGCTTCCCGCTATTCGTACTCCAAAAAAGGCTGCGTTGTTCCGAGCTGACTTTTGAGTGTCAAAAAAGAGTATTCGTACTCAAAGGCCAGCAATCTCGACGGCCGATTGTCTGTTCCGTCCGGTTGGAGGCTGTCTGTCGTCGATGCTGCTCCTACCGCTGCCAGTCTCACGGGGGTTGAGAAACGTTTGCTTCACACTGCCAGTTTCGACGGTGGAGCTAATACTCCGTCACTCGGACTGGAGGATGCATAACTTGGCTTTATTCCAAGACTCGCTGGAACAACCGCCTCCCGTCGCACGAGCCTTTCATGATTCGAAAGACCATCTCACGTCAGCTATTGCGTCATGTCGTCTTGTCGCCGCGTCACTCCACTCTAGAGTTTAGCAGGTCGCTGGAGGGCAAGCAGAGGTAGACGGGAACCCGAAAAGGTGCACTACACGGCTACCTCTAGAGCTGCGATTTGTTGCTGTGGGAGCCTCCGTAGCAAAGCTTTTCGCGAAGAAGCGTTGCTGGATGTCGCAACCGTCGTACAGAATGAACTGTATCAACGCTGAGCCTAGCCGAAAGCGCGAGCAGCAGTTGGTCGTTTCTTCTGAAAATCACCCCTCGCTAAATGAAAATGAAGTCGACAATAAGAGCTTTGTTCTAGGGAGCTTAATGTATAACAGTAACAGATAGAGTAACGGCTTAAAGCCCAAGTACAGCATGGTATTCTTCAAGTTCAAGATTCTTGAACTTGAAGTCGCAGAAAACAGGGTAACCCGTTTTGGTTTGAAAAAAAACTCGCTACCCAGGGACAAGCTCCTGCGACAGTCACTCCTGATTGGTTTCTGTGACCTGTCGCACAACAGATCAGCCCATCGCCCACAAGGTTGCCTCGATCTCCTCTCACAAATCTTGAAGACCAAGTAGTACTCCTAGTCTACTAGAATACTCACGTAACTAGTAAAAGCGCGGCTGGACGATAAAAGCTAGCTCAGGTAGAATCGTTTTTCTCTGCCCAACACTAGTCAATCCCGCTGTCCGGCCACGCACAACTTCATGCCAAACCCGCTATTACCGTACCGTTTTCGCATGCCAGACACGGATCCGTTCTAGCGCACGGCACGCGCAATGCTCGTAAATGGCATTCCCGAGTCGCGACTGGTGATCCCGCTAACATTCCCTCCCGTCGTTTGATCCCTACCATCACTGATCACTCGTCCCTCCTTACCTGCCGCCCTCGCTTCCTCTCTTGTCGTCACGTTCGTTGCCCGTCGTCCCTCTCCATCACCCTCGTGTCTCCTTCCTTTGGGCCACGCTAGGTCTCCCCGTCACGTTCCTTACTTTGCCTTTCCCGTCACCCTCGTCTCCCCTGGCCGTCGCCCTATTTCGCCTCGTCGACCGTAACTCCCCTTTAAAAAGCGTTATGTTTCGCATCAATCTCGGAGTTTTTTAATGCATATATATTTTACTCGCCCGTAATTCCCCGCTTCGCCCGTAATTCCATTATCCCCCTTCTCTCCCTCGCTTCCGTTCGTCGCCCGCAATTCTCCACGCCGCCGCGATTCCTCACGCCGCCCGCGATTGCCCACGCCGCTCGCGATTGCCCACGCCGCTCGCGATTGCCCACGCCGCTCGCGATTGCCCACGCCGCCCGGCGACTCCCGCCGCCGCGATTCCCCGCGTTGCCGTCGCTCTCGTTTCCCCCCGACGCCCGGCTTTCCCACCACGCACCACACGCCTTCTCCCCTACATACACCACCCACCTTCCTCTCCCCGCACCACCTGCCTTCCCCCACACACAGCACCGACCTTCCTCTCCCCACACCACCTGCCTTCCCCCACACACAGCACCGGCCTTCCTCTCCCCGCACCACCTGCCTTCCCCCACACACAGCACCGACCTTCCTCTCCCCGCACCACCTGCCTTCCCCCACACACAGCACCGACCTTCCTCTCCCCGCACCACCTGCCTTCGCCCACACACAGCACCGACCTTCCTCTCCCCGCACCACCTGCCTTCCCCCACACACAGCACCGACCTTCCTCTCCCCGCACCACCTGCCTTCCCCCACACACAGCACCGACCTTCCTCTCCCCGCACCACCTGCCTTCCCCCACACACAGCACCGGCCTTCCTCTCCCCGCACCACCTGCCTTCGCCCACACACAGCACCGACCTTCCTCTCCCCGCACCACCTGCCTTCCCCCACACACAGCACCGACCTTCCTCTCCCCACACCACCTGCCTTCCCCCACACACAGCACCGACCTTCCTCTCCCCGCACCACCTGCCTTCCCCCACACACAGCACCCACCTTCCTCTCCCCGCACCACCTGCCTTCGCCCAACACCACACGCCCTCGTGTTCCTCCTCATACCCACCCTCCTCCCCCCCTCATACCTGCCCTCCTCCCCACATACCCACCCTCCTTCCCCCCACGTACCCGGGACAGAGGAGGAGCGTGAGAGGAGGAGCGTGAGAGGGGGAGGGGGAGAGGGGGAGAGAGAGAGTGGGAGGGACAGAGGGGGAGGGACACAGGGGGAGGGACAGAGGGGGAAGGACAGAGGGGGAGGGACAGAGGGGGAAGTACAGAGGGACAGATTCAGTGGGGGAGGGAACGAGGGGGAGGGACGGAAGGGGAGGGAGAGAGAGGGAGGGAGAGAGGAGGGTGGGAGAGAGGCGAGGGAGAGAGGGGGAGGGAGAGAGGAGGGAGAGAGAGGGGTGGACAGATGGGGAGGGACAGAGGGGGAGGGACAGAGGGGGTTTGAAATATGGTGTTGGAAGGGAGGGGGCTGGATGGATTGTGTGAGACGGGGGGGTGATTTGAAATTGGGGGATGGTGTGAGATGGAGGTGGCGTGTGCGATTGAGTGATGGCGCATGGGATGAGGTGGCGTAGTCTGCACATTGCTCCCCCCCATCCCCTTCCCTGCTTCACCCTATGTCCTTCCCTGCTCCCCCCCATCCCCTTCCCTGCTTCACCCTATGTCCTTCCCTGCTCCCCCCCATCCCCTTCCCTGCTTCACCCTATGTCCTTCCCTGCTCCCACCCATCCCCTTCCCTGCTTCACCCTATGTCCTTCCCTGCTCCCCCCCAACCCCTTCGCTGCTTCCCCCCATCCCTTTCCCTGCTTCCCCCCATCCCTTTCCCTGCTTCCCCCCATCCCTTTCCCTGCTTCCCTGCCGCCATCCGTCATTCCTTCGCACCTTCCCTCACTCCTTCCCACTCTCTCTCATTCCTTCCCGCCGTCTCTCATTCCTTCCCTCATTCTCCTTCCTCCCAACCTCACACGCTCTCACTCCTCTCGCACTCTCTCTCTCCGTCCTCTCGCACTCTCACTCTCCTTCCCACCACCCTCAGCCCTCCTTCCCCTCACCCTCTGTCCTGTTCCCACCTGCCCTCCCAATCCCTGCCTTTCCCTCCCTGCCCTGCCCTTCCTTTCCCCATCCCTTCTCAACCCTTTCCTTCCTTTTCGTGCCCTCCCCTCTCCCCTCCATCCTCACCTTCCGCCCTCTTGTTCCCATGGATGTGCACCCATCAATGATTCCCCATACATGCTTTCATCATGTGTGCTTCCTTGTATACCCTTGCGGTTGTTCCCTTGCACCTCACACCACCTCCGCCATGTTTCTTCACACAATTCTTTCTGCCCACTCCACTCTCCTAATTATCAGTGGTGAAGCAGAGGAGCAAGCTGAGGCACAGCTAGTCAATGCTTTACACCTTACCACCGACTGTTTCTTGTGTGTTGTATGCAAGCATGATATGAGACTGCTGTTGGAGATATATACCTTGTTTCTGCAGTGCAATATATTCTTCCAAAATGCATGGACACTAAGAGTGTCAGAAGGGTACATCGAGGCATGTTCCTAATACTTCTGATTGTACCTTTCTCAAGGCCTTGAAAAAACACGAGAGGAACTGTTTTCTCTACGAGCATGGCATGGGATGATGGGCTGAGGCGAGTTGCAGTATCAGAAAAATCTTCAGTGTAGTCACTACAATAGCGAGGGAGAGGGAGACAATACGAGGGATTGAGAGGGGGGACAAGAAAAATGTCAAACAGGGGAGATATGGGAGATATGGGAGAGCAGGGAGGGAAATGACGAGAAGCAGGGAGGGCAATGACGAGAAGCAGGGGGGGACATGAGGGGAAGCAGGGGGGTAAATGAGGGCAAGCAGGGGGGGAAATGAGGGCAAGCAGGGGGGGAAATGAGGGGAAGCAGGGGGAGAAATGAGGGGAAGCAGGGGGGGAATGAGGGGAAGCAGGGGGGGAAATGAGGGGAAGCAAGGAGGGAAATGAGTGGCAGCAGCGGGGGAAATGAGGGGAAGCACGGGGTAGAATGAGGGGAAGAAAGGGGGCAAAGTAAATGAGGGGAAGTAAGGGATGAAAGGCGGGACAGAGAGGAAAGGGGGAAGTGCGGAAGAGAGGAAGGGTGCAAGTGAGGAGCTAACATGGGAGAAGCAAGGGGCTAGCAGGGGGGTAAACGAGGGGATAGGAGAGGGGAAGAGGAGGAGATAGGAAGAGGGGGTGGAGGAGAAAAGGGGAGAGAATGATTCGGGGGGATAGGGAAGATGGGAGAGGGAGGGGAGGAGGTTGAACGAGGGAGGAGAGGGGAGGGAGGGGATTGGACGAGGGAGGAGAGGGAAGGGAGGAGAGGATTAGCGGCAAGCAAGGGGGGAAAGGAGGGGGAGCAGGGAGGAAAAGGAGGGGAAGGAAGGGTGGAAAGGAGGGGAATCAGGGGAATCCGCCTCATCCCCTTCCTCGTCATCCCCTTCCGCGCCTCATCCCCTTCCTCGTCATCCTCTTCCGCGCCTCATCCCCTTCCTCGTCATCCTCTTCCGCGCCTCATCCTCTTCCGCGCCGCACCGGGAGAAACCGCGGTGGGGGGAACGGCGAGCGGAGGCGCGGAGAGGCGAGCGGCGCGGCGAGGCGAGCGGAGGTGCAACGAGGGGAGGCTTCAAGAAACGAGGGGAGGCGTGACGACAAGAGGCGAGGCACGAGAGAATGCGCGGCGAAAAGATGGGTGGCGCGACGGGAGGTGGCGCGATGGGCGGAGGAACGCGACAATGGGAAGCGCGACGATTGGAGGAGCTCGAGGGAAGGGGAGGCGCGTCCTATGAGCCAATCAGGGAGGTGCGTGGGCAGGCATGGTGAAGTGGCTTCACTCACCCTCGCCCCCCCACAGTGACTTCGTGTATGCGCTTGAAGAGTCCCTATATCCTGCCTATTTTATGCTGCGCTGCGCTACCTGAGTAGGTGGAGTAGTTAGTTTGATTGAAGTAGTTAGCTTGGTTGAAGTAGTAGATTGATCGTGGTGTTTTTTCTCCTCACTCGTTCTGAGGTTGTTGGAGCTTCCCGTGCGATCCTTGCGACACTCCTTCCTGTCGCCCGACGCTGTTCTGCAAATTTGTCAAAGCTGCACAGTATCGTTTACCATCACTTCACGTTTGGCGAGGCCCCTTTTCCCCTCGTCAGTAAATCCCTTTTTCGCTACACTGACTTTGCCGAAATTCTTGTTTTCAAGGTTTCGCTAACACTATTTCAAAACCACATAACTTGAAGAATTACCATGCTGACCCCGGGCTTTAATGAGCCGTGGACTAGTAACAGATAGAACCAGTACAGGAACCACAGGTTATAGACAAGTGGAAGTACCCGGCAACTATTCAATAGTAACTCATCCGTCTAATCAGCTCAAACCGTAGCCGTACTGTTGCAGAAGCTAAGGGACCTAAGTCGGGAACATGGAGGACTAATCTTCCGAGGAGAGCTAGTACCAGGTCCAGTGACTTGCATTCTGACTAGTGACCAGAGAAGGGAGGAAAGCCTTCGGATGGGAAATTGGGAATGCCCTGGAAAGTTCCGCTGCTGGGGAAAGCAAAGCTGCCGCCGTGTGACGGTAAGGGAACGGCGGTGTGAAAGATTTCTGACATGCTCGTGAGATGGTTGGACACGTTGCGCGCCAAAAGTGTGCCAGTTTGAAAGCTTTCAGCGGTTTCTCGCTGTAACGTGGCTCGGTACGGTATCACACGCGATACCTCTTTCTCGATTTGTGAAAGACATCAAAGCACCATTCGAATATATTTGAACACTATCATGGAGAAATGGGATGTTGAAAGGACAAGGGAAATATTTAGGTAATTACTTATGGTTTGCCATCATCCAGGAATACCTACACATTTGCAAGCAAGCGTCATAATTTCTGAAATTCTCGAAACATCAGGAGGAGGTCCATGAAACATTTATGGCATATAGTGGTGGCAATGTGGTGGCCACATGCTGGTAAAGCTTTGCCAAACGGTTAAAATTATCCAGCACTCACTTGGCTTTCCGCCGGAGCTCATACAGGTACCCTAGAACAAGAACTCCAGCAGTGACAACAGCACCAAAAGCACTTTGGGCCAAGATGGTGGATGCACTAACAGTCTCCTTGGCTGCAGCATCAGCTTCCCAGAATGCTGGAGAGGTATCCTTGCACCCAAGCTCAGACATTTTCTTGTGTGCAGATGCGTAGTCCCTAAAAAACGCCTCCTCATCCTGCAAATTACAACGGAAGGCAAAATGGACTCATAAGTAATCATACTACCCTCCAACCAACTCAAGGAACAATCACAACAGCCCTCTATCGCTTACCTTTGCATACAACTCAACGAATGGACGAAACTTGGGGTCCTGCATGAGGCACTTGTCCGTGGGAAGCTGGAGTAGTCCTGTAGCGTCTCCTTTCAAGAGCTCACTGTTGCAGGGGCACAGGGAAAGTATGCTTGAGTGGAAGAAGCTTCTGACACAACGAAAGTATGCTCAATCCCTGGCTCAGTTGTTCAGACTCACATATAGTAGGTGTTGTCAAACTTCAGTGGTTGCTGCGTCCATGCCCCCTCAAAGCCCGAACGATCCTTATGTGCACGCCCCTGCATGCACACTCGATGTTCAATCACACAATGCCTCATGTGCTTGCAGGGAAGCGAGTTAGCGGTGGCTTACCAGAGTGTGTGATCCACTCAATGCAACAATGTCTTGATCGCTGAACCCCATGCGACAAAATATATCTCGTAGGTGAGCAGATCCTGAAACAGAAAGGAGTCATTGGAAAATATTACTCACATACTCACACAAACAATCACGAATCCTCGAATACCACGAAGTGCAGTTCATGAATACGAGGTGTGGACAATTCGCCTGAATTCACACACCTTTATGAGCATCTGGCAGCCTGCCGTCAGGAGTAACAGCCAGGGAGTCCTGCCCAACCAGAGAATGAGTTGTGAGCACAAGAAAACACACATAAAGAAACTATGGAGGCGTGTGCTTGAGCTCACCTTTCGGCCAGCCTTGAAAGGAATGGTAGGACCTCCAGTTACTTCAACAGCTACCACGCCAGCTAACTGCTCAATCAAGACAGCAGTGAGTTAAAACGTCAGAAGAAGAATGATTGAATGCGCACAAAACACAAGACTGCACCTGGTAGATGTCAGCGTATGATACTCGTGGATGTTTCGCCTTGACCGGCTCTGCAGACAGGAAAACACTGCAATGAGTGCTAATCCTTCACCAGCACTGCGAACTGCGAAAAATGGCATGTGAGCTCACCAAGCAAGTCGATGCCTATCTTCATCCCTGCGTTTCCGCCATGAGTGTATTCCAGCTCGCTTCTGATCGAAGCATTCGGTCCGCCGCTTCTCGTCTTCGCGTCATAAGTGCCAGCATCGTGGAACCTAAATTCAGTTCACATGCGCAAGAACACAACACCATCACATTGCTAATTCTCGTAAAATAAGGTATACGGTTTAATAAATACAACGATGTCCAGCGTCTTACGCCAAACGGAGCATAAGCGGAGCGCAGCTCTTCTCCGCAATCAATGCTCGCAAGTCTCGCCTGACCGCCTCTATCTCCTTTAAGTAATCCGCGTCAACCGTAGGGGCCTGCATGATTCCTTTTTCGCAGAAATCGGCCTACTTCGAGGCAATCCTGACCCTAACGAAGAAACGGCAAGCTCCGACGGATTACGTGACGCGAAACGGTCAGACGACACGGCGGCTGCGTGGGGAAGGACGCAACACGAAGAATGCAGAAATGTAGGCCGAAGAATGTGTTCCTCTCGCTGACTGGGAAACTGGGAACAATTGAGGCTGAGTCGCTGATTGGCTGAGAAAAGAGGTTGAAGAAGAAACAGGGGGGAACAATGGGGGCCAAGTAGGGGAAGTGCGTGTGGACCCAAGCAGACGAAACCTTGATGTTGGCCAGCTCATGAACTAGGGGCTGCTGGCGTGGCACGGACCACGTACGCCAGCAAAAGTGGTCCCTCCCTTGCCCTCGAGATAGGGAACGCTGACATATTCAGTTCCTTGTGCGCGTTTGAATCACAGTCTAGCAGGTAATTCTGATTGACCACTAACACATACTGCTAGTCCAGAAAAGGTTCTCCCATCCTATGCAATCCCAATGGGTGACCAGCAAAAATGGTGATCTTCATCTAATGAATCCAATGCATCCATCTTTTCCCTGTCTAATGAGAAACTGAATATGTCAGCGTTCTCTGCAATCCGACTTGCGCTCACAGACTTGGGTATTGTAACTGGCCATAAATAGGTTACAAGCAAGGCGAGGGAAGGGAAGGAGTTGTGTTGGACAGTCAGTATGCGGAAAATTTGGGCCGATGAAGAATAGCAGCAGAATCACCAGACAGGTTGAATGAAGCTCATCGACAAGACAGAACATACCCATTCCATGCTGCAGGCTCCATCTGAGGAGCACTTGAGAAGTTGACCGCTCGACTTCCTTCGCAACTTGTTGCACAATCGGATGCTGCAACAGCTGAGAACACAACACATATGAAAATAGCAATGTCTCGACGCGTGCCACGAAAGCTGTGTGGAAGAACGAAGCGAGCACAGGTACATGGAGCAAGACATTCCGTACCAATTTCACAGACATGACACCACACCTAGAAGTGCCAAAGCTGCCACTGGTAGCAACAGAAACCCACCTGGTAGCAACAGAGACCCACCTGGTAGCAACAGAAACCCACCTGGTAGCAACAGAGACCCACCTGGTAGCAACAGAAACCCACCTGGTAGCAACAGAGACCCACCTGGTAGCAACAGAGACCCAGCTGATAGCAGCAGAGACCCACCTGAAAGCATCAGAGACCCACCTGGCCACACCCCAGGGGGGAATAAGCTGCCACACAGATGCCACGCTCAGCACAGTAAGCCCGCAGAGGCTGCTGAGTCAGCAGCGGGTGCACCTCCACCTGGTTGACAGCTGGCGGGGCTGCAGAATTTGTCATCAAGTGGTCAAGATGGGTGGCAGTGAAATTGCTGACTCCAATGGCGCGGCATTTACCTGGGAGGGGAGAGAAGGCAAGTGTTATGATAATGGTGCTAGAAGACATAGCGCATAAGAAAACAAACAGGCCTCTCTGTGTTTCTTCTCCTAACCACTTCTTGCCTTTCCCCACCCCTCTCCACCCCTCTCTATCCCGTTCTGCCCCCATCCCCACTACTCCCCTCCCCTCTATTCCCCTCCCCACCACCCTCCTCTTCTCTTCCCTTTCCCCCCACCTTCTCTCTGAAGCTGCTCCAGAGCGCGCCAAGACTCCAGCCGAATCTCCGCATTCTTCTCAGACGCTCTGTTGGGTGAGGATGAGGGGAGCAGCACGGGAGGGAGAGGAAGTTTAGGGTCGATAACAAAGTTAAAAAACGCCTCAATGCAGGAAGATAACGGGGTACGAGCGGAAACAAAGGGCAGAATTGGGAGGAAAGGCAGAGGGGCAGGAAGGGCTGAATTACTCACCTATCTAGCTTTGCCACTCCAGGCCTGGGAATGCGGGAGGGGACAGAGGGGAGAAAGAGGAGAGGATAGGAGAGTTGAGGTTGAGGAGAGGAGAGGAGACGAATGGCAGTGCAAACACGGGTGCAGAGAGAAGGGTGATATGATTGTGCTGGAGTCATGCTTGGCACACGGGCAAGAGGAGAACAAGTGAAGGGCAGCACAAGTGATGGCAGGAGAACGGATGGCCGTAAGACCAAGGGAGTGTAGCGCAAGGAATGGACGAAGGTAAGGGAAAAGGGGGAGGGCAAGGAAGGAGGGCAAGGGGGAAGAGGGGCACGCACCAGTGCAGCAGGTAGAGGTCCTGATAGGGGTCGAGGGGCGGGTTGGACCGCGGGGCAAGACGCATGGAGGAGTGTGAGGTAGGGAGAGGAGAGTGAGGGGAGAGAGGAGAGTGAGAGGAGAGAGGAGAGTGAAGGCTTCTTTTGTCCTTGTCTGAGAAAAGTGCGAGGGAACGTGGAGTGGACATGGCAAAAAATTCCACACTCACTCATACACTCTTGCGCCATCACACACTCAATCCCTCACTTGCTCATTCACTCATTCACACTCACCAGGTAGTCTGTTTGCAGGCGTACACACACTCACTCACACACTCTCTCAAACTCATGCACATCACCGTGTACACGCTCTCCCTATCTCGATCCCCTCACTCCATGTCACTCGACGCACACTCACCAGGTAGTCTGTTTGCAGGCGCTCCACGGACGCCGCACATGCTGCTAGAGCCTGCTGGAACCTGGTGTGAGGGAGGGCGAGGGAGAGTGAGTGAGCGAGTGAGTGAGCGAGTGAGCACGTGAGTGAGTGAGTGGGAGCAGATTGTGTCGGAGGCGCCTCACATACATGCACCACGACATGCAGTCCATGCAGTGCATGTGTGATTGAGTGCACACATGCAGGCACTGATGTGCACACCCGATCACCCACACAACATGACGTCCTCACCCATGCTCGTAGGGCGAGGCCTTGGATGTGATAAACACCTCCTCCCTTGCAATGCCGTACTCCCTAATAGCATCCCCGATTTCCGCTTCATTCTTGTACACTGATGCGGTGTCTGCATTGAGAAAATTACAGCCCTTAGATGAAAGGAATGGTGATACGACCACAATTTATTGCCCACCCATGTGCCCACCCATGTGCCCACCCATGTGCCCACCCATGTGCCCACCCATGTGCCCACCCATGTGCCCACCCATGTGCCCACCTATGTGCCTGTATCCAGCTGCCAGCGCTGCTTTAACCGCCTCCTTCACCTCCCCCCCTTTGGCCTTGAATGTGCCCACTGCACGCACACAAGCATGCAAGCACGCACATACACACAGACAGGCATGCACGAACATGCACAAACGCAGGCATGCACAGGTGCACACACACGGAGAAATTTGGGACAGAGGGACTACACATGCAAAGAGAGAGGGCGAGGAGAGGGAGGTGGGGAGGGGGATGGCGCGACAAGGAGGGAAGACTGGAAGTGTGGGAGGGAGAGGGAGAGTGGTGGAGAGGAGGGGGTAGAGCTAAGGCAAGGAGGAAATGGGAAGAGATAAGTGAGGGGAAGGGGGAAGTATGGGCATGGACAAGGGTGGAAAGGGGGGAAATACTGGAAGGGCGAAGAGAGGGGCAGGCACGGGAAATGCGGAGGAAGGGAAAGGCGGAGGAAGGGGGATATGGAACAGGGAGGAAGGGCGGAAGGGGGAGGATGGAAGAAGGGTAGGATAGGGGGCGGACAGGGCGAGGACTGGATAGGGGGCGGAAAGGGCGAGGACTGGATAGGGGGCGGAAAGGGCGGAAAGGAGGGAAGGGCGGAAAGGAAGGGCGGGAAAGGCGGGAAGAGAGGGAAGGGCGGGAAGGGCGGAAAGGCGGGAAGGACGGGAAGGGCGGAAGGGCGGAAGGGCGGAAGGGGCGGGAAGGGCGCACAGGCGAGGCGGGGAATGGAGGTGCCATTAGCGAGGCGGATGGGCGATGTCAAATCCATGGCTGCGCGCTGATGGCTTGGCCTCGAGGCGCCGCGCCCGGAGGTGTGCGCGCGAGCAGTTGAAGCGAGCAGGCGAGGGCGACTGTCCGGAACGCCGTTCTGCGCGCCTCAAGCGCGGGCGGAAGCGCGGGCGGAAGCGCGTGAGGACAATGGGAGTCTGTGTCCGGGGCGCCGTACGTAAGGGGGGCTTTCCAGCAGGAGGCTGAGACTAGACGAGATCGGGAGCGTGGGGCGGAACGATATGAGAGTCGTGCGATGCGATGCGATGCAACAAAAGCCCAAATGTGGAAAAAAAAGGAGAGCAGAAAAGATCCAGGGGTGCTCCGAGAATCGAACTCGGGACCTCTCGCACCCGAAGCGAGAATCATACCACTAAACCAAGCACCCAGATGACAGCTGGATCCTAGTAAAAGTTTTGTAAAATTCAAGTCGTCTATCGCCCTTCCACACACCATTTGTCGGAAATGCGGAAGCCATGAAGCGCCAACAGGCCACCATCTCTCGTTTCTTCGCGCGCAAGCCGACCTCAGCGCAACCACTTCCCACCTCTCGCGCGCCATCCCCTTCCCACTCACAGCCGCCAGGTGCCGTCCGCGTCACCACTCCGCCATCCCTCCTCCGCCCGCCGCGCTCCTCCTCCGCCGCCGCAACCAGCGCCGACGGTCGCGGTGATCGTCGCGGTGGTGATGGTGGCGGCGGTGGCGGCGATGGTAGCGGTGGTAGCGGCGGTTTGAGAGAGATCGGATCGGCGGAAGCAGAAACTGAGAATGGGGTAGCCGGGGGGGCAGCTGGGGAAGGTGGGGGTTGGCGGAGAACAGGAAGCGTGGGAGAGCGGGAGAGTGGGGGCGTAAAGGATTGGGGGCCAGAGGGGAAGGCGGAGGGGAAAGGGGATGAGGTAGGAGCGGAGGGGGAAGGCGGAGGAGTTGTGTTCAAGCGGAAGCGGGCTGGGGGAAGGCGGGCAGCGCGGAGATTAGTGGCGGATGGGCGGGGGGATGAGGGGGATGGGGGAGAAGAAGAAGGGATGGGGCCACGAATGGGGGAGGACGAATGGGGGGAGGGAGAGGGGCGGAGTAAGAGGGCTCGGGGGGGAAAAACAGGGGTGGAAGAGACAGGGGGAGGGATATGGAAGGATGAAATTGAAGAGGGGAGAGCGGAATTGGCGGAAGGAGAAAGGGGCAAGACCCTTGTAGCAGCACCTGCTGCACTTGCTGTTGCTGCTGCTAAATCTGCTGCTGCAGCTGCTCCCACAACCACCACTGCCGCCCCACTCTCAGCAATTCGAGCCAGCTTCCTCCAGAGACTTGACTCCCACCCTTCCGAGAGAGTTGTTTCTCATCCTTCTTCCGCTCCTCACCCCACAACCACTACAACCACCAGGGTGGAAACCAACGATTTTATCCCCGGTATAAGCCTGCCCCTGCCAGGCACAAAGCTCACCCCGTTAGAAGAGCAGGTCGTGGCGCTGAAACGCCGCCACCCGGACGTTCTCCTATTGGTCGAGGTCGGCTACAAGTTCCGGTTTTTCGGGGCCGATGCTGACGTGGCGGCGAGGGTTCTCGGCATCTACTGCCACGTGGACAGAGCGTTTCTGACGGCGTCCATCCCCACGTTCCGCCTGCATGTGCACGTGAGGCGGCTCGTGGAGGCGGGCTTTAAGGTGGGCGTGGTGCGGCAGAGCGAAACGGCGGCGATTAAAGCCCACGGGAGCAACAAGGCCGGCCCGTTCGGCCGGCATCTGTCGGCTTTATACACGCGGGCAACGTTGGAAGCGGGGGAGGATCTGGGAGGGGAAGGAGGGGAGGGAGGGGAAGGGGGAGTGGGTGAAGGGGCCGGGATTGGGGGAGGGGGAGGGGGGATGGGGGGACGGCTGAGTAGTTACCTGGTGTGTATAGCAGAGGAGAGTGTTGGGGAGGGAGGGAAGGGGAAGAGGGAAGGAGGGAAGGGAGATGCTGGTGGTAGCACTGCTGCTGCTGCTGCTTCCTCTCCCGGCTTCTCCCCATCAGCCACGGATCTGGACTCGTCTCAAGGCGGGGAAACAGGCTCGGCAGCAGGCATGGGAGCAGGCTCGGGAGCAGGCTCGAGAGCAGGTTCGGAGGGCGATGTGCGGATAGGGCTGGTGGCGGTGGAGACGTCAACAGGGGACGTGGCACAGGGGTGCTTCACTGATGGTGTGCTGCGGGGGGAACTGGAGACCCACCTCGCTCACTTCGCCCCCACTGAGATTGTGCTTACTGGACCCATTACGCCAGCCACTCACAAGGTGAGGTGTGTTTTGAGTCGACTCAACGGGTGACGTGGCACAAGGGTGCTTCACTGATGGTGTGCTGCGGGGGGAACTGGAGACCCACCTCGCTCACTTCGCCCCCACTGAGATCGTGCTTACTGGAACTATCTCGCCAGCCACGCACAAGATGAGTTCTCTCTGCCCTCCCTGCTATCAGTGCTTCAGAAGAGTTCGCTCGCCCTTCCCCCTTCTGCGTTTCCCCGTTTCCGTCCTGCCCTCCCCCCTTGGCTTTCACCTCTTCCCCCTACCGCCTCCCCTCTCCCCGTTTCCCTCGTCCCCCGTCAACCCCATCCCCTCCGCCATCCCCCCCCCACCCTGACCCTCCCCGCTCCCACCATCAGCTCCTCTCATACCTCGCGTGCCGAGACCCCACACCAAGAGTCACCACGCCAGGGGGTGATGGGATCACTGCTGCTGCCGTGGTTGGGGGAGGCCCTGGGAAGGCTGGGGGCGGTGGTGGCAGGAGCAGCAGCAGAGGCAGCGGCAGCAGCATGTGTGGGGTGCGCGCCGCTCTTGCAGAGTTCTTTGCTACGATGCCAAACGGGGCTGCTTGTACTGAGGACGCAGGCAAGGGGCATGAGGATGGGAATGGAGAGAGGAAGAAGGAGAGGGAGCGTCAACAGGACGAGCAGCAGCAAGAAGTAGACCCAGCAGTGGAGGCGGTGCTCTCCATGCCACCAGTGCTGCTCAGAGCGCTCGCTGCTGCTGTTGACTATCTGAGGGAGTTCAACCTCCACCACGTGCTCGCTCTGGGCGGCGGCTTTCGTCCTCTCTGCACCGACCACCAGATGACTCTCTCCTCCAATGCTCTCGAGCAGCTCGAGGTGAGCTTTAAAGCCCCCTTTTAGATATTCTCAGAAACAGTCACCCACCTGGACCAAGGCGCGCGCGCGGACCAAGGCGCGCGCACGCGATCCATGGCGCGCACGTGGACCAAGGCGCGCGCGTGGACCAAGTCGCGCCCCGCTATTGAATACTCCTTTCCCCCCTCCCCACCCGCCTCCCCGTTTTCGCCCTGGACGTCACAGATCATGCACAATAGTGCAGACGGCAGCACTCGCGGATCCCTTTTCTGGCTGCTCAACCACACGCTCACAGCAATGGGGGGCCGCCTCATGCGCCACTGGGTCACCCACCCCCTCACGCACCTCCCCCACATCACCCTCCGCCAAGAGGCCGTCGCAGAGCTCCTATCATCCTCCCCCTCGCTCTCCTCCCCCTTGACCGGCGTGTCTCGTACGTTTCCTGGGAGTGGGCGCGGAGGGGGAGCGGTAGGGGCGGCGAGCAGGGGGGCGGGTGGGGAGGGGGAGGGGGGAGTGGGGGAGGTGGTGCGGGGAGTGCTGGGATCACTGGCTCGGATAGGGGATGTTGAGAGGGGAGTCACGCGGATACTGCACAAGACTGTCACTCCCAACGAGGTGAGAGTGTGAGGGGTGTGCCGGGGCGTGAGGCGTGCTGGGTTCATAAGTTTAAAAAAACAAGGCAGTTTGAAGCAGGAAGCAAAGCACCCTAATTCCCGTGTCTGCTATGCACAAGGGTTCTCCATCACCCACCCCCTTTATCGTCCCCCCTGCACATGCCCCTCAGTTCGTGCGAGTGCTCTCAGCCCTGGCATCTGCAGCACAGCAGCTGCGCTCCCTCCTCCCTGACCCCCCTTATACCACCACCGCCACCACCACCGCCAGCACTGCTGCTGATACTGACACTGACCCTGACAGCAGCAACGATACTCCTAAGGTGAAGTCGGCGCTGCTGCAGAGACTGCTGCGGGCAGCAGCGTCGCCAGCCGTGGTGCGCCACGCCCGGCGCATGTTGAGTGCTGTGAACGCTGATGCTGCAGCCCGTGGCGACAAGGTGAACCTCATTGTATGCGCGGCCCCATCCCACCATAGTCAGCAACAGCAAGAGCGTAAGCAATATGACAGCAGTCACCATGTTCGAGGCGTCCTGGATGACAAAGGAGAAGAAGCAGCGGAACCTTCTCTGCAGTTTCCAGAGCTCTGGGCATGCAGGGAAGCAGTGCGTGAGGCAGAGGGGCAGCTCAACTCGCTCCTCCCGGCTATCCGGTCCCAACTGCGTCTCCCCTCCCTCTCCTTCTTCTCCGTTTCCGGCGCCACTCACCTCATAGAAGTTCCATCCGCCCTCCGAGTCCCCTCTGATTGGCTCAAGCACAGCGCCGTCAAGGCCGGCAAGGCCGGAGGCGTTACACGTTACCACCCTCCAGCTGTCCTCGCGGGATTGGACAGGCTGGCGCTGGCAAAGGAAGCTGCGGCGGCGGCAGCAGGGAGGGCGTGGCAGGAGCTGCTGGAAGGGTTCAGAGCAGAGGGAGGGGGGCACGTGGAGCTAAGGCAAGCTGTTAAGGCACTAGCTGAGCTGGACTGTTTGTGTGCGCTTGCCGCCGTTTCTGCTTCTAAGGGGTATGTTCGGCCGGAGTTTTTTCCCGAAGATGGGCCCCAGAATGTGCTTATAGCGAATGGGAGGCACCCCGTGCTGGATGTGACTATGGGGAGCGAGTTTGTGCCGAATGACACCATGCTGATGTCAGATGGGGAAAGGTGCCACGTCATCACTGGTCCCAACATGGGCGGGAAGAGTTGTTACATTCGCCAGGTGGCGCTGATATGCATTATGGCGCAGATTGGGTGTTACGTGCCTGCTGACTCAGCGCGCTTCCACGTATTGGACGCGGTTCTGACGCGCATGGGAGCGGCCAATGATAGCCTGGTGCGCCGCACGTCCACGTTTCTGGAGGAGCTGGGGGAAGCTTCTGGGATCCTTCATCGGGCAACGGGTCGGTCGCTGGTGATAGTGGATGAGCTGGGTCGGGGCACCAGCACGCATGATGGGCTTGCCATCGCTTATGCCACTTTGCATGTAAGCCGATTCCTTCCATCCTGTGTGTGAGCTGATTTAGTGTTCTTGTCGAAGTGTTCTCCGCACATTATGAAATCGCCGTCATGCCTTGTCTGATGCTTTTTGAAGCCGCATTCCTTTATCCGTTGAATCCCCCCACCTCCCCTCCACTCTCCCCCTCTGCCCTATCCACAGTACCTTTTATCCAAAGTGCGCTGCCTCACACTCTTCGTCACACACTACCCCGAAATCGCTCAGCTGGAAAAGGAGCTCCCTGGAGCGATGGGAAGCTTCCACATGTCCTTCCTCGCCTCCACTCCACCAGTTTCCCCTCCATCAGCAGCACCACCAATTTCTGCAAGCGGACAAAAACAATTGTCAGATCCTGTGGCATCTGGCTCAGATGAGCAAGGAGAGGCGAAGCCGGACCAGCAGGTCACCTTCTTGTACAAGCTCGTCCGTGGGGTTGCCAGTCGCAGTTTTGGCCTGAATGTAGCCCGCCTTGCTCAGGTGATAATTGCTGACGCGCAAGCAGGTTCATACATGGGTTTCTGCTGTGTAATTGTCCTTTTATTCCACGACCTCTTCTCATGGCCTTGGTTATGTGTGTGCAGGTGCCTGAGAGCGTCGTGCAGCGAGCAGCTGCCATGGCTGCAAAGCTAGAGCATGATGTGCTGGAGCGCAGAAAGAGCAGGAAAAGTGGGGCTGCTTCCTTAAGGAGAGTCCGTGGAGACTTTTCTTCCCAATCAGTTCCTCCTCCAGATGAGGGAATCACCAAAGAGCCAAAGCTTCATGAAGCAGCCTGTCCAGAAACTGGAGTTGATCACCATGAAAACAGTCTCCAAGGGGAAGAGGAGTTGCTGAACACTGTCAAGCAGTGTCTACTATTTGTTCAGGACGTTCAAGCAAGGGACACTGCACAGGAGGAGTCCATCATGCGGTTGCACTTTGATCAGATTCGTCAACTCCAGGAGTCTATTCGAAGGATAGAGCATTTTCGTACTGACATGTATTAGATGCGTTCGTCTTTTATGAGTTGGCGCTGGTTATTAATAATTCTGTAAGTATTGGTACAAGTCAGCAAGTTGAATAATCAAACGCACATGGAAGGATGATACCGTATGTTTACTTATACAAGTCAGAAATGTCAGAAATTGTTGAGCCTTTCAAGGATCTCATAGGTATCTTCGCTTCACATGGTTCCACCTAAGCCTCAGCTTCTAGGCAGACCTTCTTGGCGCCTGTCTCGTCCTCCGACGCCTCAGCCTTCCTTTTGGTCGAGATGGTGGTAGTCGTTTCGGTAGTGGAAGGGACCGCATCCGCAGAAGCAGCCACTTCAGAGACCTTTTCAGCCTCGACTTCAACAACGTCACTGTCAGGTGTCGTCTCGTCATCCTTCTTCTCCTTGTCCTGGTCCGCGTTTGCGGAGGGCTTGACGTCCGTCGACGATTTTTCCTCTACCGAGTTCTTTGTTTCCTGCAGAAGTAGAGTCGTTGTTAACATCATTCTCGGGGTGAGACCAAATATAGCTTTCAAGTCGTGCTGAAAATCGAAGTACCTCTGAAGTCTTCTCAGTAGATTCAACAGCATCGACCTGCTTCTCCTCGACCTGCTGTGAAACAGCCTGATCGTTAACTTCGTTGTTGGAGCCGGCCATGGTCGCTGGTACGAAAATGTAGTGCTACGCACAGATTCTTGGCAGGCAAAGGCAACGTTTGAGCAGATGAGAGCTGGACTTGGTGATTGCGAGAGCGACTGACTGATCGGTTCTAACCATTCTCACATTTGTACTTGGCAGGGACTGGCAGTGGGCCATCACAAGCCGAAGCGCGGCGCTTGGGGGCTGTCGCGGAATCACCGGCGGGGACAGCGCTGGGCCTTGGGATTGCACTTGGTTCGACGAGAATGGAGTTCTCGAGCCGCTTGATCCTCTTGGGATTACTAATTGTGGAGCGCCAATTTCAAGGGAATTTGAAAACGTCACGAGAAATACATGACAAATTATGCGATGTTCTGTATACGGTACATTTTCTAATAACAATAACTAATTGAAATCATCACAGTGATTCGGGGGCTAACTATGAAACCATCCTTGATATGTGAAGTTGGCCCATTCTATAGGATCAGTTGCCAATTTTACCCTAATTACTTCCAACATTCTGGGGTAAACAGGAAGAACTGCTTACAATTCCCTATCCTTCCACACAAGCTTGGCAGCTACAAGGTCTTCTAGGGCCAATCCTACCGACTTGAACACAGTAATTTTCTCATTAGCTCTCCTCCCGTGCACACGTCCAGAACATAGCTCGAAGAGGTCTCCTCCAATGTCCTCCTCCAGTATAGCACCACTAGAGATAGGCTCAATAAGGTCCCCAGATCCTGTGATGGCGTCACCATCCTTGGAATCCACAAATATCGACCCTCTAGCTGCAATCATCACATCATCATCCGCTTCGCGCATATCCGGCCGAAAACCGCCAACCAAATCCACATGGGCTCCACGCTTCAACCACCGTCCACACACAAGCGGTTCTGTTGCAAGCGTGGCACAGGAGACAATATCCGCCAATGGCACCGCACGCTCTAGATCACCCACAACCGTAACACACACCCCACCTGTTTCTTGCCCTTCCAATAAGCCCGACAAGGAACCTCCCTCCGGCTCAATAAGACGAAACCTTGGGTCGGAGGAGACCAGATTCTCAGCTGTCTGCTGGGCCTTGGTGAGAGTGCGGCCCCAGAGGAGCACGGAGCGGAGGGAGGGAGTGGCTGAGAGGTGGGCGAGGATGAGGTGGGGAGCAAGGTTGCCTGTGCCCACCATAAGAAGCACCGTTGAGTCCTGGCTGCAGGGAGGGTAGCAATTGGGAGAGTGAGGAGGGGGAGCAGGGGGGGAATGCACCAGTGAAAACTGCTGCAGATGGAGCTAGATATGGGGGAAACAGGGGGAGATTGGGAGCATTGGTGATTGAGAAAAGGCGGGGAGAGAGGGTTGGGGAAGCGGGAAAGAAAGGGAGGTGGAAGGCGGAAGCAGTGATGTTTCATTTACCGTGCGAGGTAGTGAGCAGCGAGGGCAGAGGCGGCAGCGGTGCGGCGGAGCGTGATGGCCGTGCCGTCCATGAGGGCAAGGGGGGCGCCAGTGGCAGCAGAGGAGAGCAGGTAGCTCGCTGCCACCGATGGCAGGCCGTGACTGGCGTTGCCAGGGAACACTGTCGCCAGCTTCACACCCAGGAATGGCTCTGAAAGGGAAGAGGCACGGGAGCCATGGTGTAAGTTGTATGAGCAAAGAAGTGACTTGAGATGTCTCAACAATAAAAGTGACTCTGCCATGCAGCACTGAAGGAACTCTTCTGTGGATTCCAGCACAGCTGTACAGCTGTAATCCAGCATTCGCCCCGCCGTCACATTTGCTGTGGTTTCACATTTTCCTGCAGCATCCGTTGCCATACAGCACACCTGGCTGAACCCCATCCACTCCACCTGCGCCTGTCCTCCATCTGCCCCCAATGGAATAAGACCCTCACCTTCCGTGCCACAATTCGAGTCCCAAGCTGGCATCACCAACAGCGTTCCTCCTGCCTGCTTCCTCCCCTCTGCTGCGTTCCTTCCTCCACTTCCTATCTCTCCTCCTTCTTCCCCTCCTTCTCCTCCTCTTTCCCCCCTCGCTTCCGGGTCTCCTGCTGCCCCAGACCTAGCATCCGTCGCGTCATTACCATCTCCATCCTCATCCGTAGCACGCTGACCAATGGTGTAGTGCTGGCGTGGCGGGGCGGCGATGCCACCTCCGCTACTGGAGGCGCGGAAGGCCTCGCGGAGATGCTCAATGAGTGCTGGGGGCGGGGGGGCCGGGGGGAGGAAGTGGGGGGAGAGGGGGGCATAGGCGGGGCAAGATGGGAAAGCGCGGAGGCGTGCTGAATCAGCGTGTGGGAAGTCAATAGGGGGAAGAGTAGACGAGGAGAGCGAGGCGTGGAAACATGAACGTTGTCGGTTCGTCGCTCACTGACTTGAGACACCTCTCACTCACAGGTTCCATCCAACCCCCCACCTCTCATCTTTCATCCCTCATCTCTCATCCTTATCACTCGTCGTTCATCGTTGATCGCCCGTCGCTCACCGTCGTACGGCAGCGCGCGGTGGACTTGCTCCGCGGTGAACACCCTCATGGCGGCCCTTGCGCTCGCCGCCGATCGCGCTCGCGCAAAGCGCACAGCGCAGCGTCTCTGGCCACCGAGTCTCACGTCCACGCCACGGCCTACGGATACGCGATTCGCGACGCGCAACGGATATCGCAGCGCCTCCTGCATTGCGTGCGCGCAGGAACTGTGCTATGTGCGTATGTGCGGCACATGAGGTGCGCACAAGCTGTAGAGCGGCGAGGAAATGTAGTGGAGTGAAGCGCCAAAAATGTGGGGCTGCTTGGTGGAATTGAAACCCACTTGAGTCTGCTTCAGTAAACTGTAACGCGACCAGAATTCCAATAATTTTCTGCATTTGTACTTTCGACGGGGCGTAATTTCGACGCGGTTGGAGATGGTTACAGTGCGGTATATGTTCGGTACTAAAGCATCGACTCATGATCTCATTCGCTTTACAACAACATTCACTTCTCCAATCTACACTCAAATCAACAGTAGGGAACTCAAATTCCATTCTCAGCAGTCTAAGTAGATTCATTCTCGGGCGCACGCCATTCGCGTCGCGCCTCGGCTCGGCATAGTTGATTCTCCGGAGAACAGAATCTGTCCGGTTCCAGCTTACACTCTCCTGAGTCCTGACTGTCGTCAAGGCATCCGCATTACATTACACCCCCGTTGAAGCGACAGTGGCGAAGGGTGACCTGACTTGAGCCGTCGCCCAGCGTCCCGCCGTTGGTTCTCCCATCGTCCATCGCCGTCGTCTCCGGAGTCGGAGAATGGCTGTAGCAGGTGAACACTTCGGTTGCTGTCCTGCTCCTCCCTTATGGCTGCAGCTGCACGTTTCGTTGAGCTGTCCTGCTCGTCCCTACCTATAGCTGCAGCTGCACGCTTCGTTCAGTTGTCCCTACCTATAGCTTCGTTCAACTGTATTTAATCGCCATAAAAATCCACCAGTGGTAATTATCTCTCCCGATACGCATTTCCCTCTCGTTCCCTCAATTTCGCGTTTCCCGCGCAGAGCAGAGGTGGCTGACGTCAGCGTGGGGAGTCTACCGGACGAAGGGGAGGACCGGCGGGAGATCGGGCACCTGGCGGTGTGGAGTGTGAGCTCCGCCAAACCCGGCAATGGCGTCGAGCTTCTGAGAGACGGCAAGGCGGACACGTTCTGGCAGTTAAGAATCGGAACATGCGCATGAAACTGATGCTTACAATCAACTGGATCCAATTTTTGCCTGGTACATATTGCTAAGTGCCAACATTTCTTTCCCGTGTGTGTGCAGGTCAGATGGATCACAACCACACCTGGTGAACATTCAGTTTCAGAAGAAGGTTCGGTTGCAGGTTAGTGACCAGTTCTTGCAGTAACATGGTTACCATTTTCCACCTCTCAGTTATGTATGGAGCCCATGCACAGGAGAGTTCGACCTTACGGTTCACCAGGTAACTTTTGAGACGACTCAGAATTCAACTCATTTCCACCTTTCAGTTCTGCATGGCTTTCGGTTCATCATCCCCCCATTCTTCGCCCCCACCCCTGGCACGTTTCACTGCACGTGGTCTTCAAGCTGGACGAGAGCTGTGTGCTGTGCTCTGCTGCACTGTTGCTCTGTGCCCTGTGCTTGACACCCTCCTCCAACTCCCCCAACCCCCCCTCCCCCCACCCACCCCCCCCAACATGTGTCACTGCACGTGGATTTCAAGCTGGGCGAGAGCTACACGCCCGACAAGGTGTCCATCCGAGCAGAGCGAGAACTGCGCCCTGTGCTTCACCCCCTTCCCCACCACTGCTTTCTTCCAACCCCCCCTGCTCACCAGCACGTGTCACTGCACGTGGATTTCAAGCTGGACGAGAGCTACACGCCCAACAAGGTGTCCATCCGTGCGGGCAACTCCTTTCACGACGTCAAGGTGCGTGCGTGGGGGCATGGCAGGCATCGCTGCTTGCATGTTGTCACCCTCACATGTGCGTTTCTCAGGGCGTGCAATTCTCAGGGCGTGCAATTCTCAGGGCGTGCAATTCTCAGGGCGTGCAATTCGCAGGGCGTGCAAATTTCAGGGCGTGCAATTTTCAGGGCGTGCAATTTTCAAGGCTTCCCAGTATCTCGGTATCCCGGTATCCCGACTTCCCTGTTTCCCGGTTTCCCGGTTTCTTGGTTTCCCGGTTTCCCGGTTTCCCGGTTTCCCAGTATCCCGGTTTCCCGGTGTTTTGGTACCCCGGTATCCCGGTTTCCCTGTTTCACGGTTTCGCGGTTTCCCAGTTTCCTGGTTTCCCGGTTTCCCGGTATCCCGGTATCCCGGTATCTCGGTTTCATGGTATCCCGGTTTCCCGATTTCCCGGTATCCCGGTATCCCGGTATCCCGGTTTCCCGGTTTCCCGGTATCTTGGTATCCCGGTATCCCGGTATCCCGGTTTCCCGGTTTCCTGGTTTCCCGGTTTCCCGGTTTCCCGGTATCCTGATTTCCCGGTATCCCGGTATCCCGGTATCCCGGTTTCTGGGTTTCCCGGTATCCCGGTATCCCGATTTCCCGGGTTCCCGGTATCCCGGTTTCCCGGTATCCCGGTATCCCGGTATCCCGATTTTCCGGTTTCCCGGTATCCCGATATCCCGGTATCCCGGTTTCCCGGTATCCCGGTTTCCCGGTATCCCGGTTTCCCGGTTAGTTTCCCGGTTTCCCGGTATCCCGGTTTCCCGGTATCCCGGTATCCCGGTTTCCCGGTTTTCCGGTATCCCGGTTTCCCGGTATCCCGGTTTCCCGGTATGTGGGTATCCCGGTATCCCGGTTTCCCGGTATCCTGGTATCCCGGTATCCCGGTATCCCGGTATCCCGGTTTCCCGGTTTCCCAGTATCCCGGTATCCCGGTATCCCGGTGTCCCGGTATCCCGGTTTTCCGGTATCCCGGTTTTCCGGTATCCCGGTATCCCGGTATCCCGGTATCCCGGTATCCCGGTATCCCGGTATCCCAGTTTCCCGGTATCCCAGTTTCCCAGTATCCCGGTATCCCGGTATCCCGGTATCCCAGTGTCCCAGTGTCCCGGTATCCCGGTATCCCGGTATCCCGGTATCCTGGTATCCCGGTTTCCCGGTTAGTTTCCCGGTTTCCCGGTATCCCGGTATCCCGGTTTCCCGGTATCCCGGTTTCCCGGTTTCTCGGTTTCCTGGTTTTCCGATATCCCGGTATCCCGGTACCCCGGTATTTTGGCATCCCGGTTTCTCGCTATCCCGGTATCCCGGTCTTCCAGTGCGCAATTCTCATGTCGCGCGATTCTCATGGCGCGCGATTCTCATGGCGCGCGATTCTCATGTCGCGCGATTCTCATGGCGCTCGATTCTCATGTCGCGCGATTCTCATGTCGCGCGATTCTCATGGCGCGCGATTCTCATGTCGCGCGATTCTCATGGCGCGCGATTCTCATGTCGCGCGATTCTCATGGCGCGCGATTCTCATGTCGCTCGATTCTCAGGGCGGGCATGCTGCTGATGGTGCCTGCAGCGCAATGCTCATGGCGCTCATGGTAGCATCACAAATGGACATACTGTTCATGCTCACACCGATGCTTCCCGTGACATCATTAAGGCGTTCGCATGATGGCATGCTCACGATGATGCTTCCCATTGTTGTACTTCTGGTGCACATCTAAACGATGGCACCTGTCTCTCTGATGTGGTGTATGCAACGATGGCAGGAGGTGAAGCTAGTGGAGATGAATGAGCCGTCTGGGTGGGTGCACATACCGCTGCGACCCAGCGATGACAAGTGAGTCACCATGGGGGGGGATGAGAGGGACCCAGGTATGGCATGTGAGTGTTACGGCGCCTCAAAGGCTGAACGAACTGTCTGGGTGGGTGCACATACCGCTGCGACCCAGCGATGACAAGTGAGTCACCATGGGGGGAATGGTTGGTCTCGCTGCATATCCTGCTGTGACCGACCGGTGAATGATAGTTTAGTTGCTTTGGAGGGATTTCAACTGCAGGTGCTGCATGCCTGTCCCTGTCCCTTGAACCACGGTCACCCTCCTGTCAACTGGCAGTCATCTCCAATCACCACAGTCAATCCCAATCAATTTAGCCGTATCAGTATTCCCCACCTCCCCTTACCTTCTCCATACACACCCGTGCCACCCAAGGGAGTACCTGCGTGCGTTCTACCTGCAGCTGGCAGTGATCTCCAACCACCAGAACGGCCGTGACACGCACATCCGCCAGATCAACATCTACGGTCCCCGCCAGTGAGTCACTTGCTGCCCACATCATGCCCATCCACTGTGTCCATGCATCACCACCACCACAGTACATCTTTTCGCCTCGCCACCCACATCAAGGTCTACTGTCCCCGCCCCGCCAGTAAGTCATTGCTTATGTGACGTGATTGCCATGAAACTTTGAGATGGTTCCCCCATCACGGCCTATGACCCATTGCCCCCATCACAGCATATGGCCTTGAACACAAATGGCTGATATTTCTGACCGCACATGTGGCCCACCTCTCTGTCCAATGCAGGAACGTGGTGCGAGCAGTAGGTGTACCCATGGAGTTCAATACAGTGGAATTTGGCATGTATGCTGCCGTTAGGTAGTGCTGTAGCCATGTTATAAACACATGATAAGGCCATGGCTGGCTGTGATGCACAGTACCGTATCACCTTGCTGTACCGAGACGTGCACCATACCGGTAGGAATTATATCCCGTGCATTTGTAATTCGAAGTTTGCTATTGTGGGTTGTGAGACCACACTAACTCTTATGACTTTGCCATTTCAGGTCCAGTCCTATTACAGATTCTACCTGGTGAAAAATTGCAACTCTAGTGCAAGCAATTACACTTGAACCTCACTAAACACCAAGCAGCACTGGTATAACCAGCACTAGCCTTGTCCTTGTCCCAGCAATGGACTTCCCTACTCTCGCCTTGTCCCAAAAATCGCTCTTCCAGCCCCACACGTCCACAACAACACAGCCCATCCTCTCCCAGCAACACCAAGGTTACTTACTGACGTCCCTCACCTTATGTTCATCCTTTCTCACCCTGCAACTAGTTTGCTTCACCCCTTTGAACCCCTTCACCTTCAAGCCCCACTAGGTCATCGAGCAGCATTGGCGAACCACAGGCGGCTGCCTCGCCCCGCCCCTTCCACCCCTGGCCCCACAACCTCACGCCTCAACACTCCCTCATCACCGCCTCCTGTAGCCGCAGCCGCGGCGGCAGCGGCAGCAGAAGCATGGTTAGTACTCGCACCAGCACCAGTTACAGCAGCAGCACCGGTTACAGCACCAGAAGGAATGGAAGCATCAGGAGGGGGGGAGCGCGGAGCAAGGGGGCGGGGGGCGGCCGGGGTGAGGGCGAGTGGGAGGGACGTGGCGGGGGAGGGGATGGAGGAGGAGGGATGCTGCAGAGGCATGGTGGGGTGGAGCGGGAGTGTGGCGATGATGGCATGGGCGTTGCTTCTCAGGAACACATGGTCTGGTCCTTCCATGCCAAACAACTGGTCACAGGAAAGTGGGGGAGGACGGGAAGGCACGGTGTTAGAACAAATGTGCCAAATGTTAGAACAACTGTTTGATGACAGCTCCATCAGTGTGCACTTGCGCAAGTACGGAGAAATACATGGTCCGATCCCTCCGTGCCAAACAGCTGCTCGCGGGAAGGGAAACGGAAAGATGGCAGGGATGCATGTAGTGTCTGTCAGCATTCGAAAGGGATTCGGTGAGATGCGGGCCTTGGCGTTGGCACACGGAAGAATGGTGAACCTTGAGAGTCTCACCAGATCGAATGGCAATGGCAACCCTCGAATTTGGACGCACACGTGAGGCGGGCGAGGAGGCAAAGGAGGACAGACGAAGCGAAGGCAAACACGAACCTGGTAAGACAAGGCTTCACAAAGAACAGTCCCATACACGTACCTCGGGCTTGGAGGCAATGAGTTGGTCCTAGAGGCTCATAATGAGCCCAAGTTAATGGGGCGAGCAGGCGTGCAAGGCGCGGCGCAACAGTGGAGGAGATGAGGGCCTTGACGCCCCTGTCCGCTGAGAGCGTGCGCACGATGCACGTCAGCAGTGCCCTCTCGTCCTTCAGCTGAGCCCCCGGGAGGCAGCGGGGGCATCAAATGCAATACCTTCTGAGTTTTCTCAACCACATACCTCGGGCTTGGAGGCGATCAGCTGATGCAGCGACCCGTACAGAGGCTCGTAGTGAACCCAGGTTAGTGGGGCGAGCAGGCGTGCAAGGCGGGGGGCGACTGTGGAGGAGATGAGGGCCTTGGCGCCCCTGTCCGCTGAGAGTGTTCGCACGATGCACGTCAGCAGCGCCCTCTCGTCCTTCAACTGCGCTCCCGGGGGCAACGCCAGCATCATGGGCATGGGGCGTGCGGTCAGTGGTGCTGCGAGGGGTGTGAGTGCTGCATCTGCTGCTGCTGCTGCTGCTGCTGCTGCTGCTGGTGTCGTGTCGATGCTAGCTGGTGCAGCACCCTCTGTTTTCTCTCCCCCACTGCTCCCTGCTGCCAGCACCGCCGACGCAGGCAGAGGTTCAATCCCAACTTTCCCTTCAATCCCCGCTTGACCTTCCGCGTTTGACTCTGCTGCACCTGAGGCCTCCCCGCTTGGGCGTTCCGGCACGTATGCCACGCCTCCCAGCCCCACATCCACCCCTCTAGGCGGCGACCGCTGCGTGATGGGACTGGCAGTGAGCTTCCGAGGGGCAGCAGCAGTTTTCGTGTCAGGGGTATCAGCAGCAGGGGTATCGGTATGAGTGGTAGAGGAGGCAGCAGCACTGATTGGGAGACTCTGGCCCGCATTGCTGTTGCTCGTACTGGAGGAGTCAGGAGAGGCGCTGGAGGAGCCGCCATTGGAAAAACTGCCTCCTGGAGTAGCATCAGCACTACTGCTGCCCATGTGCCTATTTGCAGGCTCGCCTACTGGGGCTCTATCACCCGTGCTGCTGCTGCCACCGCTATCTCTACCCTTCTCCCCTGTGCCTCCAGTGGTGCTGCTGCTACTTGGCCCATTGCTAGTCCCAGAACCTAAGGTAAGGCTGCTTGCATGCTGCTGCTGCTGCTGCTGCTGCTGGGGTGTGGGGTTCAAGGGAAGAGGCTGGTTGCTCATGGGGTGGGTAATATGATGCAACACCACCGCTTGCTGCTGCTGCTGCTGCTGCTGCTGGCTTGGCTGTTGCAAATGGAGTTTTGGTGCCTGTCCATGTGCTTGCCCCTGTCCCTGCCCCTGCCCCTGAGTCAGCACTTGCCCTTGCACCTGCCCCTGTCCCTGCCCCTGATTCTGCATGTGCTGCTGGCTCTGTCCGGGTCCTGGTAACCCTGTAACCGCGTGCCCTGCCTGCACCCCTGCAGCCTGTGCTGCTCCTTGCCCTTGCATACCAGCAGGGGGGTAGGTGCCAGGCGGGAGAGTGGAGGGGTGAGGATGCAGAGGGTGCAGGGCTGGGGGAGACGCGGAGTGCGGAACAAGCATAGGCACGGGTTGCATGGGCGTGGGCCCAGGGTGAATGGGTGTGGGGACGGTTTGCATGGGTGCAGCGTAGAAGGGGTGGGGCATGTGTGGGCGGATGAGATAGGCGTGTGGTGCCATGGGCGGGTGGGCTTGTCCTGACTGTGCTGCTGCTGCTTCGCTCTGTGGGGAAAGCATGGGAGGAGAGACAGACAAAGAGACAGAAATAGGGACGGGATAAGGGACAGGGGATGGGAGGGAATCATGCATGAGGGGGGAAGAATGCAGAGGGATGGACGAGTGGAGGGAGAGAGGGAGAGAAACGAGGGGTGCAAAAGTAGGAGCAAAGAAGCTCACCTTCCCGTCCTTGCTGCCACCAGCACCACCCGCGCCACTCAACGCCACCCCAGCTCCTTGCACGACCCCTGCTACTTCTCTCCCTGCACTCACCCCCCCTCCACTGCTCCCTCCAGATGCCCCCAGTGCGCCCGCTGCTCCTGCTGCTGCCTGCCCTCCTGCAATCCCTGTACCGCCGGCATTCCCTGTGCCTCCTGCGCCAACACCTGCTGCTCCTGCTCCTGCTGCCGTGCCTGCCACTGCCGAACCAGTAGCACCCGGAGTAGCGGCAGGGAGGGCGCCGAGCCTGGAGCGCAGGTCCGTGTTCTCCATGTGCAGACGCTGCATCAGCTGCATGTGGTACCGCTCACTCTCTGCTAGCTGGTGTTAGGGTGGGGAGGGGGACGGCAGGGGAAGGTGTGCGGAAGGGGTGAAGTGCGAGCAGAGAGATACTTCACACTGCATTACAACGAGGACACACTGCATCAGCTGCGCATGCTGCACTGCAAACTAGTGCACATGGTATTACTCACACTCTGCCAACTTGTGTTTTGAATGCGAAGGGAGGGGATGCGAGGAGAGGGCGGGGCGGGGAGAGAATGGGGAAATTGAAGAGAACTGATTTGCATGGCAAGCTTACAACATCACGCACCTGTTGCCTGAGCTGATGAGTGACGGCAAACAGGTGATGGCACTGGTCCGTGCGTTCCCTGAGTTATTCAGGCGCGTCACAAACAACTAACCAATCAACCCAGTGTCCTCCCACCCGACCAATCAATCACCTACCTGCTGTCTGAGCTGGTGAGTGACGGCAAACAGGTGATGGCACTGGTCCGTGCGTTCCCTGAGCTCGCCGTGCAGGCTCTGATTGGCTGCTGTGATGGCTGCCACGTGGGCCTCCATGTCCTGCCCGTGCGCCGCCCACCCCTGCGCCTCCTTCACCGCGTCCTCTTTCTGCCACAACTCCTCCTGCACCAGCCGCAGCTGAGACAATGGAGGAGGGAGGGAGAAGGAACAGCAGCGCGAACCGACTCAGTAAGTAACTCATGCCTGTGTGGGCCGCACACACACCCCTGCGCCTCCTTCACCGCGTCCTCCTTCTGCCACAGCTCCTCCTGCACTAGCCGCAACTGAGGGAAAACGAGGAGGGCGGAAGAGGAAACACCAACAGTGCAACGTGAGTAAGTTACTCCCGTCTGCACTGCGCCGTTGCTCTGCTGTACATTCCCATCACCTCACACCTTCTGCTATTCCTCCTCTTGAGCTTCACAAATCCCCTTCCCCTTCCCCCTCTCTCACCTGGTTCCCTCTCTGTGTCTCTCAGCCGCTGCTCCGCGTCCGCCACCTGGCTCTGGAGCCTCTCCATCTGCGCGCCCATCTCCGCCCTCTCATGCCCACCCCCGTATCCCACCCCCCGGCACCTCTTTCCCCCCTCACCTGGTTCTGAGTGTCTCGCAGCCGCTGCTCCGCGTCCGACAGCTGACCCTGCAGCCAATCATCTCTCCTTGAAGTCGATTTAAAAGGTTACCCATAGACAACACCCCCCCCACCCCGCACCCTTCTGCCCCTCTTCCTCCCCCCCACCTGGTTCTGAGTGTCTCTCAGGCGCTGCTCCGCGTCAGCCACTTGGCTCTGCAGCCGCTCCATCTGTGCGCCCATCTCCGCCCTCTCCGCCTCCCTCTGACTCGCCTGCGCCTTGCTCTCCGCCACTGCCCCGTCCCGCTCCCGCCTGCAGTGACGTGGGGTGGAGGGGGGAGACATATGAATGGAAGTAGAGTGAGGAAGCAAGAAAGGGAGGAACACTGTAAGGAGCAGCAGCAAGCGTGGCACGTGTTCCGCCTGGCTTGATGGCACGCAAAGGACACGCGGGGGATGTGGGAGGAGGAAGAGGGAGCGGAAGGGGAGAGCAACAGCAATGAAAAGCAATAACAGCAATAACACCGCTCATCTCTGGTTCCCCTTCCTGCAAATACCGCCCACCCCCCTCACTGCAAGGTCGCAGACACACACACACTGCTCCCCCACTCTCACCTCAACGCTGCCACTTCAGAATTCTTCTCTCGAATTAGACCTTCCTTCTGCCACACCTGCCAAAGTCCAGACACCCACCAGACAGCAATGAGGCAAATAATGCATTTCTTGGAAATAGACGTCTCAAAGTGTGCTGCTAAATATGAGTGTAAGACGTCTCACAAGAGCCCCTCTCACCCGTTCTTTCATCTCGTTCTGGTGCGCCGCCACCTGCTGCTCCGCCTCCTCCGCCCTCTCCTTCACGCGCTGCATCTCCTCCTCCTTGCCCCGCACTGCCTCCAGCGCGCCCGCCAGTTGACTCTGCGGAGCATGGGGGGAGGACGGGGAGCGCGGGGGGGAATGGAGTGACCACCACTTGCATGAGCAGAACCTGCGAAGGAGATTTAGAAGTTGTGTGTGCTACAGTGCTGAACCTGGCATCATCCCATACAAGAAGGGGTTACCAGGGAGAAGGGAGGTAGGGGAGGGTGGTGGCGGGGGGGGGGGAGGGGGGCAGCGTGAGAGAGGGGGGAAGGCGAGGGGAAGGGGACGGCGGAGGTAAAGTGCACAGGCGCGACCAGGCCAGCAAGCCCCCCTCCCCCCCCCCCCCCCCCTCACCCCACCTTGAGCGACGCTTCCGCCGCCAGCAGCTGCTGCCTCTCCGCGTCAAACTCCGCGCGCGCCCTCCCCACCTCCACGCGCGCCACAAGCGCCGCTGCGCGCGCCACCTCAGCGCGGATCGCTGCCTCGCGCGCGGCTTCCGCTTCCGCCAGCAGCGCGCGCAGCTCCGCCTCCCCCAGCGCCAGCAGCGCGCGCCCCTCGTCTTCCACGTGGCGCACGTCCTTATGATTGGCTCCTCTGGCTGGTGAGACTCCCGTGCTGGGCGTGGCGATGGTGGCTATATCCACTTGTCTGTCTGCCTCCCCTCCGTCTACCTGTACCTCCTTCTCCTCCTCTGATTGCTCCGCTTGCTCCTGCTGCGATTGCTGCGACTGCTGCTCGTGCTCCTCCTGCTCCTGCTCCTGCTCCTGCTGCTGTTCAAACTGTTGCTGCGGCTGCTGGCTGTTGAAATTGTCGTTTTCTTGGCGATCCACTGCAGGAGACACATCTTCGCCCTGTCCGTTGCTCGAAGTATAGGGTTGCTGCTCGTGCTGCGTGTGCTGCTGACTTGCAACCTCCGCTTCTTGCTGCTGTTGCTGTTGCTCTGCCTGCTGCTGCGCCTGCAGTTGACCGTTATAATCGTGAGGTTGCTCCTGCATCTGTTGCTGCTGCTGCCTTCGTGTTTGGTTGTCCTCCTGCTCACACGAACGGGCAGCAGAGACACGAACCGTAAGGATGTTGGTATGTTTGGTATGCGTCATGCTCCCCAATCCTGTTGCATGATATGTCCTGCAAGATCGTTAGAAGGCAAGAAGAACCACGAATCCTACGGCTGGAAATTAATCAAGCTATAAACACGATAGTACAGCGATGCCGCGGGACCAACGACCGACGGAACTTCCAAGTCGATTCGAAACGGGCCTACGAAATATCGCACGTGCCACGACCGACGGAACGAACCTCCTGCGACAAACTCGACGACGTGCTGCTGCCGCTCGCGTGCGACTGCCGCACGCCCGTCGCTTCGCCGTTCTCTAAACCCCCAGTCGGCCCGGACCCTAAGCCGGGCCCTGAGGCGGAACCATCCAGATTTTGCGCCGCCTGCCCGTAAGGTCTGCTGTTCCGGCCACGCCCTCTGTACTGCGGCAGCTGGTACACCTGCCGCGGAGGTCCCCCTCCGCCACTTCCCCCTCCACCTCCCCCTCCGCTTCCCCCTCCCGCTCCCCCTCCGCTGGTGCTCCCCTTTCCTCCCCCGTCCCCGCGGCCGTAGGCACTGTTCATCCGTCCATATGCTCCTCCTCCTCCTCCTCCTCCTCCTCCTCCGCCGCCGCCGCCGCCGCCGCCGGGTCGGTAGTATCCAGGCGGGATCTGCTCCTGAGAGGGACCCCCTATTCCGCGCATCGCCATCCCGGGAATCCCGGAACCGCCGCCTGAACCCATGGGTCCTCCGGGATAATTCTGCATGCCGTCCGGAATTCCTTTCGGTTGCGAGTATACGTCGGAATTTGTGACTCTACCGAGGTGAATGTTCGGATCGCTGACAATTCGCCAGACTTCTCTTCGCCTACCGCCCGGCATGTTACCCAGCGGGTTACCACCACCGGGACCACCGGCCGGGCCGCCTCCTGGCGGCATGCCATAGGAATTCATGCCGGCCCGCGAAAATTCTAACAAACGGCGGGATGTGATGTATACGATGATCTCTCCCCGGGTAAATTGGCTCTCTCTCCTAGCGTAAAGTGGCTCTGTCTTTTCGTGTAAAGTGGTGATCTCTCTTCGAGTCAACAGATCTGCGAGGTGATCTGAGGTGACGCGAGCCTCGCGTCTGCTCTGATCCGAATCTCGTGAACTCGGGACGATTGTTACCGAGTAAAGTGAAAAGCGACGAAACTAGATTACGCGCTTTGCAAGTAATCGTCTAGACTAATTATAGTTCTTACGAACCATCGGGTCGCCTAACATCTAGCCACTACGGCTTGAGCAGCCGAGGCTTTGGTGTGGCTTGACCTTCTGGCCTTGCCAGTAGGCAAATGATTCCTACCTAGCCTAGTTGTGTTGTGTTCGGTCCTTGAAAGAATGGATCAGATCAGACTTGAGCAAAGCAGAGAAACAAAAACACCACACCACTGGGAAAGGGAACGTTTGAGCATGCGAAATCGAACGGCATTTACACGACGATCGTCGACTGGGTATCCACCTCGTTGCGAAAGGCATTTCGATTACGCATACACTGTATATTGATCCGGTGTACTTATGCAACTTTTCCGGACAGGAGGAGTGCCGCGCTCTGCACTGCTCGAGGCAAGCCGAACCGAGCTCAATTGCCGCCACTTTCATCCCTCGAAGTTCCCGAATTTCCTCTCTATTTCGAAGCTCCACTGGCGTCTTTATTCGATATCCCACTTCGCTGCGCTAGACCGTGCTATTATTGCTCGGCTACCATCGCTCGGGATACCGTCGCTCGGGATACCGTCGTTCAGTCTAGTGTCGCTCGGGCTGCCGTCGTCGCTCACCGGATACCATGCCGGGAGCATCACTCGCCACTAGCCTGAGTCTGTTCCAGAGGGGAACGGTCATTCAGGAACGCGCGATGACGCTTCGTCCTTTACGAAGCGCGTCGGGTCTTCGATGTGTTTTCGTCGGCGAGCCGATCGTACCTGACCGTCAGCGTCGTAGTAATGCTAGCTATCTCCGTAGGACCCTGCTGATAAGCATCGGCACTCTCGCCTTACTATCTCGCAAGCCGTGCGCTGCTTACTCCCGAACGAACTTCCGTAGTTCGCATTCTGCATCACGGAGTGAACGAGAATCATATCGTGCTCGCTACTGCGTTATTTAGCAGAACGGAACTGGCAAACTTGGATCGCTTTGTGACGAAATCAAGCGTTCCTAAGCCAGACATTCTCAAGCCAAGGCAGCGATGGGTCTGCCACTGATCCTCCGCGTCTTGCCGTGGCTGACCGTGTTCCTTTCCGTGCTGCTGGCACGTCCGGCCTGGAGCCTCCCGCCTCCACTCCGAACCGCAATCCGAGGTCCGGGACAGGCTCGGTACTCGGCATGCGACACAGGCAAGGGCCGCGCGGTGCTGTACAACTGCGGGCTGCAAGTGGGCAACGCGACGGCCGGCATAGCTTCGCTGCATGACGTGCCGTCCGCGCAGAAGTGAGTTCTTATTTCTATCCATGAGAGCCGACGCGCGTCCATGCATGGGTGCCGAGACGCGTCCTTCCATGGGTGCGAAAGAGAATGCCCCGCTACCAAAAGTGACAGTACGCTACAAACAGATCCTCTCTGATGTCGTACCTTGGATGATGTGGTGAGTCGAGTAAAAATTGTGTTGTGACAGTACAATGCTGACACCTCTCCTCTGCTGTCGTCCCTTAGAGGAAGGGGGATGTCTGCCTGCCAGGACAATACTCAAGCACGTATCACTCCTCTGGCCCCGCCTGACACCCCTGTCGTTGGAAAATGTTACCACATCGCTAGTTTGATTTCCCTAAAATATCCGCGATATTGTCAAGCTCCTATATTCCGTGTCATCTCATTTGCTGTCCACTATCATCCCGTGTCCACTCCCATGTCCTGCGTGCCACGCCGTCTCCTCTCCCCATACCTGTTGGCTCCCGCGCCAGCTACTTGGTGAAGCTTCGGCCAGATGTGCCAGCGAGCCGGGTGGACGAGATATGCGACCTGGCGGAGAGCAGCAACAGCACGCTCTACACAGGCACATGCCTCAAACGGTGCGTGCCAGTGCCCTTTTGTTTACTGAAAATGGTGGCTCTTCTCCTTCTTTTCCTATCCTACTGCCGCCTTATCATCCCGGTGCTCCGTAGCAACACATTGTTGCATGCACGCTCCAGGTGCAGCGTGCGCATGCCCATGCTCTTGTTCGTGCTCATCCCATATCTATATCCTTACCTCGTGCTCATTGGCATGCTCGTCCGTTCCTCTCAGGCCAGCCGCCACTGCTCGCATGCATGTCATCTCATCACTTAACCCTCACCTCACATGCCCTTCCCTCCTCTTCCCCTCTCTCCTTCCACCAGATTCAAGGCGCTGTTCAACGGAATGCTGATGAGCATATCAGGCCAGTCGCTGCTGCTGGCGCCTATGCCATCCCATCTCTCACCCCTCACTGACATGCCGCACCCCCCCTCCCCCCTCCACCAGCTTCAAGGCGTTGTGCAACGGCATGCTGATGAGCATATCGGGCCAGTCGCTGCTGGCCCTGCTGGCATGTCACATGTGATTCCATCTCTCACCCTCACATGCGCGGCACCCCCCTCCTTCCCCTCCCCCTCCCCGAACCAGCTTCAAGGCGTTGTTCAACGGGATGTTGATGAGCATATCAGGCCAGTCGCTGCTGGCACTGCTGGACGCCGAGTCCGCCCTCGTGCAGTTCGTTGAGGTCGAGGGCCACGCCCTCATCGCTTCTGCTCCACCTCCTTCCGCTGCTGCTGTTGCTGCTGCTGCTGCCGCCGCCGCTGCAGCTGCCTCTACTAGTATTGCCACAACCACCGCTGGTGCCGGTGCCACTGCTGCTGATGCTGGAGATGCGTCTGGTGGTGGTCTTGATGGGTCAACTTCTAACAGTTCCGCTGTGCTTGCATCTGCATCTCTGGTCACGCGCACTCAGGTCCGTGTCTAAAGGAAGGAGGAAGGAACAACCGAGCATGCTATCTGTTGCTTCCTGCAGTATCCGCTCTGACGAGCCAAAGCGTATCACATTTTCATATATGCGAGCGCTCCCGCCTCGCCTCGCCTTCCACCGTCACTCACCCTTGTCCTCCTTCCAATCCCCTCCTACCCATACCTCCTTCCTCCCCACCCTCCTATCCCTGCAGCGCAAGCCACTGTCATGGGGGCTGAACCGCATAGACCAGCGCCCAGGCGCGCCTCCCCTGAATGCCGCCTACTCTTGAGTCGACTCAGAAATCAATCTTCTCTCCTCTACCTCCTCGCATTTCCCCACCCACCCATCCCTCCAGCGCAAGCCCCTCTCGTGGGGGCTGGACCGCATAGACCAGCGCCCAGGCGCGCCTGCCCTGGATGGCGCCTACTCCTATCCCGCCTCTGCGGGTGCAGGCGTGCACGTCTATGTGGTGGACACGGTGCGTTGCCAGCCAGGGCCACAGTCCTCGGTCCTTGCACTGGGGTCTGCACTGGTGGGGTCTGGATTAGTTGGGTCAGGATTAGTTGGGTCTGGATTAGTTGGTTCTGGATTAGTTGGGTCTGGATTAGCTTTTTGTGCTTTCGCTCTGCATCAACCTCACCTCTCTTCTTGCTGTCCTCGCTTTTTGTTTCTCCTGTTCCCCATTTCTCTTTTTTTGTGCCCCTTTGTTAACCCCTTTCCCTTTTTCTCCCCGTTCCCCATTTCCCATGGTCCGGGTCTACCTACTTCCTCTGCAGGGCGTGCGTGCTCCGCTCCCACAATGACTTCCACGTCTCAGACGGCCAGCTCAACCTTTTTTTATCAACCCCGTTCCTCTCCATTGTCCCCTGCTGTCCCTCCCTCTATCCCCCATGTCGCCACTGTCTGTCCCTCCACCCCTGCAGGGAGTGCGGTGCTCCCACAGCGACTTTTACTTCTCAGACGGCCGAATCAACCCCGCCACGCGCCGCCCTGCGTCGCGCTGCCTGCCGGGAGTGGACACGGTGGGGGATGGGCGCGGGCAGGGCATGGCAGACTGCAACGGCCACGGCACCCACTGTGCTGGTAAGCCGAGAGGGGACGTGCAGTGCAGTGCAGTGAGGAGCATTTCGGTAACGGGGCCAGTTGGGTGAGGTGGTATCGTGTGCCCTGCACTCCCTCCCTGCTGCCTGCTGCCTGCCTGGAGTGGACACGGCGGGGGATGGGCGCGGGCAGGGCATGGCAGACTGCAATGGTCACGGCCTCCACTGCGCTGGTAAGCCGTGAGGGATGGTGTGCAGTGCACTACACTACGAGGTGGCGAACCGCGCCTTTATCCACTCGGGACGCAGTGCAGAATGGACTGTGTGGGCACCAGGTTGTTTTTAGACATTCCTTTCCCTCTGCGTGCTCTCCCTCTCCCAGGCACCGTGGCTGGGTTGGTAAGCGGAGTGGCAAAGAGTGCCTTCATCCATCCAGTGCGCATTATGGACTGTGCGGGCAACGGGGCCTTCCAGGACAATCTATTACCTCACGACTCCTCCTGTTCCTGTGTCTTCTCCCCTATTACAGGCACTGTAGCTGGACTTGTAAGCGGAGTGGCAATGAGCGCCTTCATCCACCCGGTGCGCACCATGGCCTGTGCGGGCAACGGTGCCTTTGGGGACATCCAACTCCCTCTCGGTTTGACCCTCTTGTACTGTCCCCCCTCAGGCACCGTGGCTGGATTAGTAAGCGGAGTAGCCAAGAGCGCCTTCATCCACCCGGTGCGCACCATGGCCTGTGCGGGCAACGGTGCCTTTGGGGACATCTTACTCCCTCTCTGTTTGACCCTCTTCTACTGTCCGCGTACCCCCCAGGCACCGTGGCTGGACTAATAAGCGGGGTGGCAAAGAGTGCATTCATCCACCCGGTGCGCACCATGGCCTGTGCCAGCAACGGCGCCTTTGGGGACATCCTGGAGGGGCTGGACTGGATAGCTCTTTGCCTCCTCCCTCCTTTTGCTTGCTCCCCCTCTCACAGGCACGGTAGCAGGCCTGCTGAGCGGAGTAGCAAAGAGCGCGTTCATCCATCCAGTGCGCACCATGGACTGTGCGGGCAACGGGGCATTCGGGGACATCCTGGAGGGGTTGGACTGGATCGCCCGCCACTACCAGGCGCCCGCTGTGGTGTCCATGAGCATCACCATGGCCACCTCCGCTAGTCTTGACGCTGCTCTGAAGGAACTTGTTGAGAAGACAGGCATCACGGTGGTGAGTGGGGTTGAGTGAGCAGGGTGGGGGGTTACGGTAGGGAGGTGCGTTCGGGGACATCCTGGAGGGGTTGGACTGGATCGCCCGCCACTACCAGGCACCTGCTGTCGTGTCCATGAGCATCACCATGGCCACCTCCGCTAGTCTAGACGCTGCGCTGAAGGAGCTGGTGGAGAAGACAGGGATCACTGTGGTGAGTGTGGTGTGGGAAGCGGGGTTGGCTGTGGTGAATAGACATCCTGGAGGAGTTGGACTGGATCGCCCGGCACTACCAGGCGCCCCCTGTGGTGTCCATGTCCATCACCATGGCCACCAGTGCCAGCCTTGACACTGCGCTGAAAGAGCTGGTGGAGAAGACAAGCATTACTGTGGTGAGTGGGGGGCATGGGTGGGGGGCATGGGTGGGGGGTATGGTAAGTGGGAGATTTCTTGTGAGGGGTATGGAAAGTAGGAGATTTCTGTGAGGGGTATGGAAAGTAGGAGATTTCTGCGAGGGGTATGGAAAGTAGGAGATTTCTGTGAGGGGTATGGAAAGGTGATTTCTGTGAGGGGTATATGGAAAGTGGGAGATTTCTGTGAGGGGTATATGGAAAGTGGGAGATTTCTGTGAGGGGTATATGGAAAGTGGGAAGTTATTGTGGGACGTGGGGGGTCGCTGCTGTGAGTGAGCTTTGGTGCTTATGTTTCAAGAGTTGAATGTGACTACAGCAAGGGGAGAGAAAGGAGCCCTGTGGTTCTCTCTCCTCTCCCCAGCAAGGGGCTCCTCACATGTGAGGTCAGTGCCTTCCTGCTCTCTCCCTCCCTCGGCTCCCAGGTGGCAGCAGCAGGCAACTTCTTCTCACTCGCGTGCAACTACTCACCAGCAGACAGTGATGATGTGATAGCAGTGGCATCCAGCACCAGCTCTGATACCATGAGCTGGTTCTCCAACTACGGCTCCTGCACCGACATCTTTGCCCCGGTGATTATCACTTTGGCTGATTCATTCAGTGTCTGCACCCTTGCCCCGGCACTGCCTGCCTGCTTCTTCAATGCACCTCTTGCACCGACATCCCTGCCCTGCCGTTGTGCTGCTCTTCATTGGGTTGCGTGCATGTGTGCATGTGTGTATGTGTGTTTGTCCTTACAGGGCGACGAGATTGTGAGTGCGGGGTCAGCATCAGATACTGCCATGGCAACCATGTCAGGGACATCCATGGCATGCCCACACGTGGTATGTGTACCTGCATGGCATGGCATGGCACCAGCATGTGCAAAACAAACCCCCCTGTAATGTAAAGCAGCACAGCAATCCCTCCCTCGGACCATAAACCCTGTATATCCCAGCACCGCGTGTCCGAATGCTGTCCATCACCCCCGCGCAATCCTCTCCTCTCCATCCCCCAATTTTACCCTCTCCCCACCAGTCAGGAGCAGCGGCGCTGTACCTCTCCATGCAGCCAGCCGCCCGCCCCAGGGACGTGCGCAAGGCCCTGCACGACACGGCATACCAAAACGCGGTGCAGGCAGTGAAGCCCAGCACGGTCCTCCATGTCTCTCCCTCCCTTCTGCCCCTCCCTGCCAGTCAGGGGCAGCAGCGCTGTACCTGTCCATGCAGCCGTCCGCCCGCCCCAGGGACGTGCGCAAGGCGCTGTATGACACGGCGTACCAGAAGGCAGTGCAGGCAGTGAAGCCCAGCACGGTGCCGCGCCTGCTGTCCGTCAACTTCCGCCCCCTGCTTGTGGATGTGGCCCCACGCTCCTTCCTCTCCATGCTTGAAGGGGCAAGTGCGCGCATCAAGGTGGTGTTATTGAAGGCACCTGCTGCTGACGTGGTGTTTACTGCTACCGCCTCTGATCCCAGTGTTGGTGAGTGGGTCGGTGTAGTGGGTCAGTGTGATGGGACGAGCTGGCATTGCTCGTGGATGTGGCCCCGCGCTCCTTCCTCTCTTCATGCTTGAAGGGGCAAGTGCGCACATTTAAGTGCTGCTGCTCAAGGCGCCTGCTGCTGACGTGGTCTTCACGGCGGCTGCTGTTGATCCCAGTGTTGGTGAGTTGGCGTGGCATGGCAAGCTGGCTCTCTTCATATTGGACTCCTCACAATCACAGCACATGGCGAGCTGTTTTTGTTACGTCTGTGTGTGTGTGTGGTACATCTGTGGGCAATCACCCATTGATCAATGGGTGATTTGTGTGTGTGTGATACATTCTCAACGTCTCTCACCCTTTTCTCCCTTTCCTCCCTTCCCGCATCTGCTTTCTCCATCAGCGTCCTTCTCGCCCTCGCGCCTCACCTTCCCTGCTTGCCGCACACCAGCACCACAGTACATCACCATCCAACTCGCCTACTCGCCCAGTAAGATCGACTCACCTGTTTGCCCAGTAAGACCAACTCAAGTGCTTTTTGAGTTGACTCAAGAACTTACCTGTTCGCTGCACGCCAGCACCACAGTACATCACCATCCAACTCGCCTACTCGCCCAGTAAGTGTGACTCCCTGGAATGTCACACGAGTGTAGTCAGTTTTCTACTGTCCTCCTTCCCATTCTCCTCCCTCCTGCTCCTTGTCCCTCCTGCTCCTTGTCCCACCTGCTCCTTGTCTTCCGCCCTCCTTGTCCTCTGTGCCATTCGTCCCCCAGCTTTTCACCCCACCCCTTGTCTCGCTCACTTTGTCCCTCCTCTTCTTCCTTCCTACCTTGCCCTCCACCCTGCCACCCCCCGCCCTGCCACACTCCACCACTTCAGAGTACCTGGATCGAGCCACGCTGCTGGCCTTCACCTTCGCCAGCAAGGACTCTGCATTTGGGGCGTCCCTGGAGGGATATGCCGTGGCATACGACAAAGGTGCGTGCTGGGGAGGGGAGCACGGTTGGGGTGGGAAGGAGAGGGGTTGAGAGGGGAAAAAGGGGGGGCGGAGTGTTTTGAGTCGACTCAGTGCAGTCAGGTTGTCACTGGAGGGATACGCTGTGGCACATGACAAAGATGCGTGCTGGGGGAGGGGAACACGGGGGTGATGGGAGTGGGGGAGGAGGAAGGGGGGGTTGAGAGAGGCGCCTGAGAGATGACACTGGGCAGAGTGTGAGTGTGGAGTGTGGTGGTGCCGACACGGCTCTTCCACTCGAGGATGACACTGCCCCCATACATCCACCCTCCCACCCCTCAAACCCCGTGCAGATGTGTGCAAGGCACCGTGCGGGCAGAGTGTGGAGCAGCCCAAGGTGGTGCCATTGCTGCCCTTTTACTACTGAGGATGACAACAGCAGCTAAAGCGTGCAGGGACTGCTCACTCACACTCCCCCACACACACCTTCTCATTCTTGCACCCATGCAGATGTGTGCAAGGCGCCGTGCGGGCAGAGTGTGGAGCAGCCCAAGGTGGTGCCGGCGCTGCCCTTCTATTACGAGGATGACAGCACGCACTACCGCGACCTGTATAACGCCAAGCTCGACAAGTGCCATGACACGGGGCCTGATGTGGTCTTCCAATACACGCCACCCCAGAACATGGTGAGTGGGGTTGACCTGCAAATACCCTAGCTGATTGTCTAGTTCAGTAAGGAATCACGTTTTGAGACGTCTCAAAATACCCTAGCTGATTGTCTAGTTCAGTAAGGAATCACGTTTTGAGACGTCTCAAAATACCCTAGCCGATTGTCTAGTTCAGTAAGGAATCACGTTTTGAGACGTCTCAAAATACCCTAGCTGATTGTCTAGTTCAGTAAGGAATCACGTTTTGAGACGTCTCAAAATACCCTAGCCGATTGTCTAGTTCAGTAAGGAATCACGTTTTGAGACGTCTCAAAATACCCTAGCTGATTGTCTAGTTCAGTAAGGAATCACGTTTTGAGACGTCTCAAAATACCCTAGCCGATTGTCTAGTTCAGTAAGGAATCACGTTTTGAGACGTCTCAAAATACCCTAGCTGATTGTCTAGTTCAGTAAGGAATCACGTTTTGAGACGTCTCAAAATACCCTAGCTGATTGTCTAGTTCAGTAAGGAATCACGTTTTGAGACGTCTCAAAATACCCTAGCTGATTGTCTAGTTCAGTAAGGAATCACGTTTTGAGACGTCTCAAAATACCCTAGCTGATTGTCTAGTTCAGTAAGGAATCACGTTTTGAGACGTCTCAAAATACCCTAGCTGATTGTCTAGTTCAGTAAGGAATCACGTTTTGAGACGTCTCAAAATACCCTAGCTGATTGTCTAGTTCAGTAAGGAATCACGTTTTGAGACGTCTCAAAATACCCTAGCTGATTGTCTAGTTCAGTAAGGAATCACGTTTTGAGACGTCTCAAAATACCCTAGCTGATTGTCTAGTTCAGTAAGGAATCACGTTTTGAGACGTCTCAAAATACCCTAGCTGATTGTCTAGTTCAGTAAGGAATCACGTTTTGAGACGTCTCAAAATACCCTAGCTGATTGTCTAGTTCAGTAAGGAATCACGTTTTGAGACGTCTCAAAATACCCTAGCCGATTGTCTAGTTCAGTAAGGAATCACGTTTTGAGACGTCTCAAAATACCCTAGCTGATTGTCTAGTTCAGTAAGGAATCACGTTTTGAGACGTCTCAAAATACCCTAGCTGATTGTCTAGTTCAGTAAGGAATCACGTTTTGAGACGTCTCAAAATACCCTAGCTGATTGTCTAGTTCAGTAAGGAATCACGTTTTGAGACGTCTCAAAATACCCTAGCTGATTGTCTAGTTCAGTAAGGAATCACGTTTTGAGACGTCTCAAAATACCCTAGCTGATTGTCTAGTTCAGTAAGGAATCACGTTTTGAGACGTCTCAAAATACCCTAGCTGATTGTCTAGTTCAGTAAGGAATCACGTTTTGAGACGTCTCAAAATACCCTAGCTGATTGTCTAGTTCAGTAAGGAATCACGTTTTGAGACGTCTCAAAATACCCTAGCTGATTGTCTAGTTCAGTAAGGAATCACGTTTTGAGACGTCTCAAAATACCCTAGCTGATTGTCTAGTTCAGTAAGGAATCACGTTTTGAGACGTCTCAAAATACCCTAGCTGATTGTCTAGTTCAGTAAGGAATCACGTTTTGAGACGTCTCAAAATACCCTAGCTGATTGTCTAGTTCAGTAAGGAATCACGTTTTGAGACGTCTCAAAATACCCTAGCTGATTGTCTAGTTCAGTAAGGAATCACGTTTTGAGACGTCTCAAAATACCCTAGCTGATTGTCTAGTTCAGTAAGGAATCACGTTTTGAGACGTCTCAAAATACCCTAGCTGATTGTCTAGTTCAGTAAGGAATCACGTTTTGAGACGTCTCAAAATACCCTAGCTGATTGTCTAGTTCAGTAAGGAATCACGTTTTGAGACGTCTCAAAATACCCTAGCTGATTGTCTAGTTCAGTAAGGAATCACGTTTTGAGACGTCTCAAAATACCCTAGCTGATTGTCTAGTTCAGTAAGGAATCACGTTTTGAGACGTCTCAAAATACCCTAGCTGATTGTCTAGTTCAGTAAGGAATCACGTTTTGAGACGTCTCAAAATACCCTAGCTGATTGTCTAGTTCAGTAAGGAATCACGTTTTGAGACGTCTCAAAATACCCTAGCTGATTGTCTAGTTCAGTAAGGAATCGCGTTTTGAGACGTCTCAAAATACCCTAGCTGATTGTCTAGTTCAGTAAGGAATCGCGTTTTGAGACGTCTCAAAATACCCTAGCTGATTGTCTAGTTCAGTAAGGAATCGCGTTTTGAGACGTCTCAAAATACCCTAGCTGATTGTCTAGTTCAGTAAGGAATCACGTTTTGAGACGTCTCAAAATACCCTAGCTGATTGTCTAGTTCAGTAAGGAATCACGTTTTGAGACGTCTCAAAATACCCTAGCTGATTGTCTAGTTCAGTAAGGAATCACGTTTTGAGACGTCTCAAAATACCCTAGCTGATTGTCTAGTTCAGTAAGGAATCACGTTTTGAGACGTCTCAAAATACCCTAGCTGATTGTCTAGTTCAGTAAGGAATCACGTTTTGAGACGTCTCAAAATACCCTAGCTGATTGTCTAGTTCAGTAAGGAATCACGTTTTGAGACGTCTCAAAATACCCTAGCTGATTGTCTAGTTCAGTAAGGAATCACGTTTTGAGACGTCTCAAAATACCCTAGCTGATTGTCTAGTTCAGTAAGGAATCACGTTTTGAGACGTCTCAAAATACCCTAGCTGATTGTCTAGTTCAGTAAGGAATCACGTTTTGAGACGTCTCAAAATACCCTAGCTGATTGTCTAGTTCAGTAAGGAATCACGTTTTGAGACGTCTCAAAATACCCTAGCTGATTGTCTAGTTCAGTAAGGAATCACGTTTTGAGACGTCTCAAAATACCCTAGCTGATTGTCTAGTTCAGTAAGGAATCACGTTTTGAGACGTCTCAAAATACCCTAGCTGATTGTCTAGTTCAGTAAGGAATCACGTTTTGAGACGTCTCAAAATATCCTAGCTGATTGTCTAGTTCAGTAAGGAATCACGTTTTGAGACGTCTCAAAATACCCTAGCTGATTGTCTAGTTCAGTAAGGAATCACGTTTTGAGACGTCTCAAAATACCCTAGCTGATTGTCTAGTTCAGTAAGGAATCACGTTTTGAGACGTCTCAAAATACCCTAGCTGATTGTCTAGTTCAGTAAGGAATCACGTTTTGAGACGTCTCAAAATACCCTAGCTGATTGTCTAGTTCAGTAAGGAATCACGTTTTGAGACGTCTCAAAATACCCTAGCTGATTGTCTAGTTCAGTAAGGAATCACGTTTTGAGACGTCTCAAAATACCCTAGCTGATTGTCTAGTTCAGTAAGGAATCACGTTTTGAGACGTCTCAAAATACCCTAGCTGATTGTCTAGTTCAGTAAGGAATCACGTTTTGAGACGTCTCAAAATACCCTAGCTGATTGTCTAGTTCAGTAAGGAATCACGTTTTGAGACGTCTCAAAATACCCTAGCTGATTGTCTAGTTCAGTAAGGAATCACGTTTTGAGACGTCTCAAAATACCCTAGCTGATTGTCTAGTTCAGTAAGGAATCACGTTTTGAGACGTCTCAAAATACCCTAGCTGATTGTCTAGTTCAGTAAGGAATCACGTTTTGAGACGTCTCAAAATACCCTAGCTGATTGTCTAGTTCAGTAAGGAATCACGTTTTGAGACGTCTCAAAATACCCTAGCTGATTGTCTAGTTCAGTAAGGAATCACGTTTTGAGACGTCTCAAAATACCCTAGCTGATTGTCTAGTTCAGTAAGGAATCACGTTTTGAGACGTCTCAAAATACCCTAGCTGATTGTCTAGTTCAGTAAGGAATCACGTTTTGAGACGTCTCAAAATACCCTAGCTGATTGTCTAGTTCAGTAAGGAATCACGTTTTGAGACGTCTCAAAATACCCTAGCTGATTGTCTAGTTCAGTAAGGAATCACGTTTTGAGACGTCTCAAAATACCCTAGCTGATTGTCTAGTTCAGTAAGGAATCACGTTTTGAGACGTCTCAAAATACCCTAGCTGATTGTCTAGTTCAGTAAGGAATCACGTTTTGAGACGTCTCAAAATACCCTAGCTGATTGTCTAGTTCAGTAAGGAATCACGTTTTGAGACGTCTCAAAATACCCTAGCTGATTGTCTAGTTCAGTAAGGAATCACGTTTTGAGACGTCTCAAAATACCCTAGCTGATTGTCTAGTTCAGTAAGGAATCACGTTTTGAGACGTCTCAAAATACCCTAGCTGATTGTCTAGTTCAGTAAGGAATCACGTTTTGAGACGTCTCAAAATACCCTAGCTGATTGTCTAGTTCAGTAAGGAATCACGTTTTGAGACGTCTCAAAATACCCTAGCTGATTGTCTAGTTCAGTAAGGAATCACGTTTTGAGACGTCTCAAAATACCCTAGCTGATTGTCTAGTTCAGTAAGGAATCACGTTTTGAGACGTCTCAAAATACCCTAGCTGATTGTCTAGTTCAGTAAGGAATCACGTTTTGAGACGTCTCAAAATACCCTAGCTGATTGTCTAGTTCAGTAAGGAATCACGTTTTGAGACGTCTCAAAATACCCTAGCTGATTGTCTAGTTCAGTAAGGAATCACGTTTTGAGACGTCTCAAAATACCCTAGCTGATTGTCTAGTTCAGTAAGGAATCACGTTTTGAGACGTCTCAAAATACCCTAGCTGATTGTCTAGTTCAGTAAGGAATCACGTTTTGAGACGTCTCAAAATACCCTAGCTGATTGTCTAGTTCAGTAAGGAATCACGTTTTGAGACGTCTCAAAATACCCTAGCTGATTGTCTAGTTCAGTAAGGAATCGCGTTTTGAGACGTCTCAAAATACCCTAGCTGATTGTCTAGTTCAGTAAGGAATCGCGTTTTGAGACGTCTCAAAATACCCTAGCTGATTGTCTAGTTCAGTAAGGAATCGCGTTTTGAGACGTCTCAAAATACCCTAGCTGATTGTCTAGTTCAGTAAGGAATCACGTTTTGAGACGTCTCAAAATACCCTAGCTGATTGTCTAGTTCAGTAAGGAATCACGTTTTGAGACGTCTCAAAATACCCTAGCTGATTGTCTAGTTCAGTAAGGAATCACGTTTTGAGACGTCTCAAAATACCCTAGCTGATTGTCTAGTTCAGTAAGGAATCACGTTTTGAGACGTCTCAAAATACCCTAGCTGATTGTCTAGTTCAGTAAGGAATCACGTTTTGAGACGTCTCAAAATACCCTAGCTGATTGTCTAGTTCAGTAAGGAATCACGTTTTGAGACGTCTCAAAATACCCTAGCTGATTGTCTAGTTCAGTAAGGAATCACGTTTTGAGACGTCTCAAAATACCCTAGCTGATTGTCTAGTTCAGTAAGGAATCACGTTTTGAGACGTCTCAAAATACCCTAGCTGATTGTCTAGTTCAGTAAGGAATCACGTTTTGAGACGTCTCAAAATACCCTAGCTGATTGTCTAGTTCAGTAAGGAATCACGTTTTGAGACGTCTCAAAATACCCTAGCTGATTGTCTAGTTCAGTAAGGAATCACGTTTTGAGACGTCTCAAAATACCCTAGCTGATTGTCTAGTTCAGTAAGGAATCACGTTTTGAGACGTCTCAAAATACCCTAGCTGATTGTCTAGTTCAGTAAGGAATCACGTTTTGAGACGTCTCAAAATATCCTAGCTGATTGTCTAGTTCAGTAAGGAATCACGTTTTGAGACGTCTCAAAATACCCTAGCTGATTGTCTAGTTCAGTAAGGAATCACGTTTTGAGACGTCTCAAAATACCCTAGCTGATTGTCTAGTTCAGTAAGGAATCACGTTTTGAGACGTCTCAAAATACCCTAGCTGATTGTCTAGTTCAGTAAGGAATCACGTTTTGAGACGTCTCAAAATACCCTAGCTGATTGTCTAGTTCAGTAAGGAATCACGTTTTGAGACGTCTCAAAATACCCTAGCTGATTGTCTAGTTCAGTAAGGAATCACGTTTTGAGACGTCTCAAAATACCCTAGCTGATTGTCTAGTTCAGTAAGGAATCACGTTTTGAGACGTCTCAAAATACCCTAGCTGATTGTCTAGTTCAGTAAGGAATCACGTTTTGAGACGTCTCAAAATACCCTAGCTGATTGTCTAGTTCAGTAAGGAATCACGTTTTGAGACGTCTCAAAATACCCTAGCTGATTGTCTAGTTCAGTAAGGAATCACGTTTTGAGACGTCTCAAAATACCCTAGCTGATTGTCTAGTTCAGTAAGGAATCACGTTTTGAGACGTCTCAAAATACCCTAGCTGATTGTCTAGTTCAGTAAGGAATCACGTTTTGAGACGTCTCAAAATACCCTAGCTGATTGTCTAGTTCAGTAAGGAATCACGTTTTGAGACGTCTCAAAATACCCTAGCTGATTGTCTAGTTCAGTAAGGAATCACGTTTTGAGACGTCTCAAAATACCCTAGCTGATTGTCTAGTTCAGTAAGGAATCACGTTTTGAGACGTCTCAAAATACCCTAGCTGATTGTCTAGTTCAGTAAGGAATCACGTTTTGAGACGTCTCAAAATACCCTAGCTGATTGTCTAGTTCAGTAAGGAATCACGTTTTGAGACGTCTCAAAATACCCTAGCTGATTGTCTAGTTCAGTAAGGAATCGCGTTTTGAGACGTCTCAAAATACCCTAGCTGATTGTCTAGTTCAGTAAGGAATCGCGTTTTGAGACGTCTCAAAATACCCTAGCTGATTGTCTAGTTCAGTAAGGAATCGCGTTTTGAGACGTCTCAAAATACCCTAGCTGATTGTCTAGTTCAGTAAGGAATCGCGTTTTGAGACGTCTCAAAATACCCTAGCTGATTGTCTAGTTCAGTAAGGAATCACGTTTTGAGACGTCTCAAAATACCCTAGCTGATTGTCTAGTTCAGTAAGGAATCACGTTTTGAGACGTCTCAAAATACCCTAGCTGATTGTCTAGTTCAGTAAGGAATCACGTTTTGAGACGTCTCAAAATACCCTAGCTGATTGTCTAGTTCAGTAAGGAATCACGTTTTGAGACGTCTCAAAATACCCTAGCTGATTGTCTAGTTCAGTAAGGAATCACGTTTTGAGACGTCTCAAAATACCCTAGCTGATTGTCTAGTTCAGTAAGGAATCACGTTTTGAGACGTCTCAAAATACCCTAGCTGATTGTCTAGTTCAGTAAGGAATCACGTTTTGAGACGTCTCAAAATACCCTAGCTGATTGTCTAGTTCAGTAAGGAATCGCGTTTTGAGACGTCTCAAAATACCCTAGCTGATTGTCTAGTTCAGTAAGGAATCGCGTTTTGAGACGTCTCAAAATACCCTAGCTGATTGTCTAGTTCAGTAAGGAATCGCGTTTTGAGACGTCTCAAAATACCCTAGCTGATTGTCTAGTTCAGTAAGGAATCACGTTTTGAGACGTCTCAAAATACCCTAGCTGATTGTCTAGTTCAGTAAGGAATCACGTTTTGAGACGTCTCAAAATACCCTAGCTGATTGTCTAGTTCAGTAAGGAATCACGTTTTGAGACGTCTCAAAATACCCTAGCTGATTGTCTAGTTCAGTAAGGAATCACGTTTTGAGACGTCTCAAAATACCCTAGCTGATTGTCTAGTTCAGTAAGGAATCACGTTTTGAGACGTCTCAAAATACCCTAGCTGATTGTCTAGTTCAGTAAGGAATCACGTTTTGAGACGTCTCAAAATACCCTAGCTGATTGTCTAGTTCAGTAAGGAATCACGTTTTGAGACGTCTCAAAATACCCTAGCTGATTGTCTAGTTCAGTAAGGAATCACGTTTTGAGACGTCTCAAAATACCCTAGCTGATTGTCTAGTTCAGTAAGGAATCACGTTTTGAGACGTCTCAAAATACCCTAGCTGATTGTCTAGTTCAGTAAGGAATCACGTTTTGAGACGTCTCAAAATACCCTAGCTGATTGTCTAGTTCAGTAAGGAATCACGTTTTGAGACGTCTCAAAATACCCTAGCTGATTGTCTAGTTCAGTAAGGAATCACGTTTTGAGACGTCTCAAAATACCCTAGCTGATTGTCTAGTTCAGTAAGGAATCACGTTTTGAGACGTCTCAAAATACCCTAGCTGATTGTCTAGTTCAGTAAGGAATCACGTTTTGAGACGTCTCAAAATACCCTAGCTGATTGTCTAGTTCAGTAAGGAATCACGTTTTGAGACGTCTCAAAATACCCTAGCTGATTGTCTAGTTCAGTAAGGAATCACGTTTTGAGACGTCTCAAAATACCCTAGCTGATTGTCTAGTTCAGTAAGGAATCACGTTTTGAGACGTCTCAAAATACCCTAGCTGATTGTCTAGTTCAGTAAGGAATCACGTTTTGAGACGTCTCAAAATACCCTAGCTGATTGTCTAGTTCAGTAAGGAATCACGTTTTGAGACGTCTCAAAATACCCTAGCTGATTGTCTAGTTCAGTAAGGAATCACGTTTTGAGACGTCTCAAAATACCCTAGCTGATTGTCTAGTTCAGTAAGGAATCACGTTTTGAGACGTCTCAAAATACCCTAGCTGATTGTCTAGTTCAGTAAGGAATCACGTTTTGAGACGTCTCAAAATACCCTAGCTGATTGTCTAGTTCAGTAAGGAATCACGTTTTGAGACGTCTCAAAATACCCTAGCTGATTGTCTAGTTCAGTAAGGAATCACGTTTTGAGACGTCTCAAAATACCCTAGCTGATTGTCTAGTTCAGTAAGGAATCACGTTTTGAGACGTCTCAAAATACCCTAGCTGATTGTCTAGTTCAGTAAGGAATCACGTTTTGAGACGTCTCAAAATACCCTAGCTGATTGTCTAGTTCAGTAAGGAATCACGTTTTGAGACGTCTCAAAATACCCTAGCTGATTGTCTAGTTCAGTAAGGAATCACGTTTTGAGACGTCTCAAAATACCCTAGCTGATTGTCTAGTTCAGTAAGGAATCACGTTTTGAGACGTCTCAAAATACCCTAGCTGATTGTCTAGTTCAGTAAGGAATCACGTTTTGAGACGTCTCAAAATACCCTAGCTGATTGTCTAGTTCAGTAAGGAATCACGTTTTGAGACGTCTCAAAATACCCTAGCTGATTGTCTAGTTCAGTAAGGAATCACGTTTTGAGACGTCTCAAAATACCCTAGCTGATTGTCTAGTTCAGTAAGGAATCACGTTTTGAGACGTCTCAAAATACCCTAGCTGATTGTCTAGTTCAGTAAGGAATCACGTTTTGAGACGTCTCAAAATACCCTAGCTGATTGTCTAGTTCAGTAAGGAATCGCTACACAGCGCCCTACCACATGGTGAGCACATGGTCTAGTGCCATTGCTGCCCTTTTACTACGAGGATGACAACACGTACTACCGTGACCTGTACAATGCCAAGCTCGACAAGTGCCATGACACGGGGCCCGATGTGGTCTTCCAATACACCGGGTGAGTGAGGTGCTCTCGCACTGCTTGCGGACATGCCTCATTCACCTCCCTATGGTCTCTTACTGTGTGAAAGCATCAAGGGTTGCAAAGTGGTGTCAGTGGACCTGTGACCACGGAGTTTGACTCACTGCGCAGTGCTTATGAGCGCACCAATCCAGCAGTTAAACACATACTCTTCCGCGTCCTTCCCTGTTCCCTCCGTCCCTCCTCCCAATCAGGTGGTGTCAGTGGACCTGTGCAGCCTTACCGAGTTTGACTCGGTCCTCAGCGCATACGAGCGCACCAAGCCCGGAGCTAAGCCGGTATCCATCGCATGCAACGACGACTCCTGTGGCACCAAGTCGAAGCTCTCAGGCCTCATCCTCGCCAAGGGAACCGCCTACTTCTTTGTGAGACCCTGCTTTCTGAGAGCCTTGATCGCGATTTTGTTCTTTCTCTCCACATTTTTAGCTCTCCATTGTGACCATTCTTTGGACAACGCTGCACACTGCCCCCCTGACTCTTTTCCGCAACTCGTTTCCCCATTTTGTGGATGCGTGCGTGCTCGCGTCCCTCTGCTGTCATACCTGGCAGATGGTGGACGGGTGGGGAGGCACAGGGGGCAAGTTCGCAATCAACATGGTTGTCACCAAGGTGCTCAAGGCCCTCGACTCCAAGGCACCCCGTAACAAGGCGTTCCAGCCCATCCGCTCCAAGGCAGTTAGCGCAAATGCGCTCGCCTCTCTGCGATCCATGCCTGTGCCACCACAGTCTCACCAGCTTCATCCGCTCCTCTCTCTGCCCATCAATCCCACCTCCTCCCACCCTTCCTCCTCCCACCCTACTTCTTCTGAGTCCGATGGTGGCAATGCTAAAAAAGGTGGCAGTGGTGCCCGTGCTGCGAATCCCTCTTTCTCCTTCGCTTCGCCACGCCACCTCTCTCAACCACCCCGCTTCATCTACATGAATGGCAGTACTCCCATGCCGCTCGCCCCCGCCAGTGGCCCTGGTGTGGGGGCGCGTGATGAGGGCTCAGGTGCTGACGCCAAAGGCTCTTACCGCGTGCTGACAGGGCCCTGGGGAGAATGCTCCGTGTCGTGCGGTGTGGGGCAGCAGCAGAGGTAGGCGTGGGTGTTGGGTGCGGTTGGGATGGTTTTGGGGTGGCATGGCCCGGGGCGGCATGGTATGGGGTCGTATGGCATGAGGTGGTGTGGCATGGGTTGGCATGGAATGGCGTGCATGTGTTTGCATTTAATCAAGAGGCCGTCGCTCGTCCACTTCTCACAATTACCTTTCCTGCTCAGCATTTGTTCCGTGTATCATCCACCTGCCCTCACTGATCTGTGCTGTCTGTCGCTTCATTTGCCCTCAGCATTCACTTCATTTCCACACCCACTCCCGTCACCTCTCCCGTCACCTCTCCCGTCACCTCTCCCGTCACCTCTCCCCTCACCTCTCTCACCAAAAGCTCCTCTATCAGTATTCTTCCTGTTTCCCACCTCCCGGCCAATCGCGTTCCCATCTCTCTTGCAACCCCCTGCCCTGGCCCCTCGAACCAGAATGGCGTGGTGTGTGGACGCCCAGGGAATGACGGCCCAATCGCCTCTCGCCAGCTGTCCGCTGCTCCCTGCTGTGCCCACCACTCAGCCATGCCAGCTGGCACCCTGCACACGCGGTTACTGGGACGTCACACAGTGGCAGGTGCGTCCATTTTTATGTGTCACATTAGAGAAGTCTCAATATTGGCACGTGTGTCAAAAAATCCTCTGCTTCTTCCACCCTCTATCCTTCTCTGCTCTCATGCTCTCTCTTTTTCCGGAGCTGTGTTGAGAAGCGCTCACCTCTTTACAACCCTCACCATTCTTGCTCTTAATCGTCCTCCCAATGCCAGGGCTGCAATGTGCCGTGCGGCGGGGGCGTCAACGTGCGGTCAGTGGTGTGTTGAGACGCACGTGCCCTTCTTACACCACTCACCCTCTACACTCCTCACTCTGTTCAACCCATTCTTTCTCTCACCAGGGCTGCAATGTGCCGTGTGGTGGTGGCTTCGACGTGCGGTCAGTGGTGTGTCGAGACGCCGTGCAGGGCACCATGCTGGACGACTCCCGCTGCCCCTCCGCCCCCCCCTCCTCTCTCCCCTCACTTCCTTCTTCCTCCCGCCTTTATTCCCCTCGCCAGGGCTGCAACGTGCCATGCGGAGGGGGTGTGAACGTGCGGTCAGTGGTGTGTCGAGACGCCGTGCAGGGCAACATGCTCGACGACTCCCGCTGCCCCTCTGCCCCCCCTTCCACCAACCAGTCCTGCAACACACAGGTGCCGCCTCTGATTACCACCCTTTTTTCTTTTCTAGAGCCTCACAACCTCAGAACCTCACCCTCACACCCTCAGAACCTCGCCCGCCCTCATACCCTCGGAACCTCTCCCTCACACCTCACACGCACACCTTCACAGCTCCTCTCCCTGCCAGTGCGCTCTTATTTCGAGCCCACCTTGGGTCAAATCGCCCTCTCTCACTGTCTGCTCTTCCCCTGCGCCCCCCCCCAGCCATGCTCTATCCACATCTGGAGAACTCGCAGCTGGTCCCCGTGCCAGTACTCCCTGACCCTATTGTCCGATGTGCGCTCTGGTTTGACACCCCACGGCAGCAGCAGTAACCGCAGCAGCAGCAGCAGCAGCAGCAGCAGCAGCAGCAACCGCAGCAGCAGCAACCACAGCAGCAGCACTAACAGCAGCAGCAATCAGGGTAGCAGCAGCAGCGGTGGAACGGTGTGGAGTGTGGTGGAGGAGGAGGTGATGCAAGTGTACGGATGGAGAAGAAGAGAGATTGAGGTATGTTGAGCCGCCCTTTGCTTTCTGTGGACCAAGCCACCGTTCATCTTGTTCCAATCCCAGTGAATGCCCCAACCTGAACTATCGTGTTTCAATCACAGTGCGCTTCAAAAGCTTTTGAGGCGCCTCAAAAATGCCCCAAGCTGAACTATTGTGTTTCAAGGACAGTGCATGCCAAGCCTGTTCACTCACTGACATTAACAAAAACAACCTGCAGAGTTGTCTCCAAACTTTGTGACTCACTCGCCCCGTTCCCGCCCTCCCTCACAGCCTTTCCGTTTCCTCTAGCCTCTCCTGTATCTCACTTCCCTCACTCTCCTCGCCCTCGCTCCCCTCCCTCACTCTCGCTTCTCTCTTACTCTCTTCTCCCTCCCTCTTTCCGTACATCTCAGTGTGTGAGCATGAGAGGCCAATCAGTGCAAGACTCGTTCTGCTCCAGCTCAGTCAAGCCTTCAACCTTCTCTCGCTGCCTCCCTTCGTTCTCCCTCCTTCCTTTTCTTTCCCTCTCTTTCCCTGTCTCGCAGTGTGTGAGCATGAGAGGCCAATCAGTGCAAGACTCGTTCTGCTTCAGCTCAGTCAAGCCCGCAACCTTCTCCCCCTGCCTCCCACCTCCACCACTCCCCTCCACCACCTCTGATGCTGCCTCCTCCCCCTCCGTTTCACCCTCTTCCTCCTCCAACGCTTTCAATACTACCGCTGGCATCGTTTCCAGTAATGCAACTGTTACCGCCACCATCAGACCAATTAGACCCAGCAGCAGCAGCCACAGCAGTCGAAACAGCCGCAGTAGCCGCAACAGCCACAGAAGCCGAAACAGCCATAGCAGCCGGAATAGCCACAGCAGGAAAAGCAGGCACGGCAGGAACAGCAAGCACCACAGACACAGCAGGCACAGCCACAGAAGCCGCAACAGCAACAGCAACAGCACCTCGTCTCTCCTCTGCTCCAGCCTCTCGTGCATACACGGCACTTGTGAGGTGAGCAGGGCACTTGCAATCTGTTTCTGAGGCGTCTCAGAAACAGCAGGCACTTCCAACATGAGCCGTGTCATTTCTTGTGCTCATAGTTCAGATGGGTTGCCTGTCCTCGCTACACTGCTATCAGCCCTGTGTTTTGAGAATTAAAATAATAATAATAATAATTAAAAAAAAAAAAAAAAAAAAAAAAACATCTGCAACAATATCGTGCCGACTCAAAAAGCAGCTGCAACAAAATGCCGAATCGGCTCTTGGGTGACCTGAGATGGGCTGCTTGGCGTCACAGTCACTGCGTTGCTGGCAGCCCAGTATTTGAAACGCCTCCGACCTCATAACTCCGCCCTGTTCCTTTCACCCCCTCCATGCAGCTGGGAGCATGTGTGTGCAGGGAGGGATGGACAGGCCCTCAGTGCAGCGAGCCTCACCTCTGTGGCGGCAGGCCCGTGGGACTCATGCTCTCTCCCACAACTCAGGTCTCATAATCCCTTCTGTTCCCTTGCCGTCTTCCCCACCCCCACCCTTCATCCATGCAGCGGGGAGCCTGTGTGTGCAGGGAGGGATGGATGGGCAATCATTGCAGCGAGCCTCACCCCTGTGGAGGCAGGCCCGTGGGACTCATGCTCTCGCCCACTCCTGTCCACGCTCAAACTGCTGCTTCTGCTGCTGATGATGATGATGCTGATGCCGCCGCTGATGTTGCTGCTGTAGCAACAACTGTTGACCGGCCAAGTGGGTTAGGATCAGGCAGCAGTGATAGCAACAGCACGAGCAACCCCATCATCAGCAGCAGCGCTCGCAACCCCATCAGCAGCAGCAGCAGCAGCAGCAGCAGCAGCGTGAATATGACTGTCTCAGTGCACGTGTCCTGTTGTCCAGCTTTCCTAGTGGATCGCTGGGGGTGGTGCTGCCTCTCTGCCTCTGCCCGCCTTGACCAGGTCTGCTCCTGCTCCTGCCTCTGCTCCTGCCCCTGTTCCTGCCCCAGTGGGATTGCGGCAGCACGTTGGGTTTGCAGACGTCTCAACCCAACGCTGCAGTAGCCACGTGTAGCGAGGTTGTTTTTGAGACGTCTCAAAAACAACCTCGCTACACGTTGGGTTTGCAGCACGTCTCAACCCAACGCTGCAGTAGCCCGTCAGAGAGTGTCCCGATTATCTTTTGGAGCTGTCTGGCACACGCCGCTCACATGCACATTATGCTGCAGAGTGTGCTGATGAAGGCCTTTGCTGGCCGAAACGCGTTCACACGCGACATCCAGGCCTAATGTGTCTGGCTTTCTGATTAGTATACCTTTTCTCACTACTTCCCTCGATTTTCAGATTAGTAGACTCTACAGATCGTTACTCTTAGCAGGCTTGCTGCGTTTCGAATCCAATAAATTTCAACTTTGTCCCGATTATCTTTTGGAGCTGTCTGGAACACGCTGCTCACATGCACATTATGCTGCAGAGTGTTTTTGAGAATTCTCAAAAACACCCTGCAGCTGTCCGGCACACTCTGCTCAAATGCACATTATCTCATGCTGCTTCCTTTCCTGTACTCTCCTCTTCGTACCTGAGTGCCCCGCTTGCCTGTGTAAATCGTTGCTTCCGTCTGCCTGTGTAAATCGTTGCTCTCGTCTGCCTCTCTGCCTGTGTAAATCGTTGCTCCCGTCTGCTTGTCTGCCTGTGTTCCTGTGTGCCTGTGTGCGGTGCGAGTGGGTGCAGAACGGTTCATGCTGTGAGAGTGGCCGAGTGGACGCCTGTGGAGTCTGCAATGGCAATGGAAGGTACGGGCGAGAAGGAATGGGAGAGAGGCGAGGTACGGTTGAGAAGCAATGGGAGAGAGGCGAGGTACGGTTGAGAAATTAATGGGAGAGAGGCGAGATACGGGTGAGAAACAATGGGAGATCGAGGCGAGGTAACGTACCCGCCTGTTGCTGTTGCTCGAGCAGATTCGGTGCTTGAGTCTCTGTTGAGGACTTACACTCGCACACTTGAGTTTAGGGCGATAGGGCAAATCATGCATAACGGGCGAGATGGGGATGTGCTGTACTGACTTTCTGACAGACTAGTCGCATGTGTCTCATGCCCGTCGTTTTTCCCTCCCATCTGTCCTTACCTTCTCCCACTAGTTTTTTTTGGAAACGGGCGATTGCGGTGCATCGGGCCTGAGCCGAGGGCGAGGGGGGTTTGTGTTGCCCTGCTGCCAGTCTTCGACTCTGCGTCTCATCCCCCACATTCCCCCTACTCATTCCCCCTGCTCCTTCCCCCTTCCACTCCTGCTCCCGTCCCCCCGTCCACCTTCCTTTCACCCAGCGCCGTGGACGTAAGGGGAGACTGCTGCACATCGGGTCTGAGGGACGACATGGGCGTGTGCTGCCCCTCTGCTGTCTCGAACCCTGCTCTCATCCTCCCCTTTGCCCCATTCCCATTCCCCCTTCTATGCTTCCTCTCACCCAGTGCTGTGGACATAAGGGGAGACTGCTGCACATCGGGTCTGAGGGACGACATGGGCGTGTGCTGACCCTCTGCTGTCTCGAACCCTGCTCTCATCCTCCCCTTTGCCCCATTCCCATTCCCCCTTCTATGCTTCCTCTCACCCAGTGCTGTGGACATAAGGGGAGACTGCTGCACATCGGGTCTGAGGGACGACATGGGCGTGTGCTGCCCCTCTGCCCGCCTCGATGCGTGCGGGCGATGCGATGGGGACGGCACCTCCTGCGCGCTCCTCGCCACCGTTGCCATGCGGGTATGCGCACTCCCGGGGTTCTCCAGGTAACAGGACTTTGACTCAAACGCTGGGCAGTTGTGCTGCCCCTCTGCCCGCCTGGATGCGTGTGGGCGATGCGGTGGGGACGGCACCTCGTGTGCCCTCCTCGCCACCGTTGCCATGCGGGTACGTGCTCTCTCGGGGTGCCATGGGTAGCAGGACTTTGACTGAAAAGCTGGGCAGTTTGTGTTGCCTCTTTGCCTGCATCTCTGCCCGCCTCAAAGTGGATGATGCAATCGGGATGGCACCTCGTGCGCCCTTGTCGCCACCGTTGCCATGCGGGTATGGGCTCCCTCAGGATGCTATGGGTAACACCGTTGAGGCGCCTCAGGAATGGTCTCCTGGACACTGGCCTGATCGCCAGGGGTATGTGCACACATGTAACACGTGCATTCAGGGTTCTATGCAACTTGGTCTGATCGCCTCTATTGTCTATGATGCATCATCTCGTATCATGTTGTATTGTATCGTGCCCGCATCATGCCGCATGGTGTGGCATGTTTATTCACATGCAGGTGCCCTTCCGCCCACCCCACAATCACCCTCCCTACCCATCTCCCTCGGCTCCTGTTTCCTGTCTCTCGCGCTTCCAGGTACCGTTCTCGCAATCAGTGGCCTCGCATGCTCTCGAGCTTGCCTCCAGCACCGTCCATCCCAGCTTGAATGATTATGGCTCCCTCAACACCAGCACGGATGGCGATAGAGGCAATACAAGTGCAGGTGACAGTGCAGGCAGCAGCAGCAACCATCACTTCAGCGACTTTGCTTCCGCCTTCACCAATGGGGTACGTATCGCACGTCATGCTCTAGAGCAAAGGCACGCCTGCCACACTGGTTCTCACACATCACTGCATGGATGCATCTCCCCACACATCACTGCATGGATGCATCTCCCCACACATGCACATACTCGTTTGGACACACATGTTACCACTTGGTCCCTTCATCCTTTTCCCTCCCCTTTTCCTTTTCTCTCACACACCTGCCCTTCTCACTTACTCCATCAGATGGCTGAGATCCTGGACGTGCTACCACAAGCCATCTCCTTCGCTTCCTACCCCCCTTTTTCTCTCACACCCCTCCCTGTCTCACACACTCCATCAGATGGCTGAGATCCTGGACGTGCTACCACAAGCCATCTCCTTCGCTTCCTACCCCCCTTTTTCTCTCACACCCCTCCCTGTCTCACACACTCCATCAGATGGCTGAGATCCTGGACGTTCTACCACAAGCCATCTCCTTCCTCTCAATCACACCAGCGCCATGCCTGCCGGACTTCCCAGGAGCTTCGTTTCCAAACCAGCTTTCCTCAGCCACCGAACCTAACTCCCAGGCTGGGCAGCCTAGGTCTGGGGTGGAGCAATCAGACCATGCGTGGGAGTGGGAGGGGGGGTGTGGGCAGCTGGATGACACGAACAGCCCCAGAGGCATTTCAGTGCAATTCGTTGCGCAACCCCTCGCGGTACGTGCCGTTGATGTTGCTGTTGCTGTTGCTGCTGCTGCTGCTGCTGCTGCTGCTGCTGCTGCTGTTTTAGAGCTAAGCTAACTCGTTCTTTGGGGGGTGGGGATGGATGGGTGCTGTGCTGTGTGCAGGTGGGATCCACAACACCCCGCATGGCAGAGACCAGCTTCCGGGAGGCGCTGGTGCAGTATGCTCAGGACAGCATGCAACCCCCAACCACGCCATTTCTGGTGATGCTCCCTCCCCAGCCATTCCACCACAATGCCACCTGCTGCTATCACCCTTTCTTCACTGAACACGTGTTTGCCTCCACATGATGCTAAAATTGCACCTGTAGCGGCTATTGTTAAGTCTTCGACTCTGCTACTATGTAGCAGCTCCAACTACTCTTTCCTCCTGACCATCTCCATATCTCACGTGGACCTTCCATGGTGTGCCGTCACATTGTTCCGATCAGGGCGTCCCTGGGGCTTCCTTCATCTCGCTGCTCTCATCAACCCGCCTTGGCATCTGTGGAAACAACATATGTGAGACTGGAGAGCGGTGCTCCCAGCCCAGTATGGCTTCTGCATTGACGGGCAGTTCCTACTCTTACAATGGGACTTCTGAACGCAGTGCTGAGTCTTCTTGCTGCCCAGAAGACTGCCCATTTGTTTCGCTGGCGTGTCCAGCTTCTGATGATGGCCATGGGAGAAACTCTGCATGCTCTGGGTTTGGTCGGTGCCTCAACTTCACAGGCACATGTGACTGCTTCTGGGGTATGTATGGAGATATGAATGCTGCATGCATTAACAAAATGGAGTATGTCACTTGTTCTTTTTGGAAAACAATTTCTCCATTTTGATTCAATGTGCCTTGCTTGTTGCTTCACCCAGGTCATGTTGGTGAAGATTGCTCCCAGTGTGCTGCTGGATGGGCGATGTCACCAGTAACGGGTTCATGCTACATTCAGCCAACTACTGCTTCACTTACGTCAGTATTCAGCATCATCGCTTCCACCCCATCTGTTTGCTACGAGACTCCTTAGAAAAATGCTTATCGGCCATAGAAACTGACGAAGAATGGCCTCCGAAGATGTACAAATACCATGCTTGAGCAAGGATTCATATATTTATGTTTGCTGAATCAATTTCAATACGTTATCAAGATATACAGCTTAAGACAGGAACTTGTCCAGGCTCTGGAAGACGGTCGTGTTCCATGGGTCGGCAAGGTGAGCAGCCAGGTTGGCGAAGGGACCGGCACCAGTGACGTGGGACTGGATGATGAAGCCCAAGAACGCGATCATGGCGGTACGGCCTGAGAACATAAATGCAAGAGCAGATTAGTTGGACGAACATGGTGAATTGATCCAATGCTGTCGGTGATTTACTGAAGAGACGTAGTGATGCTCACCGTTAGCGATCTCGCTCTCCTTGGAGCGGAAGTCGGTTCCCATACCCATGGGGTTGAAGCCGGGGTAACCCACTTCACCAGGGGGGAGAGTGTTGCCGAAGGGGTCCGTGCTCACGCTGCCGGGCTTCTTGATGTCTTGCCACCTCAGAAGCTCAACAAAGTTGAACAGGATGAACTCGATCGCGAACAGGGTGGGAGTGGGGCACCAGAACTCAGCGACACCGGTGTCGTACCACACGGGCACGTTCAGGAGACCAGCGGAGGTCAGAGCCTCGGGGATGATCATGCCGGCAACACCGAGCATGGCCCAGCGGCCGTTCTGGAGCTCGGCCTGGACGTACCACTTGAGGTTCTCGGGATCCTCGGCCAGGGCAAGGGGATCGAAGCCGTTGTCGCCGGGGAGGCTGGAATGAGAAAGGACAGATAAGGCATTAGTGGCCTACGAAAAATGTTTCGATATTGCACGGAAACAATGCGCCTAGAAGAGCTATCGCTGATGAAGGTATCGAACAGCATTTACCTGCCATCGAGCCACGCCGGGGAGGTGGACCCAGGGAGCCAGTTGCCCTTAGCCTCAATCTTCAGGGCGGAGATGGAGGTCGGCTGTGCGTTAGCACGGGTCGACCTGGCGAGGCGCGAGGAACCCGCACCAAGGAAAGTGGACCTAGCCACGACGGAGGCAGCCTGCATGATGACGGAAGCCATGGCTACGTCTTAGGTTGGCGAACTGAAGGAGGTGGCTTGGAAACAGGTTCCTCTGCAGTCAGCAGTCCAACGATTGCTGGGATGGTACTTCAGCTCCTCGACCCTTTCCGCCAGGATGTTCCACCTGTGTTCCCCGCGCTTGGTTGAGAGACGCAATTCCCACGGGGGAGGTGGGGGGAACCAGCGACTGGCGAACGAGCGATATCCAAAACTCAAGGCGTATCTGAGTCAGCCAATCGTGGATAAGACCCATCGTTCTCGCAGGAAACTGGTTGGCTGCCCACTTCAGCGCAACGCCCTCGTTGATTTCTGTCGCGAAGTCGGATTGTTTACTGGGTGATAGGCCCCTCACCTTCGTGAAGTGATGGTAACCAGAAAATCAAATACCGTGAGGTGTAGACACAAAAGAATCAGATGATCATATTAGGAGGAATTCTTTAGCTCTACCTCGAAACACAAACTTGTAACATGATAGATGGTAATGTAGCATCCACATTCAGAAATACACATTAATAAGTTGATATTTCGTGAACAATTATAACGGACAGTTGTTTAAAGTTAACAGCAGTATTTCTCATACCCGTAGATATATACAGGGCAGAATAATATCAGGTGTAATGACTAAAATGAAAACCTAGTGAAGCAGAAAATAGAATGACAAAAAGCAAATTTCTCAAGCTGCATTCATCTACCCCAAAGCCGACCTTTCATTTATGGTACACGTCCCAGCTCCTGACCCAAACACCTGTTGGAGTAGCTCGTAATGAACAAACTAGCTTTTGGATTATGCCTCTAAATTGCAGCAACGAGAGAAATTATGTGCGTGCATGCAGTCAAGTTTTCTTGAGTGGGGGATTGCCCTGCTGTGCATAGAGGTATAGAGTGGGGGGTTGCCCTGGTGTGCATAGAGGTATAGGGAGCTTCTTTTTCCCACCATACACGCAAAGGAGGAACAAACTATCCACAGCGCCAATAACAAAATGGTTCGAAAGGAGCATATGGAATTTCTGGGTCGGAGGTGGTTTCTGGCACGGCACGGCACACATACCTAGATAAAATCAACATGCCAGAACTATATTCCAACACGCTCAGCAGCATGATTTATCACACCGCCGGCCACTTCTGGAGTCCGGACCACCACCACAACAGGTAATCCAACTGACTAAACTTTCACTAATTAAGGTTGAGCTAAGCATTATATTTTAAAATGTACAGGTTCTAACTTAATGGGATCCGTAGAAGGCATCCAGGCTCTGGAAAACGGTGGTGTTCCATGGGTCAGAAAGGTGGGCAGCCAGGTTGGCGAATGGGCCGGCACCAGTGACGTGCGACTGGATGATGAAGCCCAAGAAAGCGATCATGGCGGTACGGCCTGAAAATGAAAATGCACGTGTAAATTAGTGGTCGATTATGTTGTAACGAACGAAGAAAGATCGAAATTATGTTGTAATAAACTGAAAGCGCTCGTCATGCTCACCGTTAGCGATCTCGCTCTCCTTGGAGCGGAAGTCGGTTCCCAGACCCATGGGGTTGAAGCCGGGGTAACCCACTTCACCCGGGGCGAGGGTGTTGCCGAAGGGGTCCGTGCTCACGCTGCCGGGCTTCTTGATGTCTTGCCACCTCAGAAGCTCAACAAAGTTGAACAGGATGAACTCGATCGCGAACAGGGTGGGAGTGGGGCACCAGAACTCAGCGACACCGGTGTCGTACCACACGGGAACATCAAGGATCCCCGCAGCAGTCAGAGCCTCGGGGATGATCATGCCGGCAACGCCGAGCATGGCCCAGCGGCCGTTTTGGAGCTCGGCCTGGACGTACCACTTGAGGTTCTCGGGATCCTCGGCCAGGGCAAGGGGATCGAATCCGTTGTCGCCGGGAAGGCTGCATCACGAAGACAAGATGCGCGAATTTAGATATCTGAGTGCTGAGTGCGGCTCAGCAATGTCGTTTCTCTTGGTGCCTATCAAACATACACTACAGGGCACAAGACGCAAAGCCGTGAAGTACCTGCCATCAAGCCAGGCCGGAGAGGTGGAACCTGGGAGCCAGTTGCCCTTGGCCTCGATCGTAAGGGTCGACACGGATGCTGGCTGCGCAGCAGCACGGGTCGACTTAGCAAGGCGCGATTGGCCAGCGCCAAGGAAAGCGGACTTGGCCACAACGGCGGTAGACGCAGCCTGCATGGTGACGGACGCCATGGCTTTTGATAGTCAGTGTTGGAGCAACAACGGCTCTTTGGTAAAGCTCCTTTACGCACAGGAATCAGCTTGTTGTCAATCAGGGGTACTTTAGGCAGCAGGAACAAGGTTCTGCGCCCTTAGTAAATCGGGATTCGCCGACACAAGCGTGCAGGGTTTGACATCAAGCCAATATCCAAAACTCGCTAACATATCTCAAGGGACCAATCGTATTGGAGAACCATATGTGATCGGGGGTATTGGTTGGTTCGCATCGGTCTCTGCTTGGGAGTGAGCGATTCTGGCGCCTCATGTTTGTGGGCTGAGAAACGGTTGGCGAAACGGTAGTTCAAGCTTCGCGAACAAATTTTGCGACGAACATTGAAGTACACAGGTACTGAAGCATTTTTTTTGCCTGCTCCACAAGCTACAGTTCCCACTCAATTGAAATTAGATTAGAACGCATGAGGAAATCAATACCCATCAAAGCCTGTGGAGCTCGATCCTACATCACCCACAATTTCGCACTCAGGAATGCAAGGCATAAAGAACTATCATTATACAAACTGCATGAGATCTCTAGAGCTTGAGCTACATACAAGCACCCACCACTCAAACAGACGCCCTCATCTCAGCAAGGACACTGAAAATCCATGGACATTTGACATCAAATTCAGGAAGTCTAGCCATAGCTCGATGTGTGCCCCCTACTTGTCGAGGTGAACTAATTATGTAAATACTCAAACCTAAAGGAACCGATACATGTTCATGGTGGCATCTGCGAGTGCTCGATCGCTCACCACCCTGCTCAATCAGAATCGGAGTCATCGCTATCATCTGAGTCGTCGCTATCATCGTCACTGTCATCATCAGAGTCGGTATCGTCCTTTGCGGCTGGAGGAGGCGGTTTCTTTTCTTCGACTGGCTTGGATGGCGTTGAGGTTGCAGCAGCTGGGGGAGGTGCTGAAGAGGATGCAGCCACGGGCTTTGCGGGTGAAGATTCCTCCTCTTTCACGACTGAACTGGACGGAGGTTCGGAAACAGCAGCAGCCACAGATTTTGCAGGTGAGGCAGTTGAGGGCTTGGATATGGACACAGATGACACCGCAGCTGCGGCTTGTGATCCAGCATCTGCCCCGTCGCCGGTTTCACGCTGCAACTCTGTGAAATTGCCTTTCTTCAAGAACAGCTGTTGGAAATGCGCCTTACAGTACAGCTTTCCTCCCAGTGCTTGGTAAGTCGAGGTCGTGAGCTTGCATCCACTGTGGACGCATTTGAAACACTGGTTGTGGTACGTGGAGTTCTCGACACTGACCTGAAACGGCAAGAGATCCCATGTGAGCGCGAGACGCATTCATCAACAAAAGCAGTAGGGACGTCGAAAACAGAAATACCTTTTCCAGGGGGTAGACTGTCTTACTGCAAACTACGCACTTCTCCTGTGTCCCGCCGAACCTCGCTGCCAAAGGATTGACGACCCTCTGCATAATATCAAGATCAACTGATTACAATCAGAAACCAAGTTGGCTTGTTTAAAAGGCAAGAGCGACGAGGAAAATCAGCCCTGGCCTACCTTGTTGTCTCCTCCGTATCTCGATACGCCAGTGGTAGATGTCACACCTGAGGCAATAAAAGAACACTGAGATACTCGAACTCGAAATACTGAAGACATATCCAAGGAGTAAAAAGATCATACTCACTCCCAGGTGCCACAGTTTTCTCCTTCTCCGACTTGATGGCCTCTTCAAAGCTTTTGTTGTAGCACCCAGTCTTCTTAAAGAGTTGATCGAAGTGCGGCTTACAGTACAGAACACCTTCAAGCGAAGCGAAACTATTCAACTGTTGAGACAGAAAACAGAGATCTTTAGCCAACGTTATGAATCGTGTTCCAAGTGGAGAACGAGGTGTTTAACAATTATTCACCTTAAGAGTGCCCTTGCAATGAAAGCACCTGCTCAATACACACAACATGGACAATCTAGGTCAGCTTTTGTGTGTACACGCGCGACGGATATGCACTCTAGAGGAACTCACCGGAAACAATGCTTGTGGTAGATGACCCCATCAGCTATCAACTGCTCCATCAAGTACACGGTCTTCCCGCAAGACTTGCACTTTGTAGTCGTCCCAGTGAAGGCGGACATTTTCAAAGATACGAAAGGACCTAGCCTAATCTCAGAACGAGCTAGGCCTACTTAGGACGACGACAGATCCTGATCAGGGCCCTAAACTCACGCTGTGGTGTTCCCTTCGGAGTGAGCTGGTTGGATGAATCTGGGGAGGAAAGGAACTCTGAAGTGGCTGGGGTGGTTGTGAGGTGGTGTGAGTGTCGCATGGGTGCCTGAACTGAAGGGCCTCGGGGTCACTCCATCGTGCCTGCGACGGAGACGCGACGCTGAGTGCTGGTGAGAGTAGATCGTGCGATTCTGCGAACAGTTCTCGTTTGAAATGGGAGTTTCGGAAAGCTTCTTCGAGATCCTGCCAACTTCGGCGAAGCGCAGCTTCTGCCACTGTTACCAGAAGGGATGTCAGGGTTTCGTTCGACTTCTTCGCGGACGAAGCAGGACCTCTGGTTATTACACCTGAAAAGGGTATACGTTACAGGCTCATAACAGGTCCTTACCTTGCCATGTGCATAGGGCAATTGAAATTCTGTACTATCAATCCCTATCAAGCCACTCACTGGTTAGTTTTATGAATATCTGTATGAGCATGCATCATTTTGAACTTCCACTATATCAAATCACTGTATCTTGAATCAATAACGATTAACCTTCCTTGTACCCTACACTAGCACATCACAACACTGATCTATGCACACGCTAGTCAGTAGTGTTAGTATTGGTTGTTCCATTCCTTATTGACATGAGGCTGAGAGCCCAGTACCAAATCCCCAGCTGCTCCAGCACCTACACCAGCAGGGGCTTGTTTTATAAACTGACCCCTAAACCTCGGTCTCTGCTCTGCCAGGCGCTTCCGACTCTGATAACGAACCTGGAAGGGCAAAGGAGCAAAAAGGAGCAGCTGAATCAGTACATATGTATGCCACCCACGAAATCAGCACGCTTCACATTAAGATGTATAAGCAAACCCCCTTGAAAAGGAAAAGTCACATACCTTTTTCTCGAAGCACCGGTCCTTGCGCTTCTGCCTGAATTTATTCAACGCTGCCTCTCGCACGGCCTGCCGGCTCATCACAGTAGGAACAGCAGCTCCAGCCGCACACCCTCCTCCTGCAGCCCCCAGCGCAGCCTGGCACTGCCCAGAGCCTTGCGACAGCCCGCAACCAGGCCCACCACAGGCACATGCAGCACACGCAGCTGCTTCCGCTGCAGGAGTCTCCTGAAGCTGAGACATCCCTCCTCCAGAGCTGGAAATATCCATGGCGCAGCATTGCTGAAGCGCTGTGTCAACTCCTCCTCCTCCTGCTGCTGCTGCTGTTGCTGCTCCACACGTCCCTCTTCCCCCCTCCACCATCTCCTCCTCCTTGCCTTCCTCGTCCCCATCCACCACTTCACCTGTGGTGGTGGCAGGCGTGGCAGATGCGTCAGCAGCGCAGGGAGGGAACGCCACAGCCTGCCCCATCAGGCTCACCATTTTCACCCCATTGCCTTGGCTCGCCTCCACAGGCGCGTGCACGCTCACAGTGCCGCTGCCATTCCTACTGCACCCAGTCATACCCTCCCTGCCTCGTGCCTCCTCGCCTGCTCCCCACACATCTGTCGCTGTGTCGTCTGCGTGCTCTGGTCGCGTCTGCAAGGGAAGGCCATTGGTACTGCCACCCCCAACCCCTGCAGGAGCTGCTTCCCTGCTGTTCTGAGTGTTTTGAGCGCTGCCCACACCACCACTGCCCCCGCCTCCACTGCCCTGACCACTCTGCACCCCACTCTTACTCCCACTTCCTCTCCCAATCGCACCCTCTTTGTTTCCACGCGCATCCCCATCAACATTCGCTTTGTCACCATCCGCCGTAAAAACATTTGTGCTCTGGTGATTGCTGACAGCTGCTGCAGCTGGTGCCGCCGCTCTTGCACACGGTGGTATAGGGCCAGCAGCAGCAGCAGCAGAAGAGCCCACGGTGGCAGGAGATACAGCACTGAAGCTGCTCTCACGCATCAGTGGGCCCTGCTGCTGCTGCTGCTGCTGCTGCTGATTGTGATGGCGTTGGTGTTGGTGTTGGTGGTGGTGGTGGTGATGGTGGCGTTGCTGCTGTCTATTCTCGCATGCAGCATCACCAATTCCGCCATCTCTATTCCCACTGCCATGAGCGCCCGCTTCACTGTGTTGCACTACCTCTGCATGATCCTTCTCCTTCCCTTGCTCCCTCGCATGCTCCTTCAGTTGTTGTCTCCCTTGATCCTTCCCCTGATCCCTCCCGTACCCCCTCCCTCGCTCGTCCAGCCCATGCTGCTGCCTGCTACCGCCTCCCGCCGTCCAGGGGGGAAGAGGCAGCTTCAGCACAGGGGCAGGAGGGAGACGGCTGGCACATGCCGTGCTGCCTGTAGCCGCACCAGCACCAGCAGCAGTGGCAGCAGCAGCAGCAGCAGCGGCGGCGGCGGCGGCCGCCGCAGTGGCAGCAGAAGCAACAGCAGCACCAGCAGCAGGTGCTGTGCCTAAGTGAATCTCCTGAGGGGTTGCTCCCTGGTGCTCTAGAGAAAGAGCTGTGGAGCTGGGCTGGAAAGAGGGAGACAGAAGGAAGGAGAGCGAGGCAGCGCGTGAGAGAGGCGCGGGAAGAGAGGAGGCGTGGGCGGCGTGTGCGGCGTGGGGAGCGTGGGGAGTGTGAGGGTTCAGGTGGGAGAGGAGTGGGCGGGTGGGGAGGAAAGACGATGGTGAGAAGCTGGGAGGAGCGAGGCTTGAGAGGAGATTCAGCTGCTGCGCTGCTGCTGCCGCTGCCGCCGCCGCTGCTGCCGCTGCTGGTGTTGCCGCTGGTGCCGTTGTTACTCCAGGTGCTGCTGCTGCTGCTTGTGCCAGCGCCTGGGGTAGCTGAAACTGCCCGTGCTGCTGCTGCTGCTGCTGCTGCTGCTGCTGCTGCAGTTGCAGGCGCTGCTGTGCTTGCATCTGCTGCAGCATGGCTTGCTGCAACGCCTGCTGTGCCAGCTGTGGCATCACCTGAGGCGCGTACAGCCACGGAGGGGGCACCCCTGCTGCTGCCGTCGCAGCAGCCGCAGCAGCATAGTACGCAGGAGGCAGGAACATTCCAGAGGAAGCGTCAAGTGGAAACCCAGATTGTGGCGGCAGCCCTGGGGGGGTAATGGGCGCTGGAGACGGAGTGGGATTAGGATTCCCAACAGGGCCAGCAGCAGCAGCAGCAGCGGCAGCAGCAGCAGCAGCGGCAGCAGCAGCGGCGGCAGCAGAAGAATCAAGATCCGCAGCTCCACAGGCACTACCAGAGGCACCAGCACCCAATGCTGCTGTTCTCCCATTCCTCCCTCCGTGCCCCTCCCCGCTGCTCCCTGCCGCCCCGCACCCGTCCAGGTCCTCCCCCTGGGCAGGTGAAACTCCTCGCATTGGCGTGGTGGACCTGCCCAGGCCTGGAAAACCGTTGGGTCCGGGCAGCAGAGAGAAAGGATTGAAGGGATGGAACATGGCGGCCGCGGCAGCAGCAGCAGCAGGAGGGGGAGCCGGGTATGAGTCACTGAAGGGGTGGGCGAAGGGGGAGGGGAGAGTGGAGTTGTAGCGGAAAGGAGAGGCCTCCCTATGCTGCCCTGTTGCTGTCGTGGAGGGGAGAGGCGTTGGTGCTGTTGGGTTGATTGTTCCCAGCCCAAGAAGGGCAGCTGCTGCTGCCTCTCGCGGTGCTGCTGCTGCTGCCGCCGCTGCCGCCGCAGCTGGTGGTGCCGCTGGCACTGCTGGTGGTGCTGGTGGTGCTGCAGATGCAGTGGCAGTTGGTGCTGCAGATGCAGTGGCAGTTGGTGCTGCAGATGCAGTGGCAGTTGGTGTTGCGTCTGCTTCTGCTGCTCCTGCAACAGCAGCATCCCCTCGTTCTGGTATTCTCTGCGACACTGCCATGCCGCTCTCCCCTTCATTCCCTCCTCTCCTCCCCCCCTCCGCATTTGCACTACCCTTCTCCCCACTCCCTCCGCTACCACTGTTCCCACCGCCATCACGCACGCTCGTCAGCCCGCTGCTGCCGTCCATCTTCCCTCCCGAGCCTCCACCCGAACCTGCAACCAGTCCGCCCGAACCGACAACGGACTTGGGCGGTTGGCTCGACACCTGGTGAGCTGGGCTCTGCGGAAATAGCTGCCGGCACTCCTGCTGCTGCTGTTGCTGCTGCTGCTGTTGCTGGTGTTGCTGGTTTTGCTGGTGTTGATTGTAATGGTGATGGTGGTGATGCAGATGGTGCGACTGTTGATGCCCCCCAGTTCCTGTGAGGGCTATGGATGAACCAGGAGTGATGGTACCAGAAGCGCCTGTATCGGGCGTGCTTGTAAGAGGAGGGGTGAGCAAACGGCTGGGGCCTGGAGCAGAGGCAGCGAGAGGTATAGCGGCTGCAGGAGCAACAACAGCAGGAGCAGCAGCAGCAGGAGCAGATGATCCAGCAGGAGAAGAACCCGCAGCAGCGGCAGCGGGGGCAGCAGCAGCAGGAGGAGGGAAAGGGAGAGCAGCAGGGGGTGCTGTGGTGTAGCGGGTGAAGGCAGAGAGTCCCGAGTGCTGCCAGGGGGACTGCTGCCATGCTGCTTGCTGCCACGCTGCTGCATGGTGCTGCGATGCATGGTGATGCGATGCGTGGTGCTGAATGTGCATGTGCGGTTGCAGGTGATGCTGGCTCTGATGGTGATGCTGGGTGTGGTGCTGGTGGTAATAGCTCTGGTCCTGCCTCCAATTTCCCTGCTGCCGCGGACTCTCCTGCTCCCTCTCCCTCTCCCTCTCCTCCTCCGTCTCCTCCACTTGCATTGCTGCATTGTCCCATGCCGCCCTCTCCGAATCTCGCCTCCCTCCTTCCCCACCCTCGTCTGCTTCCACTCGCCTCCTCACTCTCCTCTCTTTCTCCTCCCTTCCTCCCCCCAATGCTTCTGCTTCCCTCTTGACCCCCTCGGATTTGTCTGCCCCTGCTGCTACTGCTGCTACTGCTGCTCCTGCTGCTACTGCTGCTCCTTCTGCTCCTTCTCCCCCAACTTCTACCCGCTCATCTCGGCCTCTCTTCCTCTCTCCTTCCGCCCGCTGCTCCGCAGCCCCGTCCTCATGCCCCCCTCCCACCACCATCCCCTCACCACTTTCCCTCATGTCAAGGTCCTTCTGAGCGTCTCCGCCCTTTACAGTCACGTTCTTTTCAGGAGGTCTCTCCGCTTGCACGCCTCCTACATTCTTAGCAGGAGAAGAACCTTCTTCAGCACCTTCCTCTGCACCTTCCTCTGCACCTTCCTCCTCTGTGCCGAAGTTCCACCTCACCTTCTTCCCCTCTCTGTCCGCCTTACAAGCCATCTCGATAAGAGCAGGAACAGCCCCCTGGGAGAGTGATCCGTCATGTAAGCAGCCAACCACTGAAGTCACCATTTGCGTTACCACGGGTGTTACAACCTCTGCAGCAGCAGCAGCAGCAGCGCCAGCACCGGCACCAGCAGCAGTGGCAGCAGCAGTATCAGCAGCAGTTTCAGGTTCGACTACCGGTGCTCCTGTCACTAGATCCTTTGAGATTGCTCCTGCAACATCCATTCCGGTTTCCCTTTTGGCAGCAACAACAGCTGCAACAGCAGCAGTGTCGCCACCACCGTCAGGGTCTGTAGCAGCACCAGCGGCAGCAGCAGCACGAAGCATTCTCCCTTTTACCACCACCACCTCCTCCTGCTCCTGCTCCTCCTGCTCTTTCCGCTCCGCCTCCGCCTCTACCTCCGCCACTTGCTCCGCCTCGTCCCCCGCGTCCCCATCCCCTTCCGCCCGCGGCGGCCCCTCACACTCCTCTTTCTTAGTCGAACCTTCCCCGGACGCCTGCGCGCTTTCCACCACCGCCTCGGCTGCGCGCACTGCCTCCGCCGCCACTGCGCGTTCCTCCCCGCCCCCCCTGCCCCCGCTCCACCCCCAGCCCCCCCTGCCCCCCTTACCCTGCTGCTGCGGCGGCAAACGGTCCTTTCTCAACCCTCCTGCCCCATCATCCCTCGCGGCACCAGGGTTTTGTCGTCTCGTCTCCACCTCCTCCCCCCCCTTCTCCCCCCGCGCCTGCTGCGCCTTGGCGGCTTGCGCGTGCTGGTTATCCACCTGGCGGGATCAGAGAGGGGCGCGGGGGAGATGGGAAAGACGGGCGAGTGAGTGACGCCGAGGAGTAGCGGGGGAGCGGGTTGAGGGGGGGGGAAACGTGAAGGAAGAGTGGGGGAACTGACGACGGCAGGTACGGAGGAATGACAGCTACGGAGGGGTGGAGGCGTATGCTTGAGAGACGTGGAGGAGTGAAGGAGGAGGGGAAAAGAAAGAGACTTGGGCAAGGAGTGGGGGGATGGAAGAAGGGGAAGGGTGGCCATGGAAAGGTGGAGAGGGAGGGGTGGGGTGGGGAGGGGTGCGGAGGGATGCAGAGGGAGGGACGCGGAGTTGGTGCGAGCATGGCATAGTAAATGCAAGGCATCGCATGGCCTGTTCGTGAGGCGTTAGAAAGCCTGAAGGAGCCATTCCTCACCTGGGTGGCTACTTGAGTGCCGCTGCCGTAGTCGCTACCACCATTCGCATCCACGTTCCCACCGCCATCCCTCTCCATATACACGTCATCTCCTTCCCCTTCCCCTTCCCCCTCCCCCTCCCCCTCCCCTTCCCCTTCCCCTTCCCCTCCGCCCCCAGCGCGCTCAACCCCACCACCGCCGTCAGCAGCAGCGGCGGCGGCGGCGGCAGTGGCGGCGTCCCCCGCGGCGTAGGCGGCGTTGGGCGCGCGCTGATTGGCGAGTCCCATGAGCACCTTGCCGTTGGTGCCGCTGCCGCTGCCGCTGCCACTGCCGCTCGACTGGGAAGCAGGGCGAGAGAGAGGGCAGAACGGGCGGAGAGGGAAGAGAGAGGGCACGAAAGGGAGGGAAGAAAGAGAGGACAGGGATGGGAGGGAAGCGAGAGGAGGAGGGAGAGGGAAGAGAGAGAAGACGCGATGAGGAATGGGAGCCGGCGTGCCGGCAGGTGTGCAAGGTGAGAGGAAATGCAGACTGCCGCATTCCGAAATCAGAGGCACGGACGGGAATTGAGAGGTCAGGACAGAGAGCCGGGGGGACGGGAGGGGAAGGGCGGGGACGAGACGGGACGGGCAGGCGGAGGGGACTCCGAGGGAAAACGCACGGCGAATGCACGGCGAATACAGAGGGGATGCAGAGTGCCGAACGATAAGGGGCGAGAGAGGGCGAGGGGGCAGGGCGAGGGGACGAGAGGGCGAGGGGGCGTACGGAGTGGCATCGGCGCCAGACGTGCTGCCAGAGGTTCTTGAGCTCGTTCTTGCGCACGGGCTTGACGAGGAAGTCCGCCGCACCCCTCTGAAAACATTTCAACACCATCTCCATGCTGTCGTGTGACGACATCACTGCAAGGGGGGAGAAGGGGGACGTGGGGTTGGAGGGCGGATGCGGGGGGGGAACGATCAGCAGGGAACAACTATCGAACACTTCAACACCAGCCCCGTGCTGTCGTGCGACGACATCACTGCAAGGGGGAGGGGGAGAGGAGAGAAGAACTTAGGACGATGAGGGTGTGAGGTTGGAGGGAGCAGAGGGTTAGCCGACAAGGTCTGGCATCAACTCAAGGGATGATCACTTGAGTGATCTCTCTACTTCCGTGCCGCGACAGATCTCCCTACTTGTATTTGCGGAGAGCAACGCGGAGACACACTGACGGGGCACTTGCGCGGCTGCACGTCCCCGCCGATGGGTCTCACACCGAGTGCCTCGCGCGGGCCGGCACGTACTTATAACGGGGATGCCGCGCAGCTCCTCCTTGCCCATGATGCGCGCGAGCAGCGCGATGCCCGACAGCCCCGGCATCACCACGTCCGTCAGCACCAGGTCGAACCGCCCGCCGCTGCCGCTTGATAGAATCTCCCACGCGTGCTGCCCGCTCGACGCGGGTGTGACTGTAACGGGGGGAAACGGTCGAGGTCGGAGCGGGATACGGGAGCCGGGGAAGCGGGAGAAGGGGAAGGGAAGGCGGGAAAAGCGGGGACAGGGGAGAGGGGAATAAAAGGGAAGGGGGGTGGGGGGTGGGGGGTGGGGGAGGGGAGGAAGGGGGGAGAGGAGAGACGTCTTGAGGTGGAGATTACGAGTGAGAAAAAGTTGGAGTTGCAGCAAGTCTCAGCCATAAGCCACCAGCCCTTAGCCACAAGACGTTAGCCACGAATCAGCCATTCGAACTACACTGGATCTACACAGAACTTCGCAACGGACCGACAGACTCAGGCCTACATTCGCGAATACCATCCAGAGGGATGCGTGGCCACGCAATTACCGTCCTTCACTAGCAGCACACCCCGCTAGCAGCACGCACATTAGCAGCACACCCACTAACAGCACGCTTAACTTGCGTTTACTCCTTCGCCTACCAGCACGCACTAACCGCTGACCGAATGTACGCCGGCAGAACACATCGCTGACCATTTCAACGCCGACTGATTTTACGCGGCTGATTCTACGCAAAAGCCGAACTTCGGCTAGTCTATCGTCATTCCCAGCAGTCAGTCGGTTCGCGGCCGGTCCAACTCTTGAGAGACGCCTAAAAAGTCGTCTCACTATTCAGACGCCTCGGAAATAGTTTCCCGCACTCCGTGGGATTGCGGGCCACCTTCGTAGGAGCAGTTTCGGAGAAGCGCCGAGACGACGTGGCGCGTGGAGTCGTCGTCTTCGACGAGCAACACGCGCAGAGAGCCTTCCATCAAGGCCCCCCACCCGCCGCCGCCGCCCGCTTCGTTCGGCCCGTCGTGCAGCTCGAAATCGTCGCCCGTCTCATCCCCGTCATCCTCCTCTTCGTTATCGCTATTAGCTTCATGCTGCTGCTTCTTCTGCTGCTCGGTTTCCGCCTCCCTGACTCGCGGGTCGCCTCCGGATCCGTTATCGTCTCCTGGAGTGACGTCCGCGCTAAGAACTGCATCGGTATTCGGTTGTTGTTGAGTCTGAGGCTCGGGTTGTAACGGGCTCTGCTCTTCCTGGTTTTGCGGGAAGATCTGCCTGTCTACTTCGTCGTTATTCTGATCGTACATCTGATCAACCGCGAGAGCTATCCGGTCGAACTCCCTGTCTAGACCGTGACCGTGCCGACGTTCACCGATGTTCCCTCCGTCGCCTCTTACAGCGTCTCTCCTATCTAAATCTAGATCCTGATCCCCAAACTCTCCGGCCATTTCGGTATCGGCCCTTATCGGAAACGCCTGATCCGTAGTAGACACGCTAAGCACGAATTATTATCCCAATTCGGTTTCGTAGGGCTGGAAGGCGATATTTCGGACATTCGGCGAGTAAATGGTGAGCATCTCGTCATGAACATTCAAGAAAACCAGGTAAACAAGCTGACTATCAGCCAAGGAAGGAAGAGTCTTGCATGAGAAGATGAGGCGAGAGCTCATCAGGACAACGCCAATGTGTTCCCTCGATCAACACGTGTGTGGCTCTCCTTCCTCCTCGTCTCACCCGGATTTTTTCCTCCGCCTTTCTGACCTGTGTGGCCTCAGCGAGATAGGGCCAAGACGAAAGAAAAATCTTTTTCTCCTCCTTGAAACCCTCGCTGCTCCCCGTGCCGCTGTGGGATATCAGTTGCTCGCCCATGGTTGGCTGGTTTGCTGAACGGATGAACTCGACCTTGAGGCTTTCGGAATGTCGGATCGAATGCTGCACCCTCGTGGCACGGTCAGGCTGCTTTTTTTGCGCACCATCTGCCGAGCAATATCAGCCAAGCGAACTGAAGGCCAAAATGGTGGACCAGATGTCGTGGTGGAGAATATCTCGAAATTGCCGTTTCCGCGGTTGAGCCTTTCGGAACTGCCCGACTGCGGTTTTCTGTCATTTCATTTGCCTTGTCACCCCGCGAATTCGGGCCATGAAGGGCGAACCGAGAGGAGGATGGTTTATCAGGCTGATTTGTTGATCCACCATACTATACTGTAGTGGTCTAGTGACAAGGCAGGACAGCACGTGATGTAAAGCTTGAGTTCATTCGGTTGCTGGTCTGGCAGGAAGAAAAATCTTGTGGCGGGAAACGAAGGGAACTTTTACTGGGTGACGAAACGGCACCACCAGCCAGAGCACCCTTCCAAATCAACAGCCAAATTCCAAAATCTAAACTAACCCCGATTGTGCGGACATGATGTTGGTTAGTGCTGGAGAGCAGGTGACAGGTGGACCCTGCTGACTCGTTCGAGCCCAGAAAAATCCCCACAGCAATCGAGGACCATCCAGAAACAGAGGCTTGTGTACAGATATCATTACTTGACAAGGTACGACTGTACGGGCAGCAATAATAGCTGAAGTAGGAGAAAAGGTTCCGAGATATTAGTCAGACTGGGATGCCCTCGCTCCATCTTGTGGCCAATCTTGTTCGCTGAAGTATCTCATCGTCATGCGAACGTCAAGGGGCACAAAATCGAGTTCTGCAAAATGCTTCCAGCCACAGAGTGCCATGATATGGCTTGGAAAGGTGAGCCAGGGAGACGCTGACCTTGGATTGTTTTCAGATATTCACCAAACCGCAACCACACAGAAGTTCAGAACTGCGAGGGACAATATAAGACGGATAGAAATATAAGAGGCTCATATGAATACACCATATACCTGCTAACATAGAATTACATTCTTGTTGCTGTATATAGCCTGGTTGTACATAACATCTTGCCATCCCTAATAGTATATCTGTCAAAATGGGTCCGCCAGTGGCTCGACAATTAGGTGCATGCCAAATCCCGCTCGCAGAGTGACAGCACTAATGGGGAAGTGCGTATAGGCCGGGGAGAGGCGCCAGGAAAACCCCCTGAGGATGTGCGCCAAAACTACCTTTGACTCGGTGAGGGCAAAGGTGTTCCCGATGCAAATACGTGGGCCGGAACCGAAGGGAAGGAACGCCTGAGGATGAGAACAGGCTTCGTCTGGTCCTTCTGGAATGTGTTGGGATCAATGAGGGAAGAACGGGCATTGGAGGGGTATGAAGATTGGAGCACCGACCACCTGGCACTGAAGCAGTGCAAGATTATAGCAGAATAGGGATAGGGGACACGAAAGAACATGAGTATTGTTGAAAACAAAGAGGGGGAAACAGAGTGATGCAGCAAAAGTGCGAAAAGAGAACGGGGAATTAGGGAAGACGAAAGTTAAGAGAGTGACGGACTGGCGAAGCGTTCGGGGTTAAAGTCGAGGGAATGAGGGCCCCAGAAGCGCGGGTCATAGTGCAGCATGGCCACTGGTATCACCACATCCGTGCCCCGGGGGAGGTCGTATGGCCCCAGCCTGCACGCCTGGAGAGAGTGAAGGGGGGAGAGTGAGAGGGGGAGAGAGTAAGGTTGAGAGAGCGAGGGGAAGAGAGTGAGGGGGGTGGCGGCCTGGATGGGAGAGGCTGAGAGAATGCAACACACGCAAATGAACCCATTTCCACCCAGTTGAATGCCTCACCTCCAATCCCTTTCAAACCTTCCTTGCCAGTTGAACCACCGTGGCCCTTATGAGAATATCCTGCCCACACGAGCCCCTCTAGGCATTTCGACCCACTGGCTACTTCAGCCCCCCCAGACCATACCAGCCCATCTTTTGCATTTGAACCCGCCGAACTGAATCGGCCGCCTGTGTCTATCTACCTGCTGGCACATGCGGCTGATGAAGGAGACGGGGGGGAAAATGCGCAGGCTCTCCTGCAGCACCATGCCCATGGCCTTTAGTGCCCTTCCTCTCCCCCACTTTCCCGTGCATTTGACCCCCCCACCCCACCAGCCTGCGTGTGTCTACCTGCTGGCACGTGCGGCTGATGAAGGAGACGGGGGGGAACATGCGCAGGCTCTCCTGCAACACCATGCCCATGGCCTTTAATGCCGCCACCACCTCCCATGTCACCCGTCCCCCTCCTCTTTGCCCCTCGCCTTCCCCTTCCCCCCCTCCCTCACGTTCTGCTCCCACTCTCCCTGCTCCCTCCTGTCCTCCTTCCTCTCCCTCCCTTCCAAAACCCCCTTGGCCTGATTGTACTGATTTTTCTCCACCTTTCTCTGACCCTGCCTCTTCTGCTGCTCCTGCTGCTGTGTTGGCCGTGGCGGCCGATGACGTGTCTTGTGCCCCCTGCTGAGTCAGCGCCTGCTTGAGCTCAGCTCTCAGCCGCTCCTGCCAGTCGGGATGCTTCGCCAGCAGGTAGAACGTCCACGTCAGCAGGCGAGCTGTGGTGCCGTGGCCTGGAGTTGAGGGGAGCAACAGAGAGGAAGACGGGAAGCAGTAGAGAAGGAGGTGGCAGAGAGGGGGGCAACAGGAAGAGGATGGGTGACATTGGTGAGATGAGGTGACTTTTGAGTCGACTCAAAAGTCACTTTGAGTCGACTCAAAAGTCACTTTGAGTCGACTCAAAAGGCAACAGGAAGAGGATGGGTGACATTGGTGAGATGAAGAACGCAGAGAGAAGACTTTTGAGACAACTTAAAGGAAGAAGAAGATGGACATTGGTGAAAATGAAGAAGGGGGCGATGTGATGAAGGGAGATGGGCAAAAGTGAAACGTAAACATGGCGCAGGTGGAATTGGAAAAGCTGGTATGGAAAGGAAGTACCAGCGAGGAGGAACGTGATGCACTCGTCCATGAGCTGCTGCTCCGTCATCTGCTCGTTGCTTCTTAAACTGACTCGAGACGCACCCACTAACCCAAAACACCAGGGCAGTACCAGCGAGGAAAACGCATACCAGCGAGGAGGAACGTGATGCATTCGTCCATCAGCTGCTGGTCCGTCATTTGCTCGTTGCCTGCCTCGTCATGTGCTGCCAGCATCAGCGCCAGTAGGTCTCGAGCACCCCGCCCTCTTGCCGCTCCTTGTTGATTCTCTGACTCGCCATCTGCTTCCTCCGCATGCACTGCTGCTGCTGCACCCCGCCTCTTGCCAATCAGGTGCAGGGTCAGGTTGCGGATCTTTTTCTCGGCTGCCCAGAGGGCAAAGTTTTCTGGAAGCGGCAGAATGCTGCGGCGGGGGAATGGTCAGGGCGTGGAAGAAAGCAAGGCAACGCAGGCAGAAGAAAGAACAGGACGCGAATGCTAAGCATAGTGAGGCCTCTGGGAAGAGGCCAGGGCCTCAAAACAAGAGACGAAAACAACAGTGCCTTTTCAGGTGCTTCTGAAGAAAACAGCGCTTTTAGGAGACAGCGCCTGGAGAGATTGCTGTAGGCAAGGGCCCAAGCACTATGACACTGGGTGCTTGGGAGCGCGCTTACTCGTAGAAGGGCACTAGGGAGCGCCAGGAGAAGACCCTCTTGGCGCCCAGCTCTGCCAGCTTGGACAGCGCGTTGTACAGCTGCACTGGATCCCCTGCCCCTGCCCCTGCCCCTGCCCCTGCCCCTGCCCCTGGAACTGCTCGTACTGCTGATGCTGGTGGTGCTGAATCTCCGTTAGCTGGTCGTTCCCTTCCTGCGTCTCCAGGCACGAGCCTATCACCCTCCTCGCCCTCCTCGTGCATGACAGCAGAGCCAAAGGCTGCGAGGCCGATGACGTCCAGAGCCACGAGCGACATGCTCTCCTGCACGTCCACCTCCATAGTCACACGCTCTTTACAAGCACCCTCTAGCACTCCTTCTCCCCTCCCCCCCCTCTGCTGCTGCAGCTGATGCGACCATGCGTTTGCCAGGGACTGGCCCTGTCCATCCATGATCCCCACCATTTCCTGCACGGGTCAATGCAGGTCAATGCGAGTCAATGTGGGTCAATGCGAGTCAATCTGGGTCAATGAGAGTCAGTGCAGATCAATGCTAGGACAGTGGGGGTCAATGTGGGTCAATGCAGGGTCAATGCAGATCAAGACAGGTCAATAAATGTAGGTCAACGAAGGTCAAAGCGGGTCAAACGTGGTAAACTGGAGTTTTTGCGAAGTCAGTGAATCACCAGCCAGTGACACAAACAGTCAGCATGGGTCAAAGGTCAGCATGGGTCAAAGGTCAGCATGGGTCAAAGGTCAGCACGAGTCAATATGGATCAGCTGCTCAGGCAAAGAAAAATCTACCTCCGTGCATGTCAACCCTGCATGTGTTTCTCTTGTTCATTCATACACATGCTGCCATGCGCCCTTGCTGCCATGCCATGTGGCCTTCATAAGCCCTTGATCAGCATGATATGGCGCGTTCTCGGCACCAAAGAGCCACACAACCACAATTGGCTCGCCGCTCACCCTCACCGCAGCAAGTCGATTAGTCACAGCGCTACTAGTCAACTAGTCACACCTCATACTCTCATGCTCCCGTGCTCTCAGTTGGTCACTGCGCTACCATCACCCCACCTTGATGACGGCGGGGCGGAAGGCAGGGTTGACGATGCGGCGTTGCCGGGTCCACAGCGACCCCTCTGAGAGAGGCAGGCCGTTCCCCAGCAGCCATGCTCCCGTGCTCCCGTGTTCCAATGTGTCCCTTAAACTCTTGCACCAGGTAACCACGAGGCCACTGCGCTACCACCAGCTCACCTTGATAGCCGCGGGGCGGAAGGCGGGGATGACGATGCGGCGCTGCCGGGCCCACAGCGACCCCTCTGAGAGAGGCAGGCCGTTCCCCAGCAGCCTCAGCGCCTTGCGCGCCCCTGCTGTCTTGGTGTAGCGCCCGCTGCTCGATAGCAGGACCTGTCTCACTAGTGCAGGATCCGTTACAAGCAGCTGCGCCGTCCCCCCTATGGTGAACCCGACCACGTCCCCGTACTGCTGGCGCCACTCGTGCAGCCGCGGAAGGAACACAGCCGGACCGTGCGTGGAGGGGGGAGAGTCGGGGGAGGGGGACGCGGAGGAGGGGGAGGCGGCGGAGGCGGAGGGGGAGGCGGGAGGGGGGTGTTGGTTGGGGGACGTTGAGGCAGGAGGAGGGGTGAGGCGGTAGAGGTCGAGCGCTTGACCAATGAAAGGCCTGGAGTGCATGGGAGGAGGGGATGGTAGGGGGAGGCAGGATGCGAGGAAGGGCATTGGGGGTGGTGGTTGCGGGAATTTTGAGTCGTTTTCAAAAGGGAGACACTAAGAGTGGAGTGGATGGAGGGGACGTGGTGCGTGATGGGGGGAGGGAGGTGAGGCAAGAAAACGTCTTAAAACGTAAAACGTTATTCTAGCGAAAACGTCTAAAGCATATTGGTCAAATATGCCTAAGTGTACGCTTACTGAGCGGAACGAACAGGAAAGTATTAGTACAAAAAACTGCTTAAACGAAATTCACTTCTTGGACAGGCGGAACAACATTTTTTGCTTATTTTGAAAGTAGCCTTGCCTCACGGCGGAAACGAGACGCCTTACTTGAACGGCAGGAAGGGGATTCCTTGCTTCCTGCACAGCCGCACTATGCGGTACGGCACATACACAAGCCGATACGCTAGGAACAGCGTTCCGGCTGCTAGTCCAGCCCACGGAACGAAGGCTAACCACCAGGGAACTTGGTGCTGCCACGTGGCACCATCCTGCCACGTTACCGTGCTAGACTCGGACATTGGGGTCCTCTGGAACAGCTGGGATTCCTAAGAAGTTGTTACCAGATAGGGAGAATCAGGAAAGAAATGCTAGGAAAATCCACGCAAAGAACAGCAAGCACTTCAAACCAGCGCCCGATATTCCACCAACGAGAAGCACATTTCGGATGGTGAAATCGAGAATTCCTTCCAGCCAACCAACACCAGCGCTTCTCCAGCGCCAGAATTCGAGAAAAACTTCGCCCACGATGCTTCTCGGGTTCCAAACCAAAGCAACTGTACTGTAATGAATGTGAATTCATAACTGTAGAGGCTACTCCTAGCGAGGACAGCCCGAACTGTTCGCGTCAGTTTGGGTTCGGCCTACACTTCGGCCCGAACCGCTTCCGAGTCGCCCCGCACCAATCGCGACACTTCCAAACCATCCACGTCCCGAGGTCCTCGCCTACCACGGTTTCGACCCTATAAATGCTTGCTTCTTTATCATTCTCGTCATTCTGTAGTTCTCATCCTTTTTATAAAGTCTTCCGCGCACTCTTCTTAGTACAACTCATAACATGTACCATGCATAGTTATTACGAGTGCAATTGAGTGAGCGAGCGAGAATTGCACTATCTAAGCAAAAAGTACAATGAGCGAAGGTGTGAGCGAAGAATATATGGCGAAACTACAGTGGTAACGGTAATGGACTGTGGTTGTCGCGCGACGGGCCTGGGACTGAGGTTTGGGAAAGTGTCGAAGCGGAGGCCCGGAACGCGGGTTACCCGCCGAGCCGTGAGGTCGGGGTGCGACGTGCGAAGGTGGCGGGAGGATTGTCGATGCGAGAGTTGCGAGTGATAACGGTGCTAACTGTGGTGCTACAGTGGTGTACGCGCTGAGCGGGGACGCGAACTAAGGAAAAGGGATTTTCCTTACACTACCCCCCCCCTTAAGGAGGTCCTCCTTTACGAAAGTGCGTGTACATCCCTGAAGTTTCGGCTGCGCAGATACTCGGTGAGGACGGTGTCAAATGTTTATATATTCTATATATTGTTAGATAGGCTACTGTGAGTTGCCCTCTAAAGGGTACAACACTTTAGGTCGACATTTGTATCTCCTTGTCCCTCCTTACTCAAACTATTACTCTCGACACTTGTCTCCTAGCCTATCTTAAGATGGTATTAGAGTAGGTTTTTTACTCCCTCCCACGCTTCCGCTCCCTCCCTTAGCCGGTCCCGAGGCGCCCGTCCCTTAGGCCCCGTTTCGTCGCGGGTAGGACGGCCCCCGCGGGCCTCGTTTTTCGTCGCGTTTAAGGGCCCCCGCGGGCCTCGTTTTCGTCGCGTTTAAGGGCCCCCGCGGGCCTCGTTTTTCGTCGCGTTTACAGGGCCCCACTGGCCCCTCGTTTCGTCGCGCTCCAGAAGGGACTCTCCCCCCCCCCCCCCCCCCGCGGGCCCGCGTAGTCGTTCTTAGCCCGCAGCAGCGCGCGCGTTAGCCAGCGGCAGCCGCGCACGCCACTGCAGCACGCGCATTGCAGCAGCAGCGCGTGCTTTGCTGCAGCAGCACGGCTAGGCAGCAGCGCGTGCATTGCAGCAGCAGCACGGCTAGGCAGCAGCGCGTGCATTGCAGCAGCAGCACGGCTAGGCAGCAACGTGTGCATTGCAGCAGCAGCACGGCTAGGCAGCAGCGCGTGCTCCTGCAGCAGCAGCACGGCTAGGCAGAAGCTAGCCGCCAGCAGCAGCTAGCCACCGGAACCTAGCCGCCAGCAGCTGGCGCCAGCTAGCCCCTCCCACCCGCCCACAGCCCCTTTCAACCGCTCACAGCCCCTTCCAACCGCTCACAGCCCCTTCCAACCGCTCACAGCCCGTTCCAACCGCTCACAGCCCCTTCCAACCGCTCACAGCCCCTTCCAACCGCTCAGAGCCCCTTCCAAACGCTCACATCCCCTTATCACGCGCGCACACCACCCAGGACCACCCGACCTCCGTTGGTTCGACACTCGCGTCACTCATACTCACAGTGTTTCGCACCGTCGCGGCTGGAGGCCGCTCCGCTTAGCTGTTTAGGCTAGTCCTGACGTTCGTTGTTAGCTAGGTCTCTCCTCGCTCCGCCAGCCCCTCGAACGACCCTCTGGCTCCTCGATCGGCTCGTCAGCCCTGCCTCCTCCAGCCGTGTGCTCCTAGGTCAGCTAACTCCCAGCTCCGTTCGTTACTAGACTGGCGTTCCTAGCTCAGTTTTCCTCCGTGCTCCAGCAGTACCTCGCCTAGTCCCACCTGGCGCTCCTCGCTCCTAGCTCCGTTTGCTCCGTGCTCCAGCTGTTCCTAGCCTAGCGTCCAATATGGACTCCTCCCGCCGCCTTCGTTTCGATGCAGAGGGGCGCCCGATAGAGTTCGGCACCTGGCTCCGCCAGACTCAGCGCTATCTCACCAGTCAGCGCCAGGACGGCGCCACCCTGTACGCCCACGCGTCCGGCGCCCTCCAGGCACCACCGCGTCCCGAGCCCCTCCCTGCCGTGCCCCCCCCGACTCCGGAGGCACAGGCGGACTACGCTCGTCTCGTCTTGGCGCGGGACGTTTGGGACTCCCGTGACGCTGCGGCTGCACTCGCGCTGACCGAGCTCCTTCCACCGACTGAGGCCGCTCACTTCGACCTGGTAGAGACTGCGAAGGAGGTGTATGATGCTATTTCTGCACGCTATTCCACCCCTTCCTCTGCCTCCCTCAGCCGCATCCTCATGCCGTTCGTGTTTCCCGACCTCGGCTCTTTTGCGACTGTCTCTGACCTAGCCACACACTTGCGCTCCCTTGTCGCTAGCTACCGAGCAGCTTGCACTGAGGCTCAGCTTCTTGTTGCTCCTCCTCCTATTTGGCTCACAGTCCACTGGGTAGTCACTCGTCTCCCTGACCGCCTCTCCACTGCCCGTGACGCACTTCTCCAGCATCACCCCAGTGAGCTTACGATTGATCTTCTCGAGACCACTCTCGGGAAGATCGAGAGTAACCTCCTCTCTGTTGCCTCAGCCACTGACGCAGTTGCCCCTCGTTTGTTTGAGGGGTGTGCTGTCCCCCAGCTTCCTACCTTCACTGCTACACGTGCCTCTGCTGCTGTGTCGGTTTCTGAGGACACTGCAGCTGTTTCTGCCGCTGACAGGCAGAAACGGGGCAAGGGGGGCAAGAAAGGGGGGAAGGGGGGTGGCGGCGGTGGAGGAGGTGGCGGTGGTGGAGGCGGCCCTGGGGGCGGCAGTGGTGGCGGTGTTGCCCCAGGCGGAGGGAGCTCTGGAGGAGGTGCTGACCCACCTGCTGGAGGAGGTTCGACCAGCGGTGGTGCGGGGCCCCAGCAGCAGCAGCCACAGCAGCAGCAGCCACAGCAGAGACAGCAGCTGCACCAGGGACAGCAGCAGTGGCAGGCACCACAGCAGTTTCAGACGTGGGGACCCCCACTGCAGTGGGGTCCGCAGCAGCACTGGGGCCCTCCGCCACAGTGGGGACCTGGAGGACCCGGGAGCACTGGCCGCAGCAGCAGCACTACCAGCTGGGCCCCTCGCCCCCCGCGGCGCGACACCGGCCCCTGCGACCACTGGTGCGTCACCGGACCTGGCAGTCCCTGTGTCTGCGGCCGCGACGACCACTCTGCAGCGCGGTGCTTCCGCCGCCTCGACGACCTCTACCGTGCACGCTGGGGTCCTGAGGCGACCACCCCGCGCTGGGCTCGCCTGCTAGCCCGTAAGATTCCTGTATTTGAACTGTCTATGGACGATGCTCGTCAGTATGCTTTGTATGCTGATGTTGACTATAGTGCTGATGGATTTGTGTGCTCGCGTGTTCGTAGTCTAGGATGCTTGCCTCCTGTTAGTGTAGACCTGTGCCTCTCTAGTCTAGGTGCTTGTGTTTCTGCTCTAGGTGCTTGTGTAGCCTCCGGACCTGACACGCCTCCGGCTGAGGCGTCTCTGTCGTTCACGCTGGACTCTGGCGCGTCGCAGTGTTTCTTCCGCGACCACACGACCCTCACACCACTTCTTGCTCCGGTTCCGGTAGCTTTGGCTGATCCTTCTTCAGGACCAGCCGTTGCGCGCAGCTCCACCACCCTCCCGTGCCCTGTGGTCCCCTCTGGTGTCTTGCGCGGCCTCCACATCCCCTCGTTCACTCGGAACTTGGTGGGTGTTGGATACCTCCAGGACAGGGGGATCACCGTTACCTTTGTGGGGGGGGGGCGGACTGCAGTCTGTACTGACGCTACCATAGGTGCTGTTCTGGCCACGTTCACCAGGGAGCCCCGCTCCGGTCTCTACGTTCTCCACACCGAGCGCTCCCCGGTCGCGTCCTCCCCTCAGGTTGTTGCGTCCCCTCCGGCTCAGGTCCCCAGTCCAGTTGCTGTGTCTAGCCAGGTAGTCGTGTCCAGTCCGGTCGCTGTGTCCAGTCCAGTCGCTGCGTCTTGCTCCTGTCGCTCTCTCGCCCACCGCACCGTCCTGTGGCACCACCGTCTTGGCCACCCGTCGATCCCTCGCCTTCGTGGCATGCTCAGTCAGGGACTAGTCACAGGTCTCCCACGCACCTTCCCGTCGCTCCCTCTCTCGCTTGCCCCTCCTTGCTCTCCGTGCGTCGCCGGTCGCTTACGCGCCACTCCCCACTCCTCCTCCCTTCGTCCGGCCACCGCTCCCTTCGAGACTCTCCACTTGGACGTCTGGGGCCCTGCCCCGACGCAGGGGTCTGGGAGGGAGCGTTACTTTCTGGTGGTCGTCGACGACTTCTCCAGGTACACCACAGTGTTCCCTCTTGCGAAGAAGTCCGAGGTGACTGCTACGCTGATCAGGTGGCTTCTAGCCACTGAGGGCACTCGTGGTCGTCGAGTCAGTTGTCTTCACTCCGACCGTGGGGGCGAGTTTCGCTCCGGCATTCTCGGCGGATTCTGCGGCGAACAGGGCATCACCCAGTCCTGGACGCTGCCAGAGTCCCCACAGCAGAATGGGGTTGCTGAGCGCCGCATAGGCTTGGTCATGGACATCGCCCGCACGTCCATGATTCATGCCCGTGCGCCCCATTTTCTGT